GCAGTAGTAGTAGGAGAAGGCAGTTGCTGTACTTGCTTCTGTGCAGGAGTTGGAGCAACTGCAGCCTGTTGCTGCCGCACTAGCTAAGCAACAACAATAGTCTCACTATTGTATTCCTCCTCAGGAATGTGTGCAGTCTTAACAATATAAGACCTTGCAGGTAGAGCAGACAGCTTATCCTTGTAAAGCTTGTCTACAAAGCGTACGTCGCGTACACAGATGACGCGATTTGTGGCTGGCAGCCATACTCAATAGATGTTTGAGGCGTCATAGCTAAGGAGGAATCCCTTAAAAGTGCGATCTTTAAGCTTATCTCCTCTAGCTAGGTGCTTGTTAAGCACAAATCCACGGCTTCTGATAGCGTGGAGTCAAGAGAGGTCTGGGCGGACGCTAGTGACTATCTCATGTGGTGTGCGCTAGTTAATAGATCTTGTAGGCGTGATGTTGAGCAGCCTTGCTGCTGTGCAGACTAGCTCGTTGGCTAACATCTTTAGTAGACCAGCATAGATATAAAGAACCCTAGCAATAGTAATAATAATAGCACTAGCTTGCTCAGCACCCCCTAGCTGTGCAGGAGTATTAGGAGACCTTGTCTTGACCTTGATGCTAGCTGATAAGAGGATCTCTTGAGCAGAAGAGCCTAAACTGGCCTTAGCTCGTCCATATCCTACGTCTCTGTCTATAAAGACTATAGCTACTTAGTAGCTATATACACGCTTAATCTTGTTAATAAGACGTGTAATTGCAGGAATAACAGTAGCCTTGTGTTAATCCTTAAGAGTACAGATCTTATGTAGTTTTGTGTACTTACATACTGTATGTAGTGCCCATACATCACTATTGTAGCAGGCCTTGCAATGCTTTTAGAGCTAAATAATGTCTACAATAATGCAGTAGAAAGGGTAGTAAGCCTTGTTAGCTTAAGGACGTTGACTAATGTCTTCCTTTATCTTGCCCTTAATGCAAGGGATGCAAGAATCTATCTATTGTTCTCCTTTTCTGTTAGTGCCTAATGTAAGGCCAGTTGTGGAGTTTTTAAGATGCTTAATAGCCTGATGGCTTAGATAGCTAAGCAGCTAATAAGCTTTTATCGCAGTGACAACTTGAGGTGATTTTGCTTAAGTAGAAGCAGCTGCTATAGCCTAAAAAGGCTGTTTAGCGTCTTAAGCTTTTAAGAACTAGTAACCTCTAATTTAATTAAGGTCTATAAAGAGAGATAGTAACTTATCCTCCCTAAAGAGCGTGTTTATTATTAAATTAAAGTAGATCTTCTTACAGCAGCTTAGGCTAAAGATATTAGCTACATATCCTAGGATATATACTACTTTCTTAAGCGTGATTAAGGCTGTCTAATTACCTCTTTTTATATTAAGAGTTACCTCTCCCTAGGCTTGTATCTAATACAAGTTATAGCCTGCTTATACAGTGTCTTAAGAGGAAGGAAGCTTTGTCTACTTCTAATTAGATCCTACCTTGTTGCAGATATGAACGTCTGATCCAGGGTCCATGACCCATCAGTGCTGCAGCGATTGAGCGTGCAGCGATAGTGCAGTATTGGACTGCAGCAGCTGCAAGGGCTGCTTGAGACAGGCTGTATTGGACGCGTATCCATCGGAGCTACAGTCTGAAGCAGTATCAGCCTAATGAGCATGACGTGATGCAGAGTTTTTACATTTAGCTATCTCAGCCTTAGCTTTCTCTAGGTTAAACGTCCATCGTATGCCAGCGTCCTTATAGGCCTTCTTAACCTTCTTAAGCGTATCCTTGTTTTAAAAGGATACAACAAGCTTAGATAAGGCCTTTGTGCTAGGCTTAAAGTCCTTAAACCTGCCTTTAGCCTTAGGATTAAGAGTAAAGCACTAGAGTACTAATAGGTGGAGCCTACAGACGCATGTTAATTAACCTATTAATTAGTCCTTCTTTAGGTAATTGTTTGGCTTAGGCTCTATAATAGACAGAGATGTAAAGCTTCCTAGTAGCTAAGTTGCGTTTTAGGCTGTAGGTACTATTTGTTAATACTAGCTAATTAAATCCTGCAGGGTAGGAGTTGGCAGAAGGGCATTTGATTCGCCTTGCTCCATAGCAAGGAACTGGGCTTAAGCCCATGCCTCATCTCCTAAGTCCCGTACAGCATGGATGAATCGCCACTGTGCTCGGGTCTCTGTCATCTCTGGCATGCTCTCCTGAGCACATTGAGATGTGATCTGCGAGTATTCGTCCAGCCAGGCCTGGGTGCTCTGGTTCTTTGGCTTCTTCTGAATATCGCTGTACTTGGCAGCAAGCTCTAGCCTGCGCTGCTGGTCTGTGACCTTGAAATGCTTTCAGAGCGTTGTAAGCTGACTCTAAGGATCGTCGTGCTCCGCCCTATTAATGAGGTGGACGTGTGACGTAGCAACAGTGCGTAGGATCTCAAGATTAACCTTACCAATTGCTTTTTAGATTAACTCCTAGCGTTTAGACTTAATCTCCTAGATCTTCCACTTGTCCGCTGAGGCCTCATCAGATAGCTCTGCAACAGGTGGTGGAGACAGAGTAGCTGAATCAGGATCGCAGTACTGCCATACGCCCTTAATCATAGCGTATTGTTGTTTGGCAGCGTACCAAGGTATCCAGTCTGCAGAACCTTGTAGGATTGTAGTAGCTATAGTAGCAAAAGAGCTGCCTTGCTAATTAGCAGAGAAAATAAGGTAAAACCTTAAAGTGTAAGAACTAGTTCTCACAGTGTTGCGTAAATGCAACAACAGCAGGCGCGCAGCAACAGGAGGATTGCAGTAATTACGTGTACAACGTGTATAATAATTAAAAGTACTAGAGGCGTGGAGATGGCCTTAGTAGACAAGATATAATCTTAAAAGGTTGCGACAACAGCAGGCATGCAATAATAGGAGGATTGTAGGGACAACGTATACTTTATGTACAGCGTGTATAGCAATCAATTAAAAAAAGGGTGAATAATCTTATTTAAGTATCGCAGCGTAGTGCAGGGATACTAGGCTTATAACTGTTAGATGTAGGAGCACAGGGCAGATATAAATAAGGCAGAAGGTTGTTGTATTGAGGGAGCTACAGCGAGCAATTATATACACAACCAGATGAGTAAGCAGGTGACTAACACAGTCACGTGAGGTGCAGTTCACAGTGTACCGTATGAACTGAGGTGCCAGGCTGACAGATGCTATACTTAGCCTTAGTACCCTCTACTAGCATAAACTATGTGTTAGTTACCTTAGGTTCTTCCTGCAGTATCCTCTGTCTGTCCCTTACTTAGTTAAATACTATCTTAAGCTAATCTAAAGGCATTATAAATCTTGTAGCCTAGGGTTTACTAATAGGCTCCCTACTACACACACCTAACAGTTTATTAGCTATATCTGCTACCTTACATAGCTAAGGCGCAAACCCTTGCAAATTAAGGTCAAGGATATATTAGACAATTGTCTGCTCTTTAGTTGCAGTGAGCTTCTAGCAGTTTGCGCGTACGTTGAGTCAAAATAGAGTATTGTTGGCGCGTTCAGAGAGCCTGCGCTGGTTAACGTTGAACGCAGCAGCAGCAGCCTGATAGCTCTGAAACTGTGCAGTATTATAGGCCTGGAGAGCAAGTTGCAGTCTCCCTTTGTATGAAGCAATAAGTTGTGATGTTGTTAAGACATACTGTGAAGTGCGGAGTTGTATTGGTCTTGGCAGATTTTGTTGCGGTGCAAGTCGGTCCGACAGGCCTCGATTGTCACCTCAGTTGACTACCTTGGACTAGCACGTCTCAGGGCATGTATATATGGTCGCCCCCTAGCTAGCAAGCAACTCAGCGCAGTTTTCCATCGATATACAGCGGCTACGTTTGCCGCAACAGATTTTGACCGGTTCGGTGATATGACCGGCTCGGTGATAGAGTACGTTACTTGCTATAAAGATGCAGGGGAAGGACCTGTTACAAGAGAATAACGTCTAACATACAACAGTCTAGGACAACTGCAACACTACACATTTTACAGACGCGTAGCCAGCGCAATCCTTAACTGCTTTATAATTGCTAAGGCAGTTTGTTGCTAACCTCCACATTTAGTTAGACTAAGCCTGCTTACAGCAATGCCACACCACGAACGTTCACTTCTGCATGGGCCTAATAATCTAGATAGGCTCTGCTGCTACGTCCATACTGTTAGCACAGTATGTGACAAAAGGCAGAGAGACAGCAGGGCACTTGTGGAGTTTACTTGTGGATATGTGCACTAAGTCACGCAGACATTAAGACAACAAGCCTGTCACACATATGTGGTGTCACAGCATACTGTAGGCAGAGTTTGTAAAACATAAACAGCAATAACTATCATGTGTTGCGGAGCAAAAAGTCAACCTTTTACTCCCTTGAGTAAGTTCGTCTTAACTGTGACACCCCCCTCCCCAGATTGTAGCAATAGCGTAGAGCTGGTAGCTTTTCAAGGTTTTCTGTACATGTAGGTCGTGACGCAACATGCCCTGTATATTCTGCTCCACACATCTAGCGTTCTACGTCTGTGCCCTTAACATCCCCTTAACATCTGGCACTTAGCTTCTCAGCTCTCTTGCGCAGTGTTCTTTGGCGTCTTCTTGCCGGTAGTGAGGTGTCAGGCTCACTTGCAGTCACCCACCTTCCCAGCAGTCCACTGCAGACTTGCATAGGCAGGAAGTAGCGTTCCTGGGCTCATAACTGTTGCGGAGCAAAATGTCAACCTTTTACTCCCTTCAGTAAGTTCGTCTCAACCGTGACATGATGGCTATTTACCAGCCAATTCGGGGGTGCTAATGTCTGTACATTTTGTCTCCTTCTTGGCTGCGACACATTTAAATTTACCAAGTGTGTTAACGTTAACGAATGTGTTCATCTATGTTCAAGCAAAGCAGTTAAACGATTTAGGTAAGCGGACATCGCCTAGTATAAAGATTAAATATTTTGATAGTTATGGAGTATTAAATAATAGCCGCAGACCCCGATCATGTGTTAATATTGCAGCTTGTTGTGACTCCTAGCGTTTGAACACTCGGCGACGCAAGCCTTCGTTCCACCCGTAGACCAGCGCATTGGCTAAGCCTACGAATTGTGTTGAGGCCTGCAAGGCAATTAACCATACCGGTGACTTCCCTCTCGCCGCTTCAACAACGCGATTCATAATTCCCGGTATCCAAAGGATGATGTACATGAACGGATACCCGTTCAAGAGCAAAATGCGCTGAATCTCTTTCTTCCGCGACCGTCGTAGTTCACCGCTGCGCGTGGTTTCCACCCCACCGCTCCGCGTGACGTTCGTTATCTTAGCGCTCGGGTCTTTAGGCGGGACTGACGGAGGGCAAACACCTCGATCATCCACAAGTGCGGCAGCGTCGTCGTCCCGTTGAGGTGAAAATGCGTCGTAGTGGCGGTCTTCCATTACGACGGGATAGGATCGGGTCGTGGGTTGCTCGAACGTGCTATTTGAGTCCCCATACATGCGATGAAGTGACACGTGAATCCAGATGTATACACCGACGGTGGAGATGAAGATGGCTATCCTCCACATGTGTGTTAAAAGGTAACGCTCAAGCCGAAGTGAGGGTTTGATCCAGCACCAGTTGCCACTGACAGGACCATAAAACGAGCGTCCGAGAGCGGTAAAACCTGCAAAGGTCAGTAAAACTTCGTTTGGTGTTGCGAAACCTTTGACATCATTGTCAAGACCCCGAAGATGAGGCTGCGCTTACTTGTTATGGTTCCGGGTACCCAGACAAGCACGCATAGTGCGGCCGCTTTCCATGCACTCGGTTGCGACACGATGTGGGGTGTCTTGATGGTAATGAGGACAACAATGGCTATCGCAATGATGGAAAAGTCCACTGTTTGCACGGTAATCTGACCGAGCCAGCCGTTGAAGTTGCAGGCCGGGCCTGGTTGCAGCTTGCGATCAGCGCGAGTGAAGATGGCAATCCCAGAGACAGAATTGTTGAATGCATTCAAGAAGTCTTCGATAACGTGTCAGATTATATTCGGCAAAGAACGCCACCATCGGTACTGAGGCCGCTGGCTTACCTGCTACAAGGAGATTGACGACAAGAGCATGACGAAAGTGTCTCCGATCCTGGTAGAAGATGTGGAAGACGAGAACCGTGAAGGAGGCGATGGCTGAACTGAGGCTCCCTACGAGCGGGGGGACAGAAAGAACAAGATTAGACATTCTCGTTGTCAAAGATTAGACGAGTACATGTGGAATTACCGTGCATCGGGCAGATGCTGTGGGCTTGCCGATTCACTTAAGGTGGTTCAAACAGCATCTCGAGGGTGGCCAGCTAGTCGCAGCACAGTTCGTGTCACTGTAAGTCTGAAACCCCTTTAGGAAGGCTTGCGGGGGCGTAATACGAGCCCGTAGTGGCCTTTTCCAAGACTTCGGGTGTTCGAGTCCTCCAGGCCGCGATGGGAGAATGTCACTGATCGGGCAGCATCCGGGCAAATCATGAAATAAAGCCAATAGCGCAGTGCTCTTAGTCAGGGTACTAAAACGCGAGATCTACGAAAGCGATTGATAGCTGGCGTCGTAGATGTGATGCGGAGAATGCGCCGGCGAGATCAGCCGGGCGTCCACTACCGAGATACGCGAGCTACTATTGCGCCACAACCCATGAAAAAATGAGCGTGCGTAATTCGCCGCGAGGCGCTAAGGCGAATACGCCTGACCAAGTGGCAGATGTTTATCGCTGCTGCTCTCGGCGCCAAGGCTATGGATAGCACGTCAAATATACGACTGAAGCCGGTCGCTAGTTTGCTCTCTGCGGTCGATAGTTTGCTCTCTGCGGTCGCTAGTTTTCTCTCTGCGGTTGCTAGTTTGGTCTCTGCGGTCGCTAGTTTGGTCTCTGCGGTCGATGCCGCATGACCCTCTCCCGATCGGCCAAAATGAACGGAGTAGGTTGCACTGTCGCGCCGGAAAGAAGCGTTGCATTTACTGTTTGTTGATTGCCATTGATGGTTCACTCTACTTCTGTACTAGCTACTGTATCCCGGTATGTGTACTGGTAGCCGCGACCGCGCACCAGCTCGGGTAAATGCAGCTCTGGGCTATCCACATGTTCAAGACCGGGAGCTTTGCCGGACAGGCTTTTTATCCCCTCATTGCTATCCACACCGTGCTTCCCTCTATGAGCCGGACCGGAAGCCTGCGGTCGCGCTCGTGCTCCCGCTCGGCATTCTCCATGCAGGTAGGAGAGATGAACAGGCGTGATTTTCGATGACAGTAAAGAGTCGGGAATGCCTCCACGCCCACCGCCTGGATCTCTCGCTTGCATCCAGCTATTGACGACAGTGATTGCGCTCATGGCAGTGGCGATGGCGTTGTCGGAGGTAGTCCGCCAAAATCTACTCGGTCATGAATTTGGTAATACCAAGGCGTTATTCGTTGTCTATAACTTGTAAGTCTTGAATACCTACCTGTTACCTTTAAAACCATTGGACAGAAACATAAGACTAGCCCTACTGGGAGATACATTAACCCAAACCTCTCTTCTAGAAGCACTAGTTTTCGTGTCATCCAAAGTCCATCCGGCACCAATCAGTACAGGGGCAACCGCTAAACTACTATACTCAGGGGTATCTTCGCATCGCGAGTATCGACATTAGAACTACCTAATCCCCTCTATCGTTATTGGAGCGCTGTCAGAAGGTGAATATTGGAGCGCTGTCAGAAGGTGAAGAGGACCGACTGTCAAGCACCGTCTGTCAAGCACCGTCTGTCAGCATGTGGTCGGGTCGATCAATCTGCGATCTACCCTAACATGACAGGGCGTGCGACAACGCATGGTCCGAGATGGTAGGTCAATGTAAACGTTTACATGGTCTGTGTCTCTTATCTTTGTCTGGCTTTTACCCTCGTCATCGACCGGGATGTCGAATCTTTATGCACAGCTTTGTTCACATCACCGGGCCCGAGTATCGCGGTCGCTGTCAGGTTACAGCAGCTCAGTGTTAACCCTGTCTCTCATGTCTCACAGGGTGTTCGAAGACCTGGAACCCTGATCGACACCGTGCTGCACTTTTCGAGCTGTTCGTACTATGAACGAGAACGGGTTCAGCCACGGGTGAATCCAAATCAGGGGGGTTACTGTAGAGCGAGGCGGTACTGTAAGTGAAGGGGGTGCTATAAGTGAGGGGGGTACTATAAGTGAGGGGGTACTATAAGTTAGGGGGAACTATAAGAGGGAGTACTATAAGTGAGGTGTGCTATAGACGAGAGTTTACGGTAGGCAAACCTTGTCCGCCATACAAGGGAGCATACCGGTAGTTGGCCCCTGTCAGCTCTTCAATAAAGTCCCAAGGGACCGCCTGTGCGAGCGGAGAAGCTTGTAGGGTAAGCTTGGCGCCAAGTGCCGCTGACCTGGAACCGGGGACCGCAATCTTTACGAGACGCTCAGGCCAGTTGAGCCCCTGTCTCCTTGTTCTTGGAACCCTGTACCGTGCCCTGCATGAACGCATGTGCACGCATGGTCAAGGGTCCTTTACACCTCGGCACACAAGATGACAAGATAACTAGTCGGCGAGGTCTGGCTCGGTACGACTCGCGCCCCTGGTCGAGACTGGACGCTATCTCAGTTCACGCTCACACCGGCAAAGTGGAGGGCTTCGAAGTTCTGACAAGGAGTTTTCGAGTCTGTGCACAAAGGCCAGCAGGATATTGGTAAAGGCAGACATGCCATATTTCAACTTCGCGTTCTACATTCCTCTTCCGACTCTTCAAGTCGACTCAAAATTGACTGTGTATGTCTTCTAGGCGTAGATTCTCTCGTTGTTTATTGGAGCAGTGTTGCTGTCGGACGCTCCGTCGTTGATCTGTTCCCAAGCATCTTTGTCACGCCCGTGGCGCACAGTAGCGAGGCTGAAGCCGACATCTGTGGAGTCGCGACCTTTTGTTTGGCGCAAACTGGGACCTCGGGTGATGAATGTTGATGCATGGCGCTTACTGTTGGGATCCGAGCCGCAGGCGCGTCTGTGCTGGAAGAAGTGACGTATTGCTGGGATTGAGCTTGTAAAACAGCAGACGCCCGTCTTGACGCTGGAGCAGAGCAAAACCCAGACCGCCAATTCCATCGATCTTTTGATTGAAGCAATAGGCCGGAGAGGAATCCAGACAGACGACTTGATGGTCGCCAGCGCGACAACGTAGACCAAAATCTCGATCAAGCGGCACTTGATGGCCACGGACTGTGGCCAGGCATTCAGATCTTTGATTCTCCTGCCCAGGCCGACGAGAGATCCGTATATAGCTAGGCCAGTGACAGAAATGTATGCAATTTTGGAGACGTTCACATTGTCAGGACTTGGCAGGCCCCAGGCGATTCATGGTTCTCACTGTGAGCATGCCGTCCCGACGATCATGAATCCATGCTCCAACCCGAGAATTTCATCTTCAGTCGAACGTGGAGGTTCTCAGCGACACAGCAGTGATTGATGCAGCGGAGAAAATCAACGAGGTGACGATGATCGCAAGCGGCAGTCCATGCGGGGCGATCAGCCGCGCGGAAGGATCGACATCCTTCGATGCCATCTCGGCTGTGAATCCGGGGTAACAATGCAGAAACACGACGCGAGCTTGTGCGAAGCTGCGAACAATACATTGTGGATGGCTCCTTCCCTTATACTGCCTCCCGATTCCGGCCGTACGTCGTATCCACACTGCCCAAACTGCAGAGAAGATTGCTACACATGAGAGTCAGCCCTCCTACATGCAGTTGGACCCGGCGATATGATCTGGCAGGGAATGGCGCCCCAGCCGCCCGCTAGCGCAGCGCTAGCGCACAATGAAAAACGAACACGACAAATTGTGTCTTGTTGTCGTCATGGCATTGAGCACAGTTGTCGTCATGGTGGTGAGCATAGTTGTCATGGTGTTGAGCATAGTTGTCGTCATAGTGTTGAGCATAGTTGTCGTCATAGTGTTGAGCATAGTTGTCGTCATGGTGGTGAGCATAGTTGTCGTCATGGTGTTGAGCAAATGTGCCTTACCAGTCTACGCCTGAGCTGCGTCGATGACATGTTCCACGCCGACTCGGAAAGACGACAATGAACCCTCCAAACTCCAGACGCCTGTTCGTCGCCATCTCAGCACGGGGACGGCAGGGACGAGCCATGGACGGTATTGTGAGCGGGTGGGATACGAGGACGAGCCATGGACGGTGTTGTGAGCGGGTGGGATACGAGGAGCGTGCCGCCGTGGCCCAACAAGTCGTATTGCAAGTACCGGGCCCGTGTGAGATACGAGGACGGATGAGCGAGTAGGCGCGTCGAGATGCCGCCAGCCAGGATCGACACACGCAGCAGCTGGCAAGGGGCCAGGGTGCTGCGGGGCGTTTTGGTAGGTAACAGCGATGTTGCGAACCGGGATTGTGGTGGTAGCATGGTGTACGGGTTGCATTGGTACTGTAGCGAGGCAAAGATGTAGGGGGTAGACGTAACATGGTGAGGCGAGGAAGAAGTCTTGTATGCATGGTAGTGCTCCTGCGATGCTCCTACAATGCTCTACAATGCTCTGCGATGCTCTTACAATGCTCTGCGATGCTCTGCGATGCTCTTACAATGCTCTGCAATGCTCTGCAATGCTCTGCAATGCTCCTACAATGCTCCTACAATGCTCCTGTAGTAGTGCTGCACTACTACTCCTCCCACTACTAGCACTCGAGTCTGACGAGCCCGGACAAGTGCTACTCGACGTCCTCGATCTGCAGACTCGCGACACTCCCCTCCAGCGGCGCGGTGTGCGCCTGGGCCAGCGCAGCGTGGGTCCCCGCCCCCTTCCGTCTTCTCTTCTTCCTGCCCGTGTTGTTCGCCGACGTGAGCGGCGGGGCGTCGCGGACCCATCGCGAGATGGCCTCGGCGCGCTCGGTGCTGATGGGGTACTCGCGGGTCCGGTCCTGGGCCCAGCGTTTGGGGCGCGTGGGGTCTGGCCTGTCGCCGTGACTGCCGTTGGAGACGCCGGTGGGCACTGTCAGCTCGTCGGCGCGCTGCTGCATGGCGGCCTCGGCCCTGTCGTCGTCTCGGAAGCGCTTCTCGCGCGCCCGCACGGCGCGCTGGAAGCTCTCCTCGTCCACGACGCGCTCGTCAGCGAGCGCTTCGAGAATGGCCTCGTGTTTCTGCCGCTCTCGCCGCTGCTCCTTTGTCTCTTCCTTTTCGCGTCCGCCGCCTCTGCCAGCCCCGCCCGTCCGTGCCACCGTCCCGCTCGCCGTGTGCCCGTTCGGAGTGTCTGCAGGCGGCGCAGGCGGCCGGCACAGCTTCTCCCACGAGCAAGCCAGGCCGATCCAGTTCTGGCCTCGTCGCAGCACTTCGACCCAGTCACTCCGCGCGGGGCTGCGCGCGGCCAGGAATATAGGGTAGCCGTCGAGGAGGCGGGCCAGGCGGGCGGCGTTGTGGGCGTGGCGCAGCAGCTCCTTGGGCGGCGTCTGGAGCAGCGAGTGGACGAGGAGCAGCGAGTGCAGCGCGTCCGGCAGCAGCGGGTGGTAGGTCAGGCATTCGTTCGCCGGGAGCGGCGAGGGCGGGGTGTTGGGCGGCAGAGGATACGGCGGCAGGGCGGACGGGGGAGCCGCGTCGAACAGCTGGTCCAGGGTGAAGACGGGCGGCGGCGGCAGGTCCGGCCAGGCGGCGGGCTTCTTGTAGGGGACGAGGGCGGCGTCCGAGGCCGACTCGTCGAGCAGGCGGTCGAGCCTGGCCTGGTAGTCGTTGCCGGCGTCGGCGTCGGCGTCGGCGCGGGTGTGGGTGTGGGTGTGGGTGTGGGCGTGGGCGTGGGCGTGGACGTGGGCGTGCGAGTGGGCGTGGGCGTGCGAGTGGGCGTGGACGTGCGAGTGGGCGTGGACGTGCGAGTGGTAGCGGCGCAGAAAGTCGTCGGCGGCGGCCGCGGAGAGGCCCGGGGTGTAGTCAAAGTGGGCGACAAAGGCCGTGTAGTCGCGCAGGGCGCGCTTTGCGTTCTGGCGCAGCTGCTTGCGGCTCTCTGCGCGGGACAGGCGGGCGGCGGCGGCGTCGGGCGTCTCGGGCGTCGGCTGCTCGCCGGCGGCCGCCTGGGCCTCGCGCGCGGCGGCCGCCTCCTCCTGGGCCTGCAGGCCGTCGAGGGCAGCGGGGACGTGGCCGCAGGCGAGGGCCAGGTAGACGCCCGCGCGGTGGAAGAGCAGCTGCGCCTCGAGCGAGCTCGGCTGGTCCTCGTCGGCGACGGCGGGCTCGCTGCGCCAGTCGCGGGCGGGGTTGCTGGCAGAGTTGCTGGCCGAGTGGCTGGCCGAGTGGCTGGCCGAGTGGCTGGCAGAGTTGCTGACAGAGTTGCTGCTGCGGTTCTGGTGCGCCGTCCCCGACACCAGCTGGTCCTGGGCCCGCCGGTGCTGCGCCTGCAGGTAGCGGGCCGTCGCGAGCGCGTCGGTCAGGTCGCGGGCGCTGTGGCGGTAGTCGTCGGTGAAGAGGCGCGTCAGGGCGCGGGTGCGCAGGGCACTGGGGTCGGTCGGGCGCTCGGCCACCAGGTCGTCGAGCGTGGCCAGCGCCGTGCACTGCGCCATCATGCGGCTCGGCATCTTCTCGTGGAAGAAGTGCACGTAGCGGGCGTCGCCGTCGTGCGGGCTTCGCTGCAGAACCAGTTGCGCCACGTCCTCGAGCGTGCTCGCGCCCTGCATCGTCGCTACACTCGCCGCAATCTCGTCCAGCCGGTACGCCGCCGCCAGCTTGCCCGTCGCCAGCTCGCGCATGCGGTGCTTGCGCTCGCGGCTCAGCGTCCCCCCTCCGCTGCCCGCGCCGAACCCGCCGCCGCCGCCGCCGCCGCCGCCGCCGCCCACACCCATGCCCAGCGCCGCCGCCGCCGGCCCCAGCAGGCCGTGGTGGCTTAGGTTGCTGCTGCTACTGCCGAGCGCGGCGCTCGACAGCCCGCTCGTGGCGCGCACCGCCAGGTTCGTCGCTTCGTCGACGTGCCGTCGGATCTTCACCACATCGTAGAAGACGGCCGGGTCGATGGCGTGCGGCCGCGGCGACAGGTGGTTGCTGTGCGCAAGCGACGCGAGCACCTCGGGCGGCAGCTGCAGCCACGGCCCGTGGAACGACGAAATGTAGCGCCAGTGCCTTTACACGCCATCAGCATGAGCCCCGCGACCCCAGAGACCCAGTAGTGCCCTGACCTACTTGTTGCGACAGATCATCAGCGCCGACGTCGACGGCTCGCCCGCCGTCTTCCTGTGCGCATTGCCATTGCTGGGCCCCGTCGAGCCCTCGCCGCTCGTCGCGCTCGTCGCGCTCTTCCTCTTGGCCATGGTGTGCCTGGGTCTGTGGTCTGCAGTACACTATACAGCACGCAACGGTAGTGGCCCGCGGCACGCAGTGACGTTTGGAACTTTCGTGAGCAACCGTTCCTTCCTCGCTAATTGCCGGTAGGTACGAAGTGGTTAGCGCCCGCCCGGCCGCCCGCCTTGGACCTTGCATCCAGCCTGTCTCTCGCCTCAACGTCTCGCCTCAACGCCTCACTTCAATGCCTCACCTCAATGCCTCACCTCGATGCCTCACCTCGATGCCTCCTCTCAATGCCTCCTCTCAATGCCTCCTCTCAATGCCTCACCTAAATGCCTCACCTCAATGCCTCACCCTTTGGAGAATAGACTCGCCTGCCGACTTGCCTGACTTTGGCACGATCCTGAAAACACCCATTCCCGAATAGCACGTAGGTTGTGTGCAAGAAGACTTGGCGCGTATACACTGGCTTTCACGTATACACTGGCTTTGACCTGTACACTACACTAGCTTTCACCTATACTCTACACTGGCTTTCACATTCCCAACGGCCGGGAAATACTACAAGTGCCGACTTGCCCGAGTCAGAAGAACTTCAAACGCATACCTGATCCCTAGTCGCTCGACCTCTCCTTTGAGCCGCAAAATCTCGCGGGACATCTTCTCGCTCTCCTCTTGCAGTGCCTGCGTCGCATCGGATGGACTCCTTGCCTCGACTGCAGGGGTACGCCCAAAGTGTTGCAGTGCTTACAAAGCCCGTCTGGATCTGTAACGATTGAGGGGAGAAGCGGATCACGTGTTGTTGGCGGTGGTCTGGTGCTGCTTCCTCATGTTGTTGAGCACCTCTTACCTCCGCTGCATCACCTCTTACCTCAGCTGCATCACAAACACGTCATCAAAACAGACCCCGCAGCGAGCCTTGGAGAGCAAAGATACAAGCAACACGACAATACAGAACAACAATACAGAAAAACAATACAGAACGACACAATACAGAACAACAATACAGAACAACAATACAGAACAACACAATACACTCGTCATGTACATTTGCCCTTGATACCGCAACAGGATCACTGGTGGCCAGGTCGACATCTTCTCTGTTTTCGCGGTCAAGCGCCTCTTGCAGGGCAAGGAGCCCATCTCCTGCGGCGCCGGGAGGGAAAGCTCCGAAGAGATATACCCTCGGCTCATCGTTCCAAACTACCCTGCTGCGGTTGCGTTCTGCGCAAAGTTACTTACGCACAAGCACAGATACACCCCAAACGCTGTCAATGAGATTACAGAAATAGATCGAAACGCAGTCGAAAACTCGTGCACGGCTGGCTGCATCTGGCTGGTTCAAAGTCCTTGTGCCTGGGCATCATTATCCTTGGCAACCTTGTCCAGATGGTCCCAGAAGGTTCCAAGGGATGACATGGCTACGCCGTGGTTTTGGTCGGTGACAGCGGTAGTGAGTGCCTTGACCTGCTTGTTGCGGCAGATCATCAGCGCCGACATGGGCCGGTCGCCGTCGACCTCTCGCAGCTCACCCCGCCCGCCGCGCTCCTCCTCTTGGCTATAGTGTGCCTAGATCTATGTGTGCTTTAGTGTGCCTAGATCTATGTGTGCCTAGATCTATGTGTGATTTAGTGTGCCTAGATCCATGTGTGCTTTACAGTACACAACGTTGCAGTCAGTGGCCCGCAGCAGTGCCCTCCAAAATGATCAACCGTTGGACATGGCTTCCACTTCCACCGGCCGGCCTTTTTCTCACCACGTGTGAAGCGAGAAAAGCGGTAAACTGAGCCCGAATCACCTGTCCATAGCTCGCACGCTCACCACAAGCCTCCATGTAGGTCGAGGCTGAAAAGGGCCTGGCGCTTGAAATAAACAAGGCGCGAGCTCGGGCCATGCGCTCGCGTCTGCTCGACACTTGCCTCAGCATGCTCTCGTCATGGCAGTTGCTAGTTTTCGTCATGGTAGTTGCTAGTTCTCGTCGTGGCAGTTGCTAGTTCTTGTCATGGTAGTTGCTCGTTCTTGCCATGGTAGTTGCTAGTTCTTGTCATGGCAGTTGCTAGTTCTTGTCATGGTAGTTGCTCGTTCTTGTCATGGTAGTTGCTAGTTCTTGTCATGGTAGTTGCTAGTTCTTGTCATGGTAGTTGCTAGTTCTCGTCATGGTAGTTACTAATTCGACGGTCCGGTCGTTGGCATCTGACGCCTCGCTGAAGAGAGCTGTAGCCATGTCGAGGTGGCGAGCCACCACTCCTCCGACGAGCGAAGAAAGGGGAAATCAGTGATCGCTCGGGGAAAGAGACAGAGGGCGATGTACATTGGAAGAGCTGGTCGACGGACGAAGGGACCTACCACCAGACGAGGTGATAGAGGACGGGTCACCCACGGAGACGCACCGGGATGGAATCGAGTACAGCGCACAACTATCGCGTCCGTGACAGCACCCTGATCGTTTGATCCTGTCCGATCCTACGTCCTGGATTGCGGCAGTTTTAGTCTGGACCGTTACACTCCGCACCCTGGCGGCGGTCTATATACCTCGACGCCGGCGGTGTTCTACTTCTGATCCCGAGCTATGATCGAGGCTGGCATGTGTCAGCTTGGCTTAGTACACGGCGTTCATTCACGCCTTCTTAGTCTCTAGCTGCTCAGAAACCTGGAGGCGGCGCTCTCAGCGCTGCGTGTAGTGCAGCACCACGCCAGTTGTCCCCGATCATGTACGCGGCCCATCACAACGGATCATTTCAAGGAGGTGGAGAGCCCAGGCCATTGATGCTACGAAGACATGCGATCGTTGAACCGCCTCGGGCATCGTACAATGCAGGAGACAGAGGTGCCTGTATGCAATCAACACCATGCGGCCAGTGTCTGTTTGGTCTCGCAACCCAAACACACCAGGTGGCTTGGGCAAGTAAGTGCAAGCTCACTTTTTTTCACGCTGTAATCTGGGGCCATGCAAGCCATCCCCGTCACACAGCCAGCTGAAGACCATAGACCTCATCAGTAACATCTGCAACGTCCAGCATCGCGGACGTCGTTCGGCCAAGCTGGAGAAAAGGCTGCGCAAAGTCGGCACCGACTTTCACGCCAGCAAGTTCGGCTCATTCTCGTTCTTCACACCCATTTGCAAGCCGACGGACCGCTTTCCCCTTATCCCGACTTCACTGAGATGCATGCGTGATGGTCGTGGATCACTGACACCTTCCAAAACGGCTAAGCGCTTGCCGTCTCGCGCATGCATGTCGATCAATCCCGTTCTTGGGTGTGTAGCATCGACGCGTTGTCCATAGGATGATTGCAGGTGCTTGCGGCGTCCGCACGAACAAGGCAGCTGGCCGAGCTGCGACTGGTAGATCCAGTGCGTTCTGGTCGCGCCATGCAGCTGTCTTTATCGCAAAGATACGAGCCGCAAGGCGAGGATCGAACGCCAGCATCACCTTCGAAACTCGTCCAAACCGTGCGATTAGCAGCCTTTGTCATTCGCCGTTGTGCTAAGTTGTGCATCTCACTGTCACACACGACGCACAACGCATTGGGGTCAGTTGGAACGGCACCTCCGGTCAGGATCTCGCGCCGACATGTACTGCCTTAGTCCCAGCTGTTTCGATTCCAATTATAGCAAGTCGTCATTTGTACCGCATCGCGGCGTCAACTCAATATGCAAGATCGCCGTCGGGACTTGTGTGATGTGGCCACCACGTGCCTCACGCCCTCTCCGCAACACAAGCTGTTCCAGCCAGTCATAGCGCATGGATTGGAAGTCTGCCAGAGGACCCACAATTGCCGAATTCTACCGCTTACCAGCTGTGTGATCGGCACAACTTGTTTCTCCATCGACGCGCGTTGGAACGACGCAGGTTCCCCGCGGGAGATATTCGACAAGGATGCTTGGCCAATCACCGCCAGAGCTTAGCCCAAAGCTTAATTCGATACACTAGCGTCTGGCCATGACGATTGTCGTCGCGCGGGAGGCTGACGGCAGCTAGCTGTCGCTGTGAACGCGGGGTAAAGCCTTATGGAAGGCTGCTCCCCAATTCCACCAAATCGCCTGCCCCAAGACGGTTGCACGGCACTTCGACAAGAGGAACTCATCGCTTGCAGGACAACCTGGGCTAGGCCCAGCAACGCGTTCTGACAGACTGCATCCAGCGTTGCACTACACCAAAGTCGCCTTGGCTACACTTAGCAATACATGCAGCCAAGCCTCCCCATGCAAATGCCATCTACCTCGCACTCGGACTCCGCCCAACCGACGTGTGCTATTCGCTGCAGACAACCACGCATATCCATCTCCATCTCCCCACTACCTAACAGCTTGCGCCTCTCTTCCACACATGGCAGGTAGACGGTGTTGTTTCAAGCTGTTCAATGCTGCTCACTTCCTATTTGGACGCACTGTTACCGGCACGCTACCTTCCACCGAGTAGCATCGGCAACTTCACGTGAATGCAGCCGCGTACATATACCCTTGCATCATCCTTCGCATGATGGTGTAGCGCTCGCCATTCCTGTAGGTGCGACATCACGTCCACATGCAAGACCCTAGAAGCTCGCCAGCACCCCTCCTTGTAGTGTACATCGCAAAGCGTCTTGACCCTAAACCTTGCGCGACGCAGTCTTGGAGTTCTGAAAAGCATTTATACGGAAGTGCTTTGCACACAGCACTACTTCCCTTCAATCACCCTTCACATCCAAGTGGCCGGCCACCATCATGGATTACTTCAAACGCATGCCCGGCCGCATCTCGCATGCACTTTCCACAGATATCACCATCAACCGCACCATCAGGTATGGCGGCAAGGCCGTCCGGGCAGCGCCCTCAGTTGCAGCGCAGTATCTCGTTGAGCGAGTTCCTGTCGTGCACTGGCTTCCAAAATACAACCCAAGATGGCTGCTAAACGACACCTTGGCTGGCATCACTGTCGGTGTGCTCCTGATTCCCCAGTCGCTGGCATATGCCAAAATCGCCACCATCCCCGGCGAGTTCGGCCTGATGTCTAGTTGGCTACCGAATCTGCTTTATTTCCTTATGGGCACTAGCAAAGGTATGTAGCTGTCGATATCACAAGATCAAGAACTGACCAGGGCAGATCTGTCGACTGGTCCTACCTCTCTCATGGGATTGCTCACTGCGGAAATCATCGCCGACGTACTTCACGACGGCTACTCCGCACAAGCCATTGCTTCGGCTGTTGCCATGTCTGTCGGCATATACTCTCTGGTTATTGGTCTCCTCAAGCTCGGCTTCTTGCTGGAATTCATCTCAGTGCCCGTGCTGAGTGGCTTTATCTCCGCTGCCGCCATCGTAATTATGCTTGGCCAAATCCCCTCACTCTTTGGCGTCACTGTGCGATCTGGTACCGCGAACATCATACACGACATCTTCGCTCAGATACCGCAATGGGATGGCGCGACGACTGGCATTGGTCTTGGCGGCATCCTTATCCTCGTCTTGATGCAGAAGATGGGCCAACGATGGGGCAAGAAGAGCAAGGTCGTTTGGCTGCTAGCTCTCGGCCGCAGTGCATTCGTGCTGATCCTCTTTACGGGTATCTCGTACGGTCTCAACAAGAACAGGGCTGACGATCCCATCTGGGCTCTCAGCAAGGTCAAGTCCAGTGGCATCAGCAACCCAAAGATGCCTGATGGCGAACTCATCAAGAAAGTCTTCCCGCGCTCGATTGCACCCTTTATCGCCGCTGCACTTGAGCACTTGGCCATTGCAAAGGCGTTTGGCAGGAAGAACAACTACGTCACCGATGCTGCGCAGGAACTGGTCTACCTGGGAACTACCAACTTCTTCAATTCCTTCTTCTCCTCCATGCCCGTGGGCGGCGCCATGTCGCGCACAGCCGTCAACTCCGACTCGGGCGTGAAGTCGCCCGCGTACGGTCTAATCGCCGGAGGCGTAGTCATTCTGTCAATCTTCAAGCTCAGCCCAGCACTATACTGGATCCCCAAGGCGACACTTGCCGCCATAATCGTCACAGCCGTCTGGCATATTGTGATCCCGCCCAAAGTCTTCTACGGATACTGGAAGACCTCGCTCGTGGACTTCATCGCCAGTATGCTCGCTTTCTGGCTCACACTCTTCGTGTCCAGCGAAGTCGGCATCGGCTCAGCGGTCGGCTTCAGCATCGCGTACCACCTGCTCTTCGCAGCCTTCCACCGCGTCACCCGCGTCACCTCTCTCTCGGCAGTGCAGAGTTCCACGCCCAAGGTCGTGCCACTCGACACCCAGGTCTTCGCCATCCACCAGAGTATGCTGTTCTACAACGCCTACCACATCAAGAACCAGTGCCTGGATGCTATACAGACGCACAACTCAGGCCAGGTCGTTACTTTCGAGGCAGAAAAGGATCGCAACTGGAGCGTTGCAGGCGAAAAGCGCGCCGCGCGCCTGCGCACCAAAGCCGCCATCATCGACGAGCCGGTGCAGATCCGCATCGTCGTGCTCGATCTAAGCGGCATGCACAACATTGACACCACAGGCCTCACGGCGCTCAAGGATCTCAAGACCGATATCGAGAAGTTCGGTGGCAACAATACCCAGGTCAGGCTCGTCGGGCTCAACGAGAGGGTGGCACTGCGCTTTTCGCGCTTCGGCTGGGTCGTCGCGGGCGCTGCTGATATCGAGAAGAGTAAAGAGGAGCGCAAGAGAGTCACGGCTGTCTATTCGACGGTCGACCACGCGCTTGTTCAGCGCGGACGCACATTCAGTGAGGATGATATTCAGCCCGTTGAGATGCATATCGTGGGCGACGAGAAGGAGAAGGTTTGATAAATTAGCTATATACACCGAATGCGCATAACTCTCCAACTGTATTGCGAATCGTAGGGGAGTCTCGTGCTCGTGCCGTGGTACTTTCATGATTTAACGAGCACCCAGCAGCAGTGGGTACAGCTCGTGCCCATGTATGATGGTGCTGCTTTGAGGGGTGTGAGTAGGCTATGCCGCTTTACTCCACCTTGCGGAACGACGGTCCAGGTGTTCTATTTGGCCAGATGCTGGGCTTATGATCGCCCAATATGGCAGATCGCAACGGAGCTCTGCGTGCCAGGAACATCCACACGCATTGGGGGTCTTGCCAGGATGACTGCAACGAACGCAGACTTGCCTTTGATCAGATGTGCAGTGAGTCCTCGTAAATTTGCTCGTGCTATCATTTCGGCATGGTAGGCAATTGGGCCGGAGTACTATTGGGTGACGTGATATCTCGAGCTGTTGGCGGCGGCTAGTCAAAAGACTACCATTACTGTCAGCTGAAGTTGTGCACGATTCGTCCAAGTACAGTCAGCACGAATAACGTGCCTTGGAGTTTAAGGCAAGTTTGGTGGTTGCAGCTTGCGCGAACAAAGCGAGTCTGCATAATGAAACTTTTCGCAGCTAAAAAGTGGCAAAACATAGATTGCATTACCCAGTACCTCTATGTAACTAGGCTGCTCAAATAAGACTAGGTAACTCTCTGCGACAAAACCTAATTTTCTCACACCAGTACCGCCGAGGTGCTGAGACACTAATCTAAACTTCGTCCGATGTATATCTGAAACCGGATCGCTGTAGAAGAAAGTCTTGAATTGTGGGATCTTTAAGTCGTGGGATCCTTGATTCGCGGGGTCCTGGAACACAATACATACCTACCGGTAGCGCCGGGTGTCGTAGCTACCGCATCATCGCTATCGTTGGTGTGCGCCCCCGGAATCTCCAGTTTGACAGTGGATAATCATACGATTTTTATTCCAACTGTCGTCTCTGATGTATACCGTCGTTATTTGAAGCTGATTGCGCGGTTGTATTCAATTTATCCCGATCATCTGAGTTCCTTGAGACGACCGCATGAACTTCTTCTGGTACATGTTCGCGATCGAGAAAATGTCTCCCCTCTATGCGAGGTTGCGCGTTGAGCTTGAGTCGCCATCTTCCTCTGTTCTATTGATCTTCAAAGTCTTGCCCAGTCGTATCGCCCTTCCAGACGCAGTGGTAGTCTGGCGAGTCGCCCAAGTGCTACCGAAAAGACCTGGGCATATGTATCGGATCACTGGTCGCAACAAGGGACAGCACCCTGTTTCCAGTTTGTAAGTGCATGGGGCCAAAGATTTGCTGAGGCGCTCTTGACGTACCAGACACAACGGCGATGTTGACCTCGACTGCCCCCCAGATACAAAATGTTGCATAGTCGTACGGCAGTTGCTTCGTATCGGCCGGAAAGCGGATGAGAATCACAAGTACAATGCAGGATGCTATACAGACACTATTATTCGATTAGTAGTTGCCATAGTATGACTGAGAAGGCCTCACATGGCGCCGAGTAGGAAGAAGCTCGCAACGGCTAGTTTCTGCTGTAGCGGCATTCGGAGGCGGCAGACTGGAACCATGGGAAGGACTAGGATGATCATATCCAGCATGAAGTGCGTAGTAATTGTGGCCAGGAAGAACTTATCGCCATCGATTTTGCAAGTTGCGGGTATTGACTTGTCCCAGATCGCGCGCGTAGGGACGCAGCGGAAGGCTAGCATGAACGTTCGAAAGATGAGCCATGTTGGGGCTATAATCAGAAGGATTAAGATGGGTAACCGGATAGCAGAGAGCTTGAACAATCTCCAGTAAAAAAGCAGTATAGACATTTTGGAGAAGGCGAGCGATGTGGCGTAACAAAGCGAGTTGAAGAATCCAAGTTTTCGGGCCTGGTACAGGACAGCCTGTCGAGCCGGGTCGCCTAGAGAATCGGGCATGCGCTTTCCGAGTGACCAGTGCAGTGTCCCTGGTAAGAAAATGTCAATGCAGTCGTTGAAGGGAACGATCTCGTTTACATTCCAATAGTATGGCGCAGTACCCAGTCGCAAAGAGCTGTGTACGGACATAATCTTAGTATTTGTACTCAGGCAGGTGAATAATATGGAGCTTACGAATGCTAGAATCGAGAAGCAGTCGTCGAGCCACCACTTGATGCCCGTTAATTGCCGTGCAACCATTCGCATTGAAAGCGCTACTAAAGCCGCGAGCCACGTGATGCCGATGCTGACATAGATGTCAATTTGAAGCCCGGCCATGGGTGGCAAAGATGAGAGGAAGTCTGTTCGCTGCAGTTTTCAAGATGTCAGAGGAATAATTCCGTGCTAATCATGAGTGTGGACGGTGTCTAGTCAATGTCCGAGACAGCCGTTTGCAGGCCTGTCGCTGAGTCCCCATCTTGAGACTCGAGCAAGCGTCATCCCTTGGTGTAGCTGATGAACGCAGCGGTCGAAACACGAATTTCCTCGATAGATGAAAGCATATAAGCACGTAAGCTAATCTGCTGTGGGTGTTCGACCATTGATGTCGTGAATGCAAAGTGAGGAGATTAAAGACTAGTCCCAATCGGGTAGTCACCACTCATGTTCAAGGGATCTTTGCAACGATACTGGCCTGCATGAATGCAGTTACAATGAAGAGATATACATCAAGTTACTGAATGAAAACTTCGAGCATGTGTGACGCTTGCCGTGCTATGTTCATATGTAACTGCGTGAGCAGTGTCGGTCGGAGACTGTGATCAACGAGTGTATTGCTATCTGTTGTCGTGTTGTGATGTTGTGTTGTAGAAGCTCTCAGCTCCGAGGTAAGCGCACTTGCCCACCAGGCAGTACCTGCTACAATAGGATATCATGTGATCTAAGCCACGTGGTTACATCATAACATGACGCCTCTTCTCAGTGCAATGTCTGCCACAGACCAACTGTTTTAAATCCTTAGAGATACCGTACATGCCTCCAAGCGCTCATCCCGTCTACGATCATAGCAATCGAATTCACCTCCATAATAAAATTGCCGCCCGCCGCCACGCGAAAATTAGCTTACTAAAACAGTCGCAACTCAGTGTTTGCAAATACCACGTGCTGCCAACCTGGGCCGCACGCTCCGAAATTCTCGCCCAACGCCTCAACGTCATTCTGCAATTCCTGCCAAGCGGTATCTGCTTCTGCACTTGTCACATCCCACTCTTCCATTAGATCATCCTCGCTAATGACGAAGTCCCTGTCCGGATCTTCCTCGCTCCTCTCCGCCACCAAGTCGTGTAGCTTGTCCTTGTCATTCGAGGAACCACGGTTGAGCAGGCCCTTCATATCTTGCTGATTAGCTGCGAGCCAGTACGTACGATGGAAGCGCTTCTCGGTAGGTTTGGCGTCGTGTTTCCACTTGTAGTTCTCGACAAGCCAGTCTGCTTGAAGGCATTGTTCAAAGAGATGACGTTGATCGGTTGCAAGTGTTGTCCAGTGAATCTCGTTCTGTACATGCCAGTAGAATCCGTACGTTCCAGTCGTGATCGTTGATGACGGGACAGGCTCGTATTCGAAAGGGTTTGCTGCATTATGCAGTACAAGGCTCGAGTAGCGGTCTCCGTCATTGATGAAGCCTTGGGACACATGAGAGAAGTGACGCTTCCTGTATTGAGCGTTCAATGTAGTGTCAAAAAGCTCTTCAAAACAACGCTGGGCAAACATGTAGCCCTTGGGTTTGAGCTGGTAATGGAACACCGACCATTTGTGTTCCTCATACTTGCTGATCATAGCCTGAGGTAACTGACCCGCAGTTTGAGAAGGAAACTCAATGATCGGTGGGGTGTGCACTATAACGTGACAATGAAGGCAGTTGGTGTCTGCTCCAGTATACCCTTCGTCATCGTACGGACTCTGATAGGCGTTGGTGGCTGGTCCGAGCTGTGAGTTCCAATCGACCTCAGGCGCGATCATGGCTCTGGGTTTGCGTCGCTTTGCAGGTGGAGCGGTCACTGACTTAGTTTTGGATGGCCCAGATGGCGGCAACGGGCGGTGGGTCAGAGCTTGCGACATGCCAGCGGTGATGGTGTTCCTGTATGCCTCTCCCCTTTGATGATATTTTTCTTGCTTGCGACGAGTGGTGGTATCCGGCAGCCTTCGAGGTACCTTTCGAGATTCTATTCTGTATCAGCACGGATGTCTCACAAATTGATGAGAGCGACTCGCTGGTCGAGTTACCTGTACGCCATTCTTACATTGCAGGCAACTGGGTCGTCTGGCCATGGTGATCAGTCAAGGTAGGCAATGATACGATTGAGGTACGGCATGGTTGAAACACAGGATCAGGCGGAATTTGATAAACTTGAGGCTGTACTGGAGGTAGCGCTTACAGTGTATGGAAGTCTGACAACTGTGGTCGGCGGAGGAGGTCTGGCTGTGAAGGATCATTGCATGTCCAGGCTCCATGATTCCCTCCAGTACCATCAGTTTTCCAGATCTATGCATGATTGCAGTGATATTTGAGTTCGAGGAAAGGTAGGCGCGCGTCTGTGGCAAGAAGTCTTCGGGGCTTCGTGAAAGACCGTTGGAAACAGAGCAGCGCTGAGTAAGGCTCTTTCGATCAAGGTAGGAGTGCCTGGAATCATTACGAGTCGAGTCAAGACAGCCGATGCGAGGCTGGAGCGGCTGCAATGGCTGCAAGATGTGGTAGCGAAGTGGCGGCGTCAGTAAGTAACGCAGTGAAAATTGGGACGTTGATTGCATTGAGCTCTCATCTTTATCCCGTGGTTCAGACGAAAGACCACTGCCAGCGTTTACAAGATTGTTGAAGCCATGCGTTTCGAGTGGTGGGCTCAGTGAATGCTGTGCAGGTACAGTGAAATGAAGCTCGTTGGGTAGTGACGACAGTTCTTATTGTAGATGCTGCCAGGCACTATAGCCCTGAGTAGATACGTTCGGCAGCTGAAGAGGCGCAAGTGCATTCGTTTTATGCAATTCACGTGTCGCAAGCGCTGGTGGGCGGCGCTGAGATACTCGTTTGGGGTATACATGAGATGGAAAGAAGTTTGATGTATGCAATGCAATGGCCGATTTTCTACTGTGCATGGTTGATACGGCAGTGGAGGGGTTCGTCTTGGATTTTGAAGTCTACAGGTGGGGGCTGCTGCCTTGGCGCGAGTGAAGGGAAGGAGCGGGCTGCGAGGTGAGAGAAATAGAGCGCGAAAACACGCGTGGAACTGACAGTAGCAGTTATCCGTCTCTTATTGCGCTGATTGGAACGTAGAGCGGCGCTGCGGTAAACAAGCTGGTGTCGATCGAGAAATGCAGCAAACGAGCTGTTGGAGTGAAGGGAAGCTTCGAGAGAGTCCACGAACGCGACTACCGCAACTAAGGAAACCTACCTCACTTGTGACATTAACGCAAGGATAGCTGAGGACGGAGGACGAGTGGTGGTAGACTAATGCAGAGTTCTGCCTAGATCATGGCGGGTTCCTGCAGGTGGTGCGAAATAGTAGAATAACCCCAGTCCAGCGCGTTCTACACTCGGCCTTTGTTGCAGCATTCATATGAAGCACAAACAAATGGAACTGAGAAGGCGTTGTCTCAGCCTTAAAGAACGGCACGTCGCTTTGAAACTGCCAACAACTAAACCTCATCATGCCTTTGTCCGAAGCATATCCAGTTCACTGGTGTCCTTGAGATTGAGTACGATCGCGACTTTTGTTGAATGGTGTTTGAGCATCGTGCAATTGCTGTGCTCCATGCTGCCCGCAGTATCCTCGTATCTCTTATCGTACTTTTCCCAAATGCCTTTACACGCGCTGAAACGCCAATTGACAATGCTGCCCGTGATTCATTTCCGCCGAAGATGGCATTCTTACACAACGCGCTTGACCTATCGTGCATGTGAGTGGGTGTGTTAATTTCAAGAATTGCAGCGACTGACCTCGAAGAATCTCTTCAGCCACCAGACCTGGAATCCACCGTTGAGGCTGAGTACGAGGATCTGGAAGATGCTCCACCACTTGACTCGTGCATTGGTGCTCTCGGCAGTATTCCTGTGTGTCCTCTCGCGGAGGACAATGTAGCCCTGCTCATCCTTGACCTGCGAAATGAGCTCTGACAGTTGACGCACTGCACCCTGTCAGCATACCGTGCTTCTCTGCTAAGGCTTCCACCCCTCGTATCACGTACCTTCCTTCTCGAGAGGATCCTGCGGCGCCTCCGACTCGGGGACGTAGACAATTCCGTGTACGTTGAAAGAGACCTCCTTTGTGTTGGCACCCCAGTGCTCGTTGTTGAAGCAGTACGTGTATTTGCCATCTTCCGTTGCATCGAATGAATGGTCCCCAGAGGACACGCCGCGCTCGTGGACCTGGTAGCTGCGAGAGGGTGTCTCGATCTGCGAACAAGCGTTAGCCGTTGCTCTGGCTCCCGCATCCAGAGGTCGCCACGACTGCCAATGCGTACCCAGAAATCAATCTCCAAGTTTCCGCTGCCGCCAAACTCCCGGTCGCCAACCTGGAAGGTGACTGTCATCCTGTCGTCCTTGTGCAGCTGCTCGTGGAAGCATTCGCGCTGGTGCGCCTTCATCTGGATGGTGTGCGCTGACGTGACGGAGAAAAGACCGCTTGCCGCAGCGAGGAGACCGAGGGAGGAAAACAGCATCGTTGCGACAGGTCTGGGTGGCTGCTGTCTTTTGTTGTTGCGTTCAAGAGACGTGTTGACGAGCATCACGGAGATGCCACGATTGCCCGCAATGCAGTTCGTTGGTCCGTGCTCGCGCCTCTCTCGCACCCAGAGCCACCTCCCAACATTAGAATCCCCGTCGTTTCGTAGCGCGCCAGAAAGGCATCGACCATTAGTACTTGGTGAATTGTCGCTCGTGTTCTCGTGCATATGACAGCTCAATTCTGCATCCCGTTACCCTTTGCCACCCATCTTCATCAGCCTTGGAAGCATATGTCTCGCACATACGCTTTCATCGAAATTAGCTAAGAACAACATGTAGGATGAGCTGATATTTGACAGTGCAGGGGGCATCTCTGCAATGGAATTATCTCTGTAGTGGCACCATCTCTGGAGTGTATTCTCGTCTTGTCTTGTCTCATGATTTTGTCATTCCCTACGTCTTTGCTGCGCAATCCTACAGCTGTCAACGGACTTCCATTACCTCCTCTCAATCGATCTTATCTACTTTAATCGGCATTTCTTTTTGGCAGGCCTTCGAATGTCTGGACCTCTATTGTGCTCTGCTTCACTTCATCTCGATGCCAAGACAAGCTTAGCCCACTGCAAAATGCACGCAACATCTCGACCCTGGACGCAGCAACACCATCGCCAGCTTTTGAGCTTGCCTATCTTCTTTCCTTGGTATGCATTAAAATGGCAGACGCAAGCGGCGCCCCAAGGCGCGTATCCATGGCGTACATCCTTGGCTTCAGCAACAAGCCTTTCAAAAATGGAGGGCCACCTGCGCCGCCACCTGCGCCTCGCCATCCAAGCGCGTTCAAGAGAATGGTGGGCTCTTACTACGCGAACATACGAGCTGACTCACTAACCGTTGGCAGGTCACAACGCCCGGCGGTGTTATCGAGTGGGCCGCCAGTGATGGTCGACGTGGTACCCTCACCGGTCCCGGCAAGCCACGCCTGACGACTTCCAACGTTGCACAAGTTCCTGACGGCAATGTGCCGGAAGTCAAGGCTGCTTCGGAGAAAGTAGCAGACGAAGACGATGGCGGTCTTTTCGGCGGTGGACTGTTCGGAAACGTGCCTGCTGCACCAGCCTCGGTGAAAGTTGCAGATGGCGACAATCTCGCCGACGGTACCTGGACCAAAGAGGAGGACGAGAAGCTTTTAGAGCTCAGAGCAGCGAATCACAAAGGCCCATGGGCCTCCATTGCTGACGAGCTGGGCAAGAAAGAACACGAATGCAAGGCGCGTTTCAAGGTGGTCAAGCCTAACGATTGGCGACCAAATAATGCGGGAGGTGGTGGTTGTGGTGGCGGCAAGCAAAAGAAAGGCAAACAAAGGGACCAAATGGGGCAGAAGATCCAGCAAGGTGGTGACAACAATCCTGATGAGAAGAAAGGCGAAAACAATGCCTCCGGGGACAACCCTTGGGTCACTGGTGGAGCCAACAAGGATGGAGACAATCAAAACTCCGGCGGCTTCAAAGCCAACACGAGTAATGGGTGGAATACCGGCGGCGGTGGTGGCGGCAGGGTAGAATGGGACACCAGCGCTAAAAACAACGGCTCTGGCGGCTTCGGCGACACCACACCCGCATGGGGCGCTGGAGGCGGTGATTCGGGAGGCAACGATCCAGAGAGATGGGATACTGACAACAATGGCGGGGGTAATTCTGGAGGCGGTGGCGGAGCAAACGGCTGGGAGAATCCAGCTGGGGGCGATGCATGGGGCGCACCAGCCAATAACACGTCCAAGGATAACACCTCGAAGAAAAGCTCGTCGGTGAAGGACTCATCGTCCAAAAAGGATGTCAAGTCATCTTCCAACAAGCACTATTCGCAGTCTGTGTCGAAGCACCGCTCTTCTCGCAGCTCTGATAAGGCTTCTATCTCAGTACCGGCTGAGTACGAACTCAAGCCCGACTCTATATTCTCTGCTGACGACTTACGACTTATCGCGAAGATACTGCAGCAAGACTGCTCGATGGTGTGGGACAGGGTCAGCTGGAGGTTCAAAGACAAGACAGGCAGGAATGTACATCCTGACGTATTCGAGAAAAAGATCACAGGCAAGATCGAGAACAGAACTGATTGGTGAATTTGGCCTCCGAGTCTGGGATGACCTCTTGACCGTCGGTTGAACGAACTTCCAGCAGTGCTTCTCGCAACTTGCTATTGTTCATGTAATATAATCTTGCTCAAGTGGGCCGACGTAGGCCACAGCTAGGTTGGTATGTCTGACTGACAGCCTGGTGCGCACTTTCAAGGAACTGCATAATGAATGAATGGATAGATTTGATTAACGTCCTATAAAATTTGGGGTTTGCCCGGTTCCCTTGACCTCCTAAGGGATACTAGGGACGCGCTGCGCTCGGGTCTTAGGGGGTTCCAGCTCTGTCATAGGTAGCAATGTTTTTAGTCGAGGCTTTAGATTGGGAATAATCTGAGGTCAAGTGGTTTCCTTCCGAAGGAACAGCACAGACGCAATGAAAACCGAGTAGGTATGGATCTCGATGCCTGACCCGTTTCACGCGGACATCCCTCTCGATCCGACGATGTTGTGTTGCGGTGCAAGTCGGTCCGACAGGCCTTGATCGTCACCTCTGTTGACTACTTTGGACTAGCACGTCTCAGGTCATGTATATATGGTCGCCTCCCAGCTAGCAAGCAACTCAGCGCAGTTTCCATCAACTATACAGCGGCTACGTCTGCCGCAACATGTTGCAATAGCTCCGCTGAAAATGCTCCGATGTAGGATTGATCTAAATCCGATAAAACGAGATTGATAAGATCGCCCCACTCTTATTGCACGCCCAAGCAATGAGAAGCTTTCGGTAGAAAGCTTCATGTCGTGAGCCCGACATGCTGCCCAGAGTGAGACCAAGTGATGGTATATTCTGCAGGCGACCCATGTAGGTTGAATGCTACAATAATAAGAGCATCCCGCTATTGTATTGCAGGTCTTCGCGCCTACTTTGACATTAGCTATCGTACCGTGATGCATCTCCACAGCTAGCTGCTCGCCGCATTGGCGATTTTATTTCCAGCTCAAGCCCAGGCCAACAGTACGGATATGTGGCCATTGCAAGCCTTCAAGTCTCCCAAGCTCTCCATTACAAGACTCGCACCACCTTACCAGGCCACATATCTCTCCCAGTCAGTGGTCACAAAGCTCATAACATCAGTCTCTTCGTTTACCAAGATGACGGCGAGCTGATCTGGCAGTCTGAATAAGGAAATTTAGCTGCCTTCCGCCCAACCAATCTCTTCTATGAGCCAGTCCTTGGCTTCTTCAGCGGTATAACACTTCCTGAACCTTGAGGCTTTGGCTATGGAATAGTGCAGATCCTCAACCAACAATACGAGCGCAAATACAACGTCACACTGTGGAATTTGACTTTCCGACTCGAGAAATCAGTCCACTGTACGACCTTACGAAGTATTGGCCGTTTCGTTGGATCGATATGCATGAGAACCTCTCTACCCCTGAAGACTGAAGGTGCAATGTTTGTCACCTCAAAAAACGTCACACCCTGGAATTCGACTTCCATCGGCGGACCAAGACATGGATGAATTGTCGACTAGATTGTGCTCAGAACAAATGTAACCAACAGTGTGATTCTGTGGTAGTGGCGTCATCTCGATCATGTCAACGAGATCTCTTTGAAAAGCGTTCTACCAACGTAGCCTCCGGGCAACTTAGGTCAGTACAGCAGCCACCCCTGGGGACCATTCCACATCAATTCTGTCGAGCACTTCTCCGACGGTAGTCCGATTCTCTGATCAGGACACTACTGCTCCGTTTTTAAGATCGCCCGCAAAAGTAGTATAGAACGTCACTCAATGTAACCTCATTACTCCTTCTCCGACCCCTCAGATCCTATTTACTCCGTTTCCATGGCTAAATGCAAGCTGCGCCCTCCAATGACATCTTCATGGGATTCGGTAGCGTGCCCAGGATGAAAGAGCTCAGTGAGAGTGGCGATGTGGTTCTGAGTGTAGCATGGGGCGGAGCAGTATCGATGCAGAATTATCGTGGGTACAAATCGCCGTGGGTTGGAAAGCCCGTTACGAAGCCGGAAATCGCTGTCTGTTGGAACGGAATTACAACTGAGGTCTATATGAGCTGAAAATTGGAATAGGGCAACGGAGGTGAGCAGTTGGAGCGTGTGGGGTGGTGCGGGGAACAGGACAATGAGGAGGATTGAGATTGTTGAGAATAGTGGGTTTGAGAGGGTGGCAATTATCGGTGCTGAGTTTACATATGTAAGAACTGAGGCCCCAGGTGAAGGTATCGAGCTGTTTGTGCCTCACGTCGTTGCTGTCACAGAGATTTGCGACCGATACGATGTAGAATAAAAAAACGGTGGCAATGGATAATCTTGTTATGAGCGAAGCAACTAAGTAGTATCGATGTTGTTTCTGCTAGACTATAGGGCTGCATTTTCGATGTAGATAACGAGTATACGCAAGCAACCATGAGTGATGCCTTCATGCGGAATCATCCCTGGCGCACATCTGTTCGAGAAGTACACATGGAGGATCTTTGTTACTCATCCCACAACCTCCCCCGTACGACGAGCTTTGACCTTGCATAACAAAGGATTCTTCATCCATAGCGCAAAGGACTTCTGTTCCAGCCAGCCCTGGCTCTCTTTGCAGAGCTCCAGATCGAAGCATAACATAATTGAAGCAAGTATAAGCCGCATTTCATGCATGGCCATATTCTGACCAAGACAGTTCTGGTGGCCCCATCCAAATGGCTGCAAAGCATCATGCACGTCGTTTGCATATGTGGCATTTTCTCCAGGCACCCACCGCTCTGGGATAAATTGGTCAGGATCCTGAAAGTTGGCTGGGGAGCGATAGGTGGAATAGTGATGAACTGATACCCTAGTTTCCTCTGGTATCCATTTCCCAAGGATCTGTTGGCCGCCTGTGGGGACAACGCGAGGGCTTCCAATAGGGACTGGAGGGTAGATTCGGAGACCTTCTTTCAAACAAGCGTTTAGGTACTTGCATTGAGCAAGGTTGTCGAATGTCATCTGCTCAGGCAACTGAAATTTTGTACAAATTTCGTTTTTTAGACGTGTGCATTGTTCAGTGTTCTGGAGCAGATAATATGTCAGACCACTTAGCAAAGTAGCTATGAATGTTAGTTTCAGGCTGTGCATTAACCACAAAGAGGCTCACCTGTGGTTTCAGACCCAGCTAGCATGAACAGTTCGGCGTTGGAATGCATCTCCTCTATCGAAAGGGCGTTCTCAGAGTCCTGTGCCAAGATAATAAGATTCCAGATGTCAGGCTGATCAGAACCTTCTTGCAAACGTTGATTCACGCGGTCAGCTGAGTACTGACAGTGATTCTTTCGTTGCTCTGTAACCCATCTAGGCTCATAGCGCTTAAACATTGAGTCTAGTAGGGGGTAGTACGCGATAATTGATGCAAAGGGCAACATCTTAAGTGACTCAAAAACAGAACGAACCCAAGGGCTGAGCTCATTCTTCTCTAGTAAGCTAAGAGAATGGCCAAAGCACAGTTGAGCCATAGTGTCAAAAGTGGTGAAATTAAAGAGTTGCGTCAACTCAGCAGGTTGCTGGCTGTCTGCAATCTGAACCAGCTTTGTCAATAGGATATCCACACTTTTGAGACAGAGTTAGCGAGGTTTTCAGTGCTGTTGGAATTGGATATGAAGCCTTTACTTACTATGCTTTGAACAGGGGTTCTTGCTTTTTAAGTGCACGGTCAGAGAAAGCTGGCGAGAAGAGCCGGCGAACTCGCGCATGGTCCTCGAAAGTGGCGTTTAACATACTTGGGACACCTTTTTCATATTAATCACTGCACTAGAAAGAAAACGTAGAGCTATCATACCATTGGCAGGTTGCACAGAGAATTCTGGTGCTTTGTTGTTCTCCAGTCTGCCCTTGCTGTGTCCGTGGATATCTTTCCATGCCTGTGCTGTAGCATAGCTAAGGTCGGTTGGTCCAAATCGAACAACAGGTCCATATTTCATGTGGAGTTGATACATCCACTGTACATCTCTTCCTTGGATTGTGGCCAGCCAATATGGGATTCGGCTGATTGAACACAACCTTGGCCCTGGAAACTCTGCAAGAGGATGCAAAGTTAGAAGGTATACATGTTTTGCTGCAATATACGCGCTGATCAAAGACAGTATAAGCGTGATGAAATTGAATGAAAGACTGTTGTGCAACAAGAGAGAGGGCAAAATGCCAGGACTCTTCTGATCCATGGTAGCTGTAATGGTGTACTTCGTGTAGTGGAAGCTAAAGAGTATGTGAGTATTTAGAGCGTGTGTTGAAATCTGTCTTGGAGCAAAGGGCCAGCAAAGAAATGCAGAGTTCTATCCATGCGCGGCCGTTGAGCTTCGGTAAATTGGCCAAAATGGAAACGCAATTGAGTCGTATATCATCATTGGTGCAACGTTAACAGGGAACCCATACCTAGTCCGTATTAAGGTTGACGCCGCAACTAAGCTGCACATGAATGTAGCTTGGGATGTGTTATGGATTCCCCTGAAACTCGTGTGACGCATTGCTGCTGGAAAATACTTCTGCGGAAGCTTCAACACTCAAATTCACTACAGTTAGTGATTTCATAGCGACCACTTGAGTACTTCTTTGTGTCATACGTTTTATTTGATTGATCTTCCCAGCACATGTAAATAGCGGAGGAAAGCCAAGCGCGCTAGTTAAGAGGTAGAAGGAGCGGTGTACTGTATTAAACTTGTTTCGCCTACAGCCGCATGAGACCTTCAATGCGATAGGCCATAGCTTGGACGATAGAATTATCGTGGTCTAGCGCAAGGCGGCTCGCCAACGTTCTTGATCCTACCACGCGTTCTCGTAGCTTGGCAATCCTGGCTCCACGCCAATACTCCAATCCACCCGTCGTTCAGTCGGCCTCAGGCCGAATCTGCACACGCAACGCTCAAGTGTCTGTGCACTGTGGGATTCTATTGCCTGCCCAATGGGTCTTATGCGCTCGATTGACCAGGAACTTGAAAGCATTTCGGAAATAAGTGAAAGTTGCATCCACTATCCAACTTTTGTCTCATAAGTTCACGCAATTAATTTTTCCCTCGTTGCTGAAATTGTGCACATGACTTCTCCCGATACCGCTCCACTGACAGGCCAGGAAATAGCTTCTGCTGCCTATGTTCTGCCACCTCTTCAGCCACAAGGGCTATCTCTTGGTATCGTTGCAGTGTCAATTCTACTTGCTATTATTACCTTGCTTGTTGCTTGTCTTCGCATCTGGGTGCGATTGGGTCTGTTGACAGGCCTCACGAGGGTTTGGAAGACGGAGGACTATCTCTTCGTCCTTGCATTGGTGGGTCAATCCTTCATACCATGCTTCAGATTATTTTACCCTTAGCTGGCTAGATCCCTTTAGACCTTTTTGACTGTGCAGTAGGTACCTTTCATACCTTCAGTTGTTTGGGCTATTATTGCCGTTCATTATGGTGTCGGTTTGCGGGATGCAGATCTGCCCTCTTCGCTCTACGCTGTTCGCGCTGGCGAATACATCGTGTATTGGGAAGTCATGTACTTCGTCTCCTCAACTTTGATCAAAAGCGCCATCGGGTTCACCTGCATTCGCATAGATCAACGAAAACGAGTGACCTATCCAGTTCTCCTGAACATTTTCATCATGTGGCTCACTGCCGCACTTGCCCTAATGTTTGTATTTGTCAACTGCAGACCTCTAGCAGCTACCTGGAACCCCGCTTTGTGAGTCTTCCAATGCAACAGTACATCTCAAATAAGTAGAGTGTACCAGAAGTCTTGGGGCTGACAATCTCTCAGAGGTACCTGTCAACAGATGATCAGTTTGGAGACCGTCAGCTATATTGTGTCAGCAGTCCAGGCATTGACGGATTGGGTATCTGCCTTTGTCCCATGCTACATTGTCTCCAAACTACAGATGCCTCGCCGAACGAAAATCACCATCGTCTTCATCCTCGGTCTAGGTATCCTTGCCAGCATCGCTACTATCATACGCTTGCCTTATCTGAAATACTACAATACCGCCAAGTACCCAAAAGACTTTCTCTGTAAGGGTCCATATTAGCGACAAGTTTTGAACATAACGCAAGGCCTAACGCAACTTAGTTCATGTTGGTGTCATCGTAATGTGCTCCAACGCAGAGTGTAGTCTTGGCATCATCGCATGTTCTCTTCCGCCGCTCCGAAAGTTACTCAAGATGTTTTATGAACATTGGAGCAGCTACAAACGAGGCGCTCAGGTATGTTTCGGTCGCTTGGGTCTATCCATATTAACACAAAAGTCCTACCATGTATGCACACGCTAAGTGGTAGACAGGATTACGATGTTCGTAATAGCGGCATGATATTGGGTCCGTTGCATCCTCAATCAGACGGTCTTTCATCAACCCGAGCGGCTGCGAGGAATGAAATTTGGCATACACTGGATAATGACGACTCGAGCCGAAAGGGGATTTTACAATAATTTCGCGATACCATGCTAGCTGAACTGCGATATCTCAAATCGATTTTCTACAGTTAAATATTACAGCGATTTGGCTGTTCAAAGTGTCTACGCCGCTCCAGAAGAAGACGTTATCTTGACTCCGATCTCTCCTGGTTCGCAGGAGCTGATTCAAGACGTTGAATTCCAACTCCAACTTCAGGCCGTACATTGATGGCTTGCGGCTCACCTGCACTTCATAAAATCAAGCAAATTGAAGCTCGATCAGGATCAAATGCAAACCAATTAAAACCCTGTTAGTATAGATGAGCTGCTTCATTACAGGTTGTTGAGGCCACTTTTGCACTTCGTCAGGTGTTGTGAAGATGGTTTTTGCATGGTAGATGTGAAGAGCAGAGATGAATGCTTCCTGAACTGCGAATATAGTAAGGTGAGCCCTTTTGTATATCTAGTAAGAATTGACGAAACGATCTGAGTTTGATGAATTGACTTCGTAGACAAGAGCTACGACGGGTACACGTATCGCCAGACCACTGGTGCAATGACAACGAGAACACTCCATAGTAATCTGCCGTTGCTGACCACAAAATGAAGCCTTGAATACAGAACAATCGATTGGCCAGTAATCATGCAAGACCAGCCCAGACATATGAGGGTGCCCCAAAGCAAGTCCTTGGTTGTAACCACGTGGCTTAGATCACGTGATATCCTATTGTAGCAGGCACTGCCCGCTGGGCAAGTGCACTTACCTGAGAGCTTGTGTAACACAATACCACTCAACATCACAAAACATCACAATACAAGAACAGATAGCAATAAAATCGTTGATCACAGTCTCTGACCGACACTGCTCACGCAGTTACATTGGTCGTGACTTGAAAGATCTTCGGAATGTATCCCAGCCCCCTTTCAATGCGAAACCAGATGCGACCACAATTAGGGTCAAGAAATAAAGTCCCATTCGTCACCTGAAGGTAGAGAGGATCCAGAAGAAGATTTCCAAAATGAAGAAGAGCGCAACGGAGAGGAACGCAGTCAAGAGCATCGCGACTAGCAAGGAAGTCTCTAAGCCAGCGACGACACCGTAGATATCACTTTCCATACTGTTCTAAGTTGTGGTATTGAGCTCGAAATCGGAAGATGGAGCGACTTGGCGGGATCAAGTGATTCTTGTGATGGCTTGCCCTTATCACAGCTTTTGTGCATGTCTCTGCGTATGCGGATGTCAAATTCCTCCCTGATGGTCATCAGTTCTTCTGGCATATAGTTTAATTCAAAACATATAGTTAACCTCTACAATATAGATAGGGGAACGATAGGGACGGGGGTTCCGATTCAGTCAAGGGTGAGGCATTACAAGGTTCTCGCCGCTTTTGTTGGCTGCTTTCAGAATCTGTAATGGCACTTCCACAAAGTTGAGAATGGCGTAGGCGCGCTCAAGAGCAGTAAACCGAACGGAATAGGGATGCGTGTTGCCGAAGATGCAATAGTGGCCGTGTCTCAGCCCCAAACGGTAAGTCAGTAATAAGACACAATCTGTTTTCGTCGAAATGTAGCTTCACTGAGTAGATTCCTGTAGCCAGCAATAACTTTTAATTCACCTCCCGGGCGACTAAGCTCATCGCTCATGCGGCGTCGAGTAGCACTAAAATGGTTGACGTCGTAACGCCCGCATAGTCCAGGTGCTCACACTGCAACGGCACGATCGTCTTCAAGACACAGACGAGAATCCTGCATGTAGCTGTGTGCCATCTAGAGAATTCTAGCAGTATAATCTCAGATCAACAGCTCCTAGAATACGACTGACAGATGTATGCGCATCTCCGACACGCTAAGTAGAGGAATGACGATGATCAGACTGCGTCTAACAATTACACGTATACGATGACAGATCCTGAGTTTTTATCCACAAAATATATTGCAATCTCTGGCTTCAGACGATGGCAGACTGTCCTGAGAATTTGGATCCTATTGCACATGATGGTATGTCATGTTTTGTCTTCCGATTTTGAGCGACTGGAACAGCTAGAGCAATTGTCAAGTGAACGCTCAATTGTAAATAGACCGAGCTCCAATCATTAGGACAGGCAAACAACAATTCAATTACTGACAACAAGCACATAATCATGCAGCGTAGGTAGAATAGGATGCTTTAGTCTATGACGAGTAGATTTTCTTCAGGAGAGATTTCGCTGACGAATTCGAGCGCGGAACCTTTTGTGATGTGATAGTAGCGAACGAGATACGAAACTGAAGCTTAAACTTATCTTCAAATCTGTTGCGGTGCAAGTCGGTCCGACAGGCCTCGATCGTCACCTCAGTTGACTACCTTGGACTAGCACGTCTCAGGGCATGTATATATGGTCGCCTCCTAGCTAGCAATCAACTCAGCGCAGTTTTCCATCGATATACAGCGGCTACGTTTGCCGCAACAAAATCCCCCAATGCAAGACCCTAACGCCCTAGCATCATTGTAAACAGCAGTGGCGCTATATTGCGTACTGACTGCAGCCTCAGCTTCAACAGCAAGAAGGCTCTGCATTATTTTTGACAATCCAGAAGCAGTCTTACGGCATCTGGATTTTCGCATAATCTCAAAAGTGCGCGGCTCCATGAGAAGCTGGGAGCTTTCGAATAAGCTAATGCATTCAAGGTCCAGCGCATCACATGCAGTACAATAACAGGCTTGCAATTAAATGCTGTTATGTTGCGGCAGAAAACTGCGCTGAGTTACTTGCTAGCTGGGAGGCGACCATATATACATGAACTGAGACGTGCTAGTCCAAGGTAGTGAACAGAGGTGACGATCAAGGCCTGTCGGACCGACTTGCACCGCAACAAAATCACAACCCACGAGTACTTGGAGCACCGACCTTGGAATTTCGACCCGATGACAGTCTCGACTACTCCATCATCTTTGAATCCCACATCAATACCAGCCAATGGCCGAGACTCAAATGATCCGGCTGAAGTCTAGACAACGAGGACGTACAATCTGCTTATTGGGCTGGGTGTTGGTCTTGGAGCGTCACTGCTCATCGCCAGCTATCTACTATATCTTGAAATGCGTAAGTGACACAAGTCTGGGAGTTTGACCCCATCGAGAGAGAAAGTCGAATACTCAGGAGATGAGATGGCCCAACTAGACGCGATATGCAACTACGACGTTGATGCAGGACAGCCAGCTGGCGTCGAGCTTCCTTCACGCGTACCCAGGCGCACCAGCCATGGAGCTATCCCACTGCCATGATAAAGGGGAAAGGCACGAACACTAGGTTCTGTGGTTGACTGAAAATTTTAAGGACAAGCAATATGCAGCAGGATCGATCCGGGACCTGATAGAAATGGGTCTAGAGTTTCAATGGCGTGGCACTCAGGCTAGCTACTGCAACAGCGGTGGCAGCAGCTTCAGCTTTGCAAAGTCTCCAAGCACTTTGATAAGGGCGTCGTTGGAATCAACGAATCCATGCCAGCCCATCTTCCGTGCCTTGTTCATCGTGAGATCCAGCGAAGCACCCATCAAACTACCATCCGTGAATCCAAAGATTTGATCCATATCCATGTCTTGCAATTTATCACCAAGATGTATTCGACCTATAGTATAATCCTTCCAGAATAGCAGGTAGGCGCCAAGATAGGCAGTGAATCTTTTTCCACCGCTCCGGGACTTCTGCGAGGACTCGCAACGTGTAGTTTCTAGATATACCATTGGAACCGGTTGTGATTGCTGTGAGACCTTTATTGAGGAAGGGAAGATAGGCAGGCCATGGAAAATGCCTTTGGAATGGGCTGTCTGCTGATTCGACATGTTGGCGGTTGTCTGATTGACTTTGGTTGAAATGATTCGTTACGTCTTAGAGGATCAATTTATTGAGCTTATCACAAGTTTGCAGCCTTTCTCATTGCGAGATGTGGGTCATGTTATTCAGAAGCAACTCCAGGTGGTGATTTCGTGTGGGGAGGATGATGCATTTACAGGGGCGAGGGTATTGCCAGAACACTGAGCGGTATCCAACGACATTTGACAATCTCTCCACGATGGGAAACACTCTGTCCGTAGACTCTTAGCTCGAAAAAACAAGAACGAGTACACTCCTCCACACTGCGCACAACTCGCAGCTAGTTGGTCGAAATCGTCTCGATCTGCACGGTACCCGAGTCCTTCTACACAACCTCATGGTCACGTACGAGGACGACTTCTATACGACCGTCAGCGCCAGCCATCTCATCGCGGACGACACAGTTCTGGGGTTGTGAGTAGGAGCGCGGGATGAGATAGGGGAAGTGAGTATACGTACGATTTCCGTGCGGCGCAGATTCACGCCCCTAAAGCACTCGAGGTAGCTGGCGCTCTCCGTCTCGGCCTTCTCCAGCTCGGTCGTGTATTTGATGTACGCGACCGTCCGTGCGACCTCGATATCGCGGTGGGGGGAATCTTGTCGCAGGCGCTTCAGGCTCCTTGTAGCCTCCTCGGCGTCACCGCGTCGGACGGAGTTCCAGGGCGACTCGAACGCTTAATAGGCCCCGATGAGCAGCGGCAGAGGCCACACCCACTACAGAGCAAACGGCAAGCGCCATGCCAGGTTGCCCTGCACGTCGATCATGGCTCTGACTACACCGGAAGAGAGTAGGATGCCGGCGCCCCAGCACATGCAGACGTAAGCAGTGACATAGGGACGGAGGATAGTAGGCACGACCTCGGACGCGTAGGTGGAGAGCGTCTGCGCGCGTTAGCTTCATCTCAGGCCGGTCAGGGGTTGCAGAACGCACCTGGGACACACCCCACGGGATGCCGGACATGGCTTCGCTGAACGTCAGCAGGGACAGCGACGGCACGAAGAAGACGATGAAAATGGCGCACATCATCCAGCCCATGAAGAACATCATCGTCCTGCGGCACCCAAAGCGATCCTGGGCGCACTCGTTGACAACAAGGCCAGCAAGCTGCCCGATGAGCGCCGAGTTGGTCAACCCCGACTGCCACGCGGGCGAGATGAGCTTCTTCCCGGCCCTCACGTCCAGCTCGCCAAAGCGCTCGAGGAACTGTGTCTGTCCGTAGAACGAAGTGATCTGTCATGCATCAGCTCCAGTGCTCGACACACCCGGCAAGAAGCGAGGACCCACGATAACAACGTCGTAGCCTTCCATGATCAGGCTGGTGGACAAGAACATGGCCCAGAAGACAGCTCTCCTGTACTTCTTCAACGCGGCCCTGAGCGTCAGCGAGCAGTCAGCGGCATCATTCGCCTCAGCCTCGCGGACCAGGTCCTGCGTGTCTGTGCTGGAAAAGTCGAGAACCTTGAGCTCGCAATCGGTAGGGACGGCTGTTGCAATCGCCATGGCTGCGCGGTGCAAAAATGCTTCTAGTCCAGATGCGCTTCTGGGAGTCTGTCTGTCGTTGAGCACGGTGGGGAGGAGCAGACCCGGGGATCTGCAGTTGTTATATAGTCAAGCTTCGCCAGTATAAACTCGCTCATCTTGGCTTGGAAACCAAAGTGCCGGAGCATGTAGTTCGGTATTAGGATGCGGGGACCCTGGATTCACTTGCTAGAGCACATGGTAGCAATGCTTCTTTTACGATGGTCGAGGGGAAACGGGCAATCAGCAAGCATCGGCGATCCGGCCAGCGCAAATGTACGGGCAGCTCCCACCGGTGGGCTGGACCCTGCCACCGCAGCCCACTGGACCGAGGGTTCGGTGAAGGTGCCGCAATGTGGGGTGACTCAACTTGCTCAACACATAATCACCAGCTAGGAGCCAGCATTACGACAGTCATGGGCTGATGTGCAAAGCTCCATGGGCATGTACAAAGCTCCATGGGCATTGCTGAGGAAGACGTCTCTACTGTAAGTTTTCGGCAGTGTTGCGAGATCACACCAGGGCGGAGGCCGCGACCTCGTATCAGCGGGGTAACAGCGCGGGGACTGACCGCAAGTCCACGGAGGGTGCTGCGAAGGAAGAGTAAAGTGACTATCCTTGACATGTATTGTTGATAGGAGTTAGATGAGCGCCGCTGACACACGAAGGAAGCGCTGCTCGGACCTGACTCCTGCGAGCGCTCTGCATCGACGCCACCCAGGAGAACGACAGCTGTGTGAGGTCAATAGTTAGCTCGAAGGGTGGACTTGCACGATCCGCAGGGCAACAGCTGCAAATACTTCGTAGGCCTGCCAAGTCAAGTCGGCTGGATCGTAAACTCGTGAATTCATATCATACTACCCCTTCCAACGCCAGACATGCGTTCCGTCACCACGCTACTCCTGCTCTTCAGGAAGCACGTGCGCAGCGCTAAGCCCGAGCTCCTCTCCCACCCTGCGGACGACGTGCTGGATAGCCTTGCAGGCGGGACTGTCGGGATACGCGGTCAGGAAGCTCTCGCCGAAATCACAGGCCATGCCGATTCTAGGATCGAGGGGCACCGCGCCCAGGAAAGGGATATTCTCGTCCTGGGCCAGGCGTCGCGCGCCGCCGGTGCTCGGGCGGAAGATTTGCGCCTCGTGCTTGCAGCCGGGACACACGAAGCCCGACATGTTCTCGACGATGCCGAGGATGCGGATGGATGCCTTGCGGCAGAAGTCGATTTCCTTGCGGACGTCCAGCAGGCTGACCTCCTGGGGCGTGGTGACGAGCACGGCGCCGCTGACGCCGCTGGCCTTGAGGAACGAGTTGACGCTGAGGTGCTCGTCGCTGGTGCCCGGCGGGGTGTCGACAATCAGAAAGTCCAGCTCGCCCCAGCACACGTCCATGAGGAACTTCTTGATGAGGCCGTTCTTCTTGGGCCCGCGCCAGATGACGGCGTCATCGCGGTTGGGCAGCATAAACTGCACGCTCATGACGCCGAGATTCTCGCTGACCCACACGGGCTCCCAGCCGTCGGCGGTCACGTGGATCGTCTCGTCCTCGACGCCCATCATCTTGGGTATCGACGGGCCGCAGATGTCCGTGTCCATCAGGCCGACGGTTGAGGCCGGGTTGGAGGCGAAGCCATGCGAGAGCATGGCGCTGAATGTGCTCTTACCGACGCCGCCTTTGCCGGAGAGGACGAGCATCTTGTGCTGGACCGACGCGAGGCGCGCCGTGATGAGGGGGATGTCGGGGTCGGGGCCTTTGGGCGCCGAGGCGCAGATGGCCTGATTCGGGCAGCCAGCGCAGTTGTCTGCTTTGCCTGCCTGGAGCGACTCCGGGCCGGGGCAGTGTTCTGCGCAGAGTTGTCAGTAGTGTATAGTTGCCATCGCTTTGCGACGCGGCGGTGGCGGCGCGTACCGGGCTCGGGCGCAACGAGCTTCGGCGCCTTCTGGAGAGGCGCATCGAAGTCGACTTGTGTTGGTTCTTCGAGCGAGGGCGCCATGCTGGTGTGGGACTGGCGAGTGCGTCGTGGCTCACATGGTTGCGTCTTGGAGAAATATCACTGAAGCTTGATAATCATCCCGCCATTGTAGGGCTGACGCTTTAGCTTGCCCCACCGAGACCGGACCTACTCGGTGCATTCCTCACGTTTGTCATGGTCAGTCACGTGAGCCATGTCTATCCATGCAATTCGTCACGTGAACTATGTCTATTTATGCAGTTCATGTATCGTCATCTTCATCCTCATCGTCTCCATGCCACACATCTCTACTAAGCAACCCCACTCCTCCACCGCGTTCCTACTTCAGCTTGACCATCACGTACGGAATCTCGACGTCCTCCTCATTCTGGTCCTCCGCCGTGATCTCGAAGATGACGTTCTTCTGGTGCTCGGGAACGGCCTTCTTGCTGACGTGCTCGACGAGCTTGCTCATGCTGGGAACTGTTAGCTGCTGTCCTACACATGCATTCAAAAAAGTGAAACTCACCTCAGTCCCATCCTGTCCTTCAGCTTGGCCGGAGGATAGAACGATGCGTAAAGCAAACTGACCCCAGAGCTGACCATCTGGATGTCGAGCCCCTTCTGCTTGAAGTGCTCGACAAACTCCTTCAGCGTCATGTCCTCAACCTCGAAGCGATCCCATAGCCTATCGATCGTGACATCGCCGTCTGGCCCAGCGTATGTGCCCTTCGGGCTGGCAATGGGCTCGCTGAAACCGAAGAAGGGTAGCGCCAGGTTGATGAACCCGTTCTTGTACTGCTCAATGTCATCCTTGCCATCAACCACCTTGTAAAGCTCGAGGTTGACAAGACCAGTGACCAGCGCCGTCGTCGTCGCGATCGCAGGGATGATCTTGCCAGCAATGAACTTGGTCTTGTGACGGTCCGCCTGCTCGATCTTGTAGTTCTCGGCCCGCAGGTTACTGCATGCCGTGATGAAGTCGATGTGGTGATTTGTGTCGTCGTCCTTCTCGAACTCAACAGGCTCCAGCTTGAAGCCAGCGAGCGACTTAGGCGACGGCAGCTGGCTAATCATCTCGTCCAGCTCGTTGTTATCATCCATGGGAGGCGCGTTGGCATTTGGGTCGGGCTCGTTCTCGCTCGCTTGGATCTTGACCGTCGGGTCGGGTCTGAAGTCAGGAACAATCATGTCGTTCAGAACCTCGAGGTAGTGCTCCTTGGTCGCGTTCGGTTTGATTCCGTAGTTGTACGCGTGCAGGATAGCGGCAGCCTCGACGAAGGTAGCGTGTGTGGGATTCGAGGCGTCGAACTTCAACGGGTCCGGTGCACGCTTGGGTCCGGACCAGAATGCTTGACCAGATCCAGTTGTGGAGTCCTTGGGGAAATTGTACAGCAGCTGCGCAATGCTGTGGTTGTAGCTCTTCTCAAACTGCTGACGGGCCCAGATGATGCAGTCGTCAAATGTAAGAGGCTTCTCTGTAACCAAGAAGTCACGCAGTGTCTCTAGTGTCTGCTTCTCATTGCCAGACTGCTTCAATGATGCGCCTAGGTAGTCGGGCTGTGTGAGGTAAAGGTTGACAACTTCCGGACCCTTGACGAACAGCGAGTCGAACATCTCGCGTGCCCACGCGATGGTGTGCTCAATTCGGTTCGGGAAACTACGCAGCGTGCACATGGGGAACGACTTCTCCGGCGGGTCTTGCGACGAAGAGTAGGACTCTGTGATGAACGGAAGAACGACCTGGGTATTGCCCTTGGTGCCGAGAGTACCGCTATCGAGCAGAGGCTTGCGGAAGAAGACGCATCGGCGGTCGACGTATGTGCGGGCCTCGACATTGTCAAGAGCGTTGGTGACGCCGTCTAGCGAGTTCCAGAACGTCTCGTTGAAGATTTCTTCTGTGTCTGGGCCAACCTTGTCGGACAGAACCTCGATCTTGTTGTTGAGATCAGGGTTCATGGCCTGGACAGCCTTTGCAGCTGCTGCAGACTTCAACGAGCCGACATCGTGGGGACGGAATAGGAACTGGCGGTTCAAGTTGCTCTTCTCGATCTGGTCGTTGTCGGTGACGGTGATCTTGCCACCAGGCCCGGCAGCCAGACCCATCAGCGCCCAGTTCTTCAGCATTTCGCAGCCAATGGCACCGGCACCAACGAGGAACTGCTTGACGTTGCCAAGCTTCTTCTGGTACTCCTGACCGAGAACCGCGATCTGACCATCGTAGCGGGAGCCAATCGGAGCGCAGTCCTTCTCCGAGCGTGCTGTGGAGGTGGGAAGCGACTCAAGCGAGTCAAAGTACAGCCACTGCATGATCGGGTGGAACTTTCCGGAGACAGACTTGAGCACCTCTTGCGCAGCCAGGCCACCGAAGAAAGCAGCGACGGGACTGAGATCGCCGCGGGCCTGGTAGCTGAGCTCCTTGATCAGCTTCTCGTCGAGCTCGACTTTGTCCTCGCCCTGTCCAGCCAAGCCCTGTGCAAGCTTCAGAACCTCGGCTGCGTCAGCCTCGTTGTGTGGTCGCGGGAACTCGCCGTTGTGACTCTCGGCGAACTCGTGCAGAGCCTGGATACCAATGTGGAGCTGCTGCGGACGGTCGAACTTTGCGAAATCGGAGATCAGGAGCTCGGGCTTCTTCAGCTGCTGGCTGAGTGGCTCGAAGTTGACGATCTTGGGCATCTTGACCTGAATGTACTGGCCTCCACTCTTGTACTCGCCCAGCCCAGAGACGTCGCCAATGGAGAATGTGTATGGTCCCTTGACCTCGATCTTGCGAGGGGCACAGTCGTTCAAGCCCTCCATACCCTTGACCTCAGAGAATGTGACCCAGTCACCGTCCTCAAGACCGTGGCGCGTCTCATCGAGCGCCGAAACAAGACCCTCCGAATCAATGCCAGCAATGATTCCATTTGTAACGTTCTCGCCGGTGGGGTCGCCGATGGTGAAGTTCTTGCCGAAGTCGGTGAAGATTGAGCCGAACAGACCGAAGGTGTCGGTGATGACAATATAGATGCCGTTCTCGTGGCAGTAGTCTGCGATCGTGACCTGATCCTTCAGCAGTGTATCGGTCAAGACGATGACCTGGAACTGCTTCAACTGAGACAGGTCTGACGTTAGGTCCTTGCCAGTATATTCCTGCACAGGTGTGTATGGGTTGAGCTCCGAGACTCGTGGGACGGTGACGGTGGCGCGCGGCTTACCGACGTCGTCTGGGCGGAGGAAGAACTGTGACGAGAGATCGGCGAGGGCGGCGGGCTTGGGGTCGTAGAGCGTTAACGACTTGACACCGGCGAGGGCAATGTTCTTCGCGATCTCGACACCGAGACCCCGCATGCCCGCTACGAGAACATTGGATGAGCCCATGCGCTTCATGGCCTCGTGGCCGAGCACGTACAGTTGTCGGCTGTAGAGCGACTCGTCGATCTCGCCGTTGTTGCCAGACGCCTCCTTGAGCTGCTCGACGGCGGCTGGAGGGTCGTCGACCTGCATTTTGTCCTGCGTCGTGTTAGTCATTGTGGTTTTAGGAGAAAGGTTGGTCGGTAGGATGGCAGCGTGAAGTTCTATGGTTGCCACGCGCGCATGCACTGGTTTACTAATGCACAGCCCGGCGCAACCCACTTCGGCGCATTTGCTTAGTGATGACAAGGGCACACTTGCTGTCATAATTTTCTTGGTTGGACTAGAGTCCTCGCTGGAATGCTTGCGCTTCGACAGCTTGTCGGCGGGCGCTGTGGGTGGAGCTATCGTGTGTCGTCGTGGGTGCGTTTAGTAAGGTGGGGTGTGACGTATGTAGTGTTGTGTGCGTATGTACAGCTGGTGTAAGTATGGGTGGTGGGTGAGGTGGAGTGTAGGAGAAATTGAGAGTGCGATTTGGTGCTGTTGAGGCAGCAGCTACGGTGAAAGCTGCGTTGATGACTTGCCTTCGAAGAAGGTGCTGGATTACGAAGTAGAGCTCGAAACCACCCCACATGGCCCGTGCCATAATGCGGTCACCGTGCTAGGCCTTGTCCATCCAAGTCCTCACCGTTCCACTTTCGTCTTTGACATGTTGTTCACAATAATTAGGCCATCGTTTACATTTGCGAAGGTTGGTAGTCTGCACCTCCCAGCTAATTACTACTCCTAACCACTTCCCATGGATCTTCGCCGAGTCAGCATTGCCAGATGACTCTACGGTTCGCTATCACCACACCCTATTAGTTAATTCTGTGTGTTTACATCGTGTACCTCCGTACATCGTATCTGTACTCTGCATTCGATCAGCCATAGCACCTTCATACTTCTCAGGATCCTTACGGTATTGCAGACGGAGTTGACGCTGTTGCCAGAGTGCTATGACGCTAATCGTAAGCTGCAACTGCCAAAGTCGATAGCTGCAGCTGCTTCTGCGGACAGACTGTTTGAGGACATCGGGGTTGCTGGTAGAATAAGATCGATGCAAGGACGGTGTGCACGAGGCTGTTGTAACGCACTTTTCCTGCACAGGACCTTAAGCTACTCTATATCCCAGGTTTCATATACTGGTCTACGTGCGAAGTCATGTAGTACTTTTGCCAGACCTCGGCATTACTCCGTAGGTATGGTAAGATGGATAGTACTTTTGTCGTCCCTCTCGAATGTCCCTCTGGACACTACGCAGACGCCAAAGTTAACGCCGCATGAAGACCGCGCTCCAGGGCCAATATCATGCAGTGATTGGACAATGCAGGGGGTGCCGCTGGCCCAACACACAGGTTGTACTTTTGCTGGCGAATCAAGAGGCTGAAGATACGCCACCACGGTCAGCCTGATCACTGCCACTCATCCATAACAACAACTCCATAATCCTCTTCTTCTTCTTCGTGAATCAGTATTTTAATGAGGTACCAGAGACTGCGCTGATCAAGTCCATCTTTGGTGGCGGAGTTTCATGCCTTCCAGTCGGCAGATTGCAGCCTTGTCAATCATCAAGTCGATTTCGACTTCATTCCCCCGCTTATCCAAAAAGTTATCATCTAAACCTACACAGGTAACTGCTAGGGCCAAACAGGTAATCAATCAAGTCAATCAGAGGCCGCTGGGCCCCACTATTGTTTGTTGACAACTGTGGCAGATGCACAGAAAACAGAACGCTAGATGCGAGCCAACGGTAAATCGGAAACTGAAGTGTACGCATCTAGTCCTGTGGCTCGTGAGTACCAGTCTGTTTGTCTGTGTGGCCTCGACTGGTAACAGTTACAGCGACGCCTCCTGCTGTCATGTGTCACACCATCTCAGAAAGGGAGACTCACATAACGAGCCCGAGTGTCAGATTGATCTCCATTGCTAGTCCTTTCGGCCGTAGCCCAAGTCCATGGTCTTGGATGGATATCTACTCGCTACCTGACACAGGCTCATTGTATGGATCCGAGTGCGCGTCTATGTACGGGTGGTTGAAGAATACTGAGCTGTGGTCGGACGAGGAGTAACCTACGTGGGCATCTTTGGATTCCTTCCTTGATGGACTGGAGATGGACAACAGGCAGCGTCAACAAGCTTGAACCTGCGAAGCGGGACTCAAGCCAAACGAGGAAGGCGCAGTCAACACGTGAAGCATCACGTGTACATCTTTACAAGCGTAGAATCACAGCTCGCACCACGATTCTGCAATACATCTTCGTCATCAATAATCGATTCATATGGTGTCGCTCATGCCACGCGTGAAGTTCATGTACAATGCGTAACCGTTTTACCCATTCCGTCTCATCCTTCACGTGCCATGTCGTGATGCCCGCCATAATCCATTAACCCCCGCCCATCTCTCATGAACTGTCTTTCATAATTCGTGAACCTCGAACACCAAACGCCGAAAGAGCAAAGCTTTACGCTGCTCGAAATGCAATGAACCGCCCATGTAAAAACATCGACAAGAAGTCGTCAAAGAACAAGAGAAAATGTACAAGTCCTCGCACGACGCATAGGAGGCAGAAGACGGGCCCGACGGGTTCTACCGCCTGCTCGAGTGTCTTGTGCGCCGTGTGTGGCGGTCTGACGAACTTGCGCTGCCTGCAAACTTGTTAGTGACTTGATTCCAGGCAATCAGTAGGAATGAACTTACTGCTACTTGTGTAGTCCGAGTAATAGTAGCTCGACCCAGAAACAGTCGTACTCTTATCATCCTTGCGATCATGCTTTCTCTTCAACCCCAGTGCAAGCGCCAACCCACCCAGCGCAGCCGCCATGCCCATACCCTTGCCCATCCCATGCTTCTTCTCGCTCATCGGGCGACTGGGACGGCTAGGTCCCTGGCCGTACCACCTTCCTCCCGCAGCAGCGCTGCCAGAGTGGTGGTGGTCCTCGACGTAGGTCGTCTCTTCATGGGTGTGCTTGCGCTTCTTGCCGCCGATGCCCAGGATACCGAGCAGGGTGTCGAAGAGCGCGCGGGCGCAGCAGAACAGGCAGAGCAGTAGGAGGAGCAAGATGCCGAGGAGCACACCAATGACGATACCGGCGATGGCGCCGCCAGAGAGACCGTTGGAGGCGCCGGTCTCAGTGAGCGAGCCGCTTGCGCCGGTGGGCACGGCGGTTTGGAAGGGCACTGTTGCGGTGGGCGTGCCGGTGTATGTGATCACGACCAGGGTTGAGGAGGTGGGACGGACAGGCGCAGATGCTGACACGGTGGGCACGATGCCGCCAGAGGAGCCGCCGGCGATCAACGCGCAGGTTCCAGAGGCCTTGCAGTAGAACCCAGAGTCGCAGCAGACGCTTCCGCACGGGCTTTGGCTGTTCCCGCAGGCAGCAGTCGTCGTGGCACCGCCAGCGTAAGAAGAGCCAACGCTGGTTTTTGTTACGGCGCCGACTGTCTCGACCCAAGTAGAGGTGTAGTAAACCCATCCACCGCTCGTAGCAGCAGCACCAGCAGAGCCGCACTGCGCTTGGTTGCTAGCATCAGTGACGCAAGTCGAGCCTGACGGGCAGCAAAGCCAATCGTCCCAACCACAGCTCACACCATCACAGGCAGCGCGCTTGTCGATTTCGGTCGCATTTTGGAGTTGCATGAGCTCCTCATCGTGGACAGGGTATGGCTTCGCAAAGGCCGTTGATGTGGTGAGCGCCAGGAGAGTGAGAGCCTTGAACAGCCCCATTTTGGGCTGGAGGAGGCCAGAAAGGACCTCTCTGGACTTGTTGTCGTTTGTCGATTGTCAAAAATTTCCGTTGTTGATTGCGGTGGTAAGCTCGAGTATCGAAGTAGTGGTAATACGATGCGGGGTTGCTTTCTTAGCGTATCTGCAGGTGATAGCGAATGGAAGGCGGAGCGATCTTCGATGCCTCGTGGGTGCTTCGTCAGATGGAATGCAAAGTGAAAGTCAGCGATTGTTGTTCTCAAACAAAGAACGAGTGTGCAAACGCAGAAGGATCGATGTCGTGCAATGCAAGGGAGGAAGTAGGGCACTTAGATTTGCTTGAGGCTGGCACTTTCCGCGAGGAGGCTGGGGAGGCTGGTTACACGAAAGGACTGGCCAATCGCAGGGGCTGGCTGAAAGTCGTGAAACCTCAAGCTGTGAATACTTGGATTGATCGTAATCTGGTATTTATGGATTTCGTGGAGCAGTTTTTGAGATCTTTGGAAAGATCACTTGCGTGAGGCGCGTTGATGGTTGCCATGAGCTCATTTGTGTATACATGTGGCCCATGCGCTGTTGGATGGACAACAGCGCCAGCCACCTCATTAGCAACACCATCACCACCCATGCAACAACCCGCTGACAATGATTCGACTCGGCAACATCCTTGGTCCGGCAGCAAGCACGCCCGTACCTGACCAAATCGCATCGTGCGTCATCGCCGTGCAGTATCTAATCCAGGACCGAGTCGCTGTTTCGCACCTCTCGTCAGCCTTGCTCTGCAGGATGAAGTCGCACGGTGTTCTTTCAGATCCCTGACACTTACATTTTAGGGAGGATGGTGCCTTCTTTCGCCCGTCTTGCCGTTTTCAATCCATACTCCTCGATGAGTCTCTGCGCCGCCTTGTACCCGACCAGGTAAGCCGTCGGCTGGGTGTGGTTGTTCGTCGTCAATGGGCAAACACTCAGATCAGCGACTCTCAAGCCTTTTACACCGAGCACCTTGTAGTCCTTGTCCACGCAAACTCCCTTCTCACCTTCTTTGCCCATCATCACAGAGCCGCAGGCGTGCCACACGGTGCTCGCATTGTCGCGCACGAATGCATCGACGTCATCATCAGACAAGCTGGCCGGCCCGCAGAGCGTCCGCTTGATCGAGGCCTTAAGCACTTTGTTGTGCGTGATCTTCGTCCAAACTGAGCGCACGGCTTCCCGCATGATACGCGCATCGTAGGGGTGAGTGAGGAAGTTGAGGTTGATGATAGGCTTCTCGTTTGGATCGGCCGAGCGCAGAGTGATCGAGCCCTCGCTCTGCGGGTTCATCAAGAACGCGACGCAGGTCATGTAGCTGTTACCGTTTTCGATCTGCACACCAGGCGGCCAGGCAGGGCCGTTGTTGATGAACTCGTATGTTGGGACGTTATCCTTCGCGAGGAACTGCTGTGTCGACGATGGCAGCGCAGTGTACTCTGGAAACGAGCTGAGCTCGGGGTGCTTGAGGAACCCACCCCAGGGACAAGAATGCTGCAGCGCGAAAGCTCCTGTCTTGTCCTTCTCCCACATGGCGGCCGCTTCGCTCATCAGGTTCTCGTCAGATTCGAAAGCCCATCGGTCGTTCATCGCGCCGTCGACTTCGACGCTCATGAAGGCAAGGACGTGGTCTTGCAGGTGCTTCCCTACGCCCGGCAGGTCCTTTTTGACCGTGACGCCAACCTTCGCCAGCTCATCCTCGGGTCCAATCCCGTTGACAAGCAATAGCCGCGGGGTATCGATAGCGCCAGCACTCAGGATGACATCTTTCAACGCATACGCTGTCTTCGTCAGTTCATCGCCACCGTCCAACCCTTGCACCACATACCTTTCCTCCCATCCGCTGTCTCAACGCCGACAACCCTCGACCCATCCTCACTCCACAACAACCGCGTCACACTCGCATCAGTCCATACCTTCAGATTACTCCCCGCATCCTTCAAATGCGCAATCGCGCTCGTGCTCCGCCCATCCTTACTATAGCTGTACGGAAACACACTCACACCGATAGGGTCGCCATTATTCGGATCCAAACACACCTCCTCCCCCTGATCGACTAGCGCCTGCATACCCTCCAAGACGCCCTTCTCCAGCATCGGCGGGAGGCCAGCCTTGACCTTACCCCGCGTTCCATGGGCGCCCGGCTGCGGCTTCGCAAGGTGGCTATACGCACTACTCCCATCGAACTCGTACGTCTCAATTGCCACATAGTCCCCTTTCACAGTCTCCCACGCCCAACTCTCATCCCCCACGCGCCTCGCCCACTCATCGTAATCCGCGCTACTGCCCTTAAGATACACGCCGAAATTCAAAATACTCGACCCGCCCAGCCCTTTGCCGCGGGTGTAGGCAATCGTGCGCGCGTTGAGCGCGGGCTCAGGCTCGGACACGTAGCCGTGGTCAAGGTCTGGGCGGATCATGGCCGCGTGGTAGCGGTGCGCGGGCGCGTTCAGGAAGGAGCCGCTGGGCGTGGAGCCGGATTCGAGGACGAGGATGGATGGTGCTGCGCCGGAGGCGGCGAGGTGGTGCGCCAGTAGGCAGCCGGATGTGCCCGCTGGGAGGTTGTTAGGTCATGCCATGGTTGTCGTTGTGTATTATTGACCAGCGTACCTCCTACGACGATGAAGTCGAAAGTGTCTGCCATGTCGACGCGCTCGAGAGCTCAATGCACCGTAGTCAAGAACAATGATAAAACGTGGTAATGGCTGGTGACGCGCCCACTCTTTATACTCCGCACACCTCGGCTACATTCACATGCCCAATTCCTTTTCCGACGGCCATCAAGTAGCATAGCGCGATGGCTGTATCACTTGAATCAGCACAGCTGCCCCTCCACGAGCTCCCCGCTGCCGACGTCGATCAGTCCCTAAGTGGACCTTGCGGGACCCAGCTCCGGGAATGCGGGACATCTGACGGCGCTAGTGGTCGGCACCCTCTTTCGGCAGGACGACGCGGTTGCTGGCGAATAAGGCGATGATGTGAGACGTGGAGCTGACGGTTAATATGTGTGCTGGCGGCGCGTGGTTTTTGGTCGCTAACGGAGCTGGCGCCAGCGTCGATAGATAATCACTCGGTACGGACTCGGACGCAATGGGAGTCATCAAGTCATTGGATATAGCAATCCCGTCGGACTGTCGACACGCGCGAGGGTGGTCGTGTTGCTCTTATCGGAGTTCGTATCCTCATCCACAGCTTTCACCGCCAGTACTTCCTTTACGTTTCTCCAAGGTCCGCTTTATCAACGCTCTGAGATCCGGCAAGCTCGCTGCCACAATGGCCAGGGAGATCTGGATGGCAACGAGAATGTTGATTGCCGGTCCAAAGTAGGTGCCTTGCTTCTCCCTCCGCATTATGAAAGGAACCTGCACTAGAGCAACACCGCATACCACGACCCCCAGCGCAAAGACAGCAATAAGAGTGACTCGCTGACGCAATCGCACTTGGCTCAGAGAAAGCACGAAATGTACAGGAAGGATGAAGATACAGAGGTCGGTTACACAGTCGCCCACAGCGGCGGTGTAGCTATACACAGCTGAGCTGAAACATTGCATTCCGCTGAACGTGCGCCAGGAGGTTGTCCAGAGCTTGTGAATGTCTGAGCAGAACACAATCAGAACGCTCAGCACCACTGCAAATAACGCGATGGTCAGTGCGAAGAGCGTATAACAGCACCGTTGAAGGTTGACCAGGGTGGGAGGAAAGATGCGCAAGTAAGACGCCAGGATTGAGAAGCGGATGAGTGTGACGGCGAATAGGTAGGCGAGGCGGCGTTCGAAGATGTGCTGATAATACAGCACCTCATGTGCTTCATCAGGACTACACACATCAGCACTACGCATCGCTGGCGGAGAGTCACTCGCCCTTTCCTGTCGTAACCCATGATGTCGTCTGCACTGATGCAGGATATGACTGTTCGGGCAACAGCACAGCCCTGGTCAATTTGGTCATTACGAACGCTGGAAGCAGTCGATGGCGATGCACTTACTGTCCCGAGAAGGATCAAGGTATCATCAGCAGCAAGTCTGCCTCTGACAACAAGCCTTGACCATACTCTGAGTATGACCGTGCCGAGCGCGAGACCCATCAGCGGGATCTCGACGGCGTACGCGACATGATTGAGTGGCGTGGACATCGTGGCCAGTCAGCATGGACATTGCCACTGTAAAGTTGGAGAGGATAGTGTGTAAAGTCCATCGAAGTTGGGCATCGCAATGGTGATATTGCCCATAGCAGCCAAGACTGGCATGATGAGAAGTTGCTGACGTGCAGATGGCGGCTGACTGATTATGATACAGAGTACGTATGCCAATCAATGCACGACAATGAAAGCTTCAACGCTTTATTATCCCTGGTGGTGCTCTCGCGGAAGGTGAGCACTGATATGTGTGCGGCGGAGCGGTGTGAGGACAGATCGGACAGTTCCTTCAGTCCTGTTGACTCGATGAAAGTTGTATGCATTCCCATAGATATACATCATATGGTCAGTGTACAAATGTAGATCGATTCCAAAGTCCGAGGTGGGTCTTGTTGGACACCGCATTTATTGTAACCATATCATGCAACTTGTCAGTGCATGTGTAGACCCCACTGAGTGGCTTCGTATAAGCTATCCTTTCTGCTCTGCAGCTTATGAACATGCTGTCTGTGTGAAGATATGATGGACGGGCATGAGTGGAACGTAAATATTTTGGATTCGAAGGACTTGCTCAAAATCTCTCGTAGCCTTACTAGTTCGATGTCTTCTTGTAAGGATAGATCGAAAGTGGGGACGGGAAGGTAGAGAAGGCCAGAGCCAGGCTAGGCTCAAATTGGCTAGTTAATCTCCCACATCCCGCGGCCATCCAGGACCGGCAAGGCTCCCATGCGGGGGTTGCGGGGGAAGCTTGCTGAGCTTTTTTTTTTTTGGTGCTGGACGCTCTGAGATTTGTTCACAGAATGCCTGCTGTGCCTCAGATACCATACGGTGCGCTCGCCGGTGCTGACCTGCCAGATTCTTGCAAGGTGCGTGGATGGCAGGCTGCTGAGAAACCGAGCTGTGCTGTCACGACTCACGCGCGCACGGCAAGCTGTCGGGCCGGTGCGACAGCCTACAGGCGCCTCGGTCAATCAGCAGAGCTGATTGTGCCCGCCGTCTCTACTATAGTCTGCCAGATTGAGCTATAATGACATGACAGCAAGTCACGAGGCCTGGATGTGGATGGCAAGGGATGCACTCGAGCTCGTACTGCTGGGCATGCTGGATGGACATGCAACTGCTGGCAACGAAACAGCTCGCCGCGTGTGGAGCAATGCCATCCGAGCAGCGCGACAATAGACGATCTCATGCAGGGCCATGTCGCGAGTGCATCGGACAGAAAACATGTGCAGGGATAACGGATCAGCCAGGGGGAAAGTGGAGGCGGGAGAGCTCGCCTCGCACATGCGTTCATTATTGCCGCTCCTTGCCAAGCACCAGCGCATTCCATGTCAAGAAGCTCTGCGCTCCCTCCGCCGCAGTGCGCCCTGGCTGCCTGTACTTGACATCCGCGCAAAACGAGCACTGGTCCTCTCTGCAGCATTACATATTGCACGCTCATTACAGGCGCGCTGCTTCCTCGGACGAACGCTGCATCCTGCAAGTTGCAACTGGTCGCCTGATACTTGCCGACTGCCGTCTTGACCACGCCTTGCATACACAGTCAGTCGAATTGGACGATTCCCCACATACCGTTACCTATTGCTCTACCAAGACCGAACACCAAGAAGACGGCCCAAAAGACACACCACGTTTCGAGCCACTCGTCTGTCCACGCGAGCACCCACCAGCAGCCTCACAATGCCGTCGCAACGCCGCATGAGGCTCTTCGGCGTGCTTTTTCTCGTCGCCGTCGTCACGATCCTCTACATGACGCGCTCCGCCGCACAAACACACGCCTCAGACTTCTACACCAAGACGTCCGAAGCGCTGCAGCAGCACGAGTTTGCCGAAGCTGCCAAGCAGCGCGACGCAGACAGCGTGGGCACGCGCCTGAAGGCCGCCGAGGAAGCCGCCAAGAAGAAGGCCGACGAGAAGGGCGCAGAGTTCCACAAGGCCGTCGAGGGTAAGGACAAGTCTGTCGCCGGCCGCGTCAAGATCGAGGGCGACAAGCCGGCGCCTGTCCCCGGCGTTGCAGCGCAGGGCGGGCGCCCGCGCGACCAGGCCGCGATGAAGGAGCACGAGACGCCCGAGGACCACGACGTGGAGATTGAGCTCAACGCCATCCTAAAGAAGAGCCCTGGTACGCCCCTACTTATCGACTCGGATCGAATCGCAGCTAACAACCCCAGTCATCATCTTCTCCAAATCCTACTGCCCCCACTCCAAACACGCAAAGCACATCCTGCTCGAGAACTACACAATCACACCCGCGCCCTACGTCGTCGAGCTGGACCAGCACCCGCTGGGCGCGAGGCTGCAGGACACGCTGGCGCAGATGACGGGCCGCCGCACCGTGCCCAACGTCCTGGTGCAGGGCAAGAGCATCGGCGGCGGCGATGATATGCAGGAGCTCGACGAGACGGACAGGCTGATCGACACGCTCCGGAGTCTGGGCGGGACGCGCATCACTGGCGTTGTGCACACGGGGGCGCGGGAGAAGGCGGCGGGCAGTATGAAGAGGCGGAGAGCTTAGCGTGCTCTCGGGCGTTGGTGTTGCGTGGTTGGTGCTAGAGGTGTGTTCTTGTTCATCATCACCGTGGCGGGGGAGGGTGGCACGCGGGACTTGTTTCTCCTAGGCACGATTGTCTTCACGCCCCAGGTGTGGGTCTGGACGTGGCTGCATGTAGGGCTCTGGACGGCCTTGCAGCGGCTTGGGCTTACCGATGTGTAGGTATTGGATAGGTGGTGTTTGGTTGTGACACAGGCATGGATATACCCTTGATAGTTTATCAGAATGAGCAGCGCTGACAGGAAGCAGTCCAGTCATTAAATTTGCATTACTTCGGTGTGTACGTCGATAATCTTCGTGAGATTGTCAGGTTATAAGTAGATCGTAAGAGTCTGCGTGTCTCTTCTCGTTCCTTAGCTGCCACCAAACTGACCACAGGGCAAGCCGGTTTTCTGCTCGTCTTGCGCTCGGCGTATCCATGTATCATAAGCTCGGCTCGTTGTGTATACCTCCACGCTGGACGGCATACCTCCACTCACTTCTTCGTACCGTCTGTGTCGATGGGTGAATCCACACGGTTGGTTGGGACACTCGCATCCTCCTTCCGGCTGAGAATCTTCTTCGGGCCCCAAATCCCAGCACGACCGCTCACTTCGCTCTTGTCCTCCTTCCACGCAATATTCCCACCAACAGACCCGTTTTCCTTCCGCATATCCTGTCTGCCACCCACCACCGTGGAGGGACTCACAGGACTCCCCGGCCCACTGCCCCTCTTCTTCTTCTTCCCGCTGCCCGCCTCAGCCAGCATCCACTGTCCGCCCTCGCGCCTCGCACGCTCCGCCTCCCTCTCCCTCTCAGCTCTGACCTTCATCTCGACCGCCCTCTCGCGCTCAGCCTTCTCTCGCGCACCGCGCCTGACCCGCTCATCCCTGCCCTTCTTATCCGCCTCGAACCGCGCTTTGGCACTCAGCTCGCGCGCCTTCTCCGCAGTCGCAACCTGGAGATATTCAGCGCGTAGCTTCTCCTCTGCATCCACACGGCCCAGCGTTTTAATGCACGGCCAGCACGGGAAGTGGCTGCGACGTAGCACGGGGTCGTCGCATATGTCCCCGCACACCGTGTTGGTCAGGAAGCCGGGGCGGCACATTTCGATGTACGGGCGGTCTGAGGGGTGCGTGCAGGTGTGCGTTTTCTTCCAGTACTTGCACATGCTGGGCTGGGGAGAGTCAGTGGTGTGAGCTGGTGGTGGAGGGCTTGTGTTTGTTACCTTTTCGTGGAGGTAGGAGGTGCCGTGAGGTAGGAGGTGGGGAGAGTGGAGATAATGTTGTTTGGGGGAGAGAGTATTGGGACGAAGTGAGGTGCGGTGAGTGAGGTGGGACGGTGAGGTGAGATTTGGCAGGTGCGAGTTGGCGTGTCAACAAAAGTCGTGGAAGGCTGCCACCGACTACCTCAAGGCTCGGCTCTCACTTCACCAGTGATGTCGTCCAGACTCTCGTACGTGCTCGCAAGAGTTAGACGTCAATCCAACACCAAGAAGATACCGTTGATGACACTGGATGCCTCCAGAGTTCTTCGACATCGTAGCACTTTTCTGTATCGCCTCCAAGCGTTCACGCTCATCTCCTCTACAAAGCTCCAATGCCGCCCGTGACACCCGCAGCAGAACGGTGAAGCTTGTATGGGAATTGAGACCAATGACTCAAGTGCTAAAGGGGCTGGTCGAGCCATTGCGGTATATTGGAGGCTGCAGTGCTGGTGGAAGGGTCTCGGGCAGATGTGGAGGTCGTGTGGCTGCCTGTGTACGCGTCCCATGGCTGCGCAGCCTCGCGTGGATCACCGTTATTGTCGTTTAGAACCAGTGAGTCTCTCAACTCCGATACTTGAGCTTTTCGACCTCGAAGCTGACGAAATGTCACACTTGCTCGCTAACGATGGCCTCGCCCAGCACACTGCTTTGAGAGTACTCCATACTGGAAGAGACATGTCGTCAGCCACAACCCGGTGAACTTTGCGCGCTAGTATATATTAATGCAGGCATCAGACTATGTTCAAAGGGCTTCGGAAGACCAGAGCCCACAGCTCCGTTTCGTCCAAAAGAAGGACCTTGCGCTTGCGAAAGGAGTCATTGTGCCTGTTGTAAAGTATCGACGTCTGCGAGGCGAGCCTTTCCGCAACCGAGAAGGTCTCTTTCCTCTTCGCCACCCTTACAGAGGCTGCGCCAGGCTCTTACAACACGTCGTGGTGTCCTTTACCACAAGTTCGACGGGGGCCAACGTATACCGATCGTGCTTGTTACGACAAGACCTCAGGTGAAGCGCTTGCTGAATGAGCATTGGGTTGCAACGAGACTGTTCCTTGATGTAGCTACCAAGGTTAGTGTTACCCCTGAGGTATAGATGCCCTATTGAGAAGCCTTCGTTACACTTCATGCTTCACCTCCTCCACAGTCGGTATTCGGTTTAGCTTAACATCCGTAAACTCCGCTACCCTCCTCACACACTCCATGATTGCCTTGACATCTTCCTTGCTCATACCGACCCGCAACGCGCCCCTGATATGCCATTTTGTCTCCAGCTTCAGATTCTGAATCATGATGCCCGCGAGCACAATGACCTCCGTATCCCAATCATCCAGCACCTGCCGATTGCTCAAGTACAAGCCGTACGTGATCTCTTCCGAGATCCAGCGGAAGTCCTTGTGTGCGTCGAATAAAGCGAGCGTGTCTTCTGTGTTGCCCGCGTAGATCTTCTTCAGCCAGTTTGCCCCGCGCTCATGGTTGGTGGCATCAGCGGCCCAGGATTCACGCGTGAACGTATAGTCTCTGTCCTCAGGGGCTTCGACTTTGGAGATGGTTAGAATGGCTTCCAATGGCTTGCAAACGCCTACTATGGAGACGAGCTTTACGAGGGCTTCGCGGAGACGCCGGATTAGGGCCTGGCGGGATGAGGAGGTTCGGAAGGATGGCTGATTGATGATGTGCAGGTAGAGTTGGTCAGATAATTCGGGCTCTGTACCGCCGACAAGGGCGGATAGGACGATGAGGTACCATCTTTCGGGCCCGAGTCTGGTGTTGCTGAAGCTGTTTTCGAGGGTGGCGAAAAGAGTCGTCAAGTCTTGGCGGACGGGTGGTTGTGAAGGCCTGGACGTGGACATCATTGTTGAGTTGGATTTCTTCTGAAATATGCAACACGAAACTTTCAGCTCTTTCTGATGTCGGAGTCCAGATGTACCTCGCCTTGACTGGCTGTTGCAACTCGATAAGCGTGCTCGGGTTGATGATGACGATGCGAGAAACTTTCTGTGTACGGCGCGAGCTGTTGTCTGATATGACAATGCACCAGGTCGGACGATGCTTGTCATGTCAATGTTTCGGTAGCTAAGAGATGGAGTGGTGGTTTTGCGATGTTGAAGCCGGCATGCTTACGTCAGACGCGCGTGGAGACGCGTCGACGTCAGATCTGCAACTCCATCCTATCTCATTCCAAACGCCCGCCTCTTCTTTCGTTGCCATTCATCTAAGGTTCAGCCGAGCAATACGGGTATGCCTTCTTGACGTCCATTCGAAGTCATCCGTGACCGTACTCCTACATTTATATCGAACCTGAATCCGCCGCCTCTTCCACCAACACTTGGATCCATGGAGCCCTTCTGAGTGTCATGATGGACCAAAGCAGGTCATTCTCGGGGTTTTGCTGGGAATTCTACATGGTCTGCTTGGCTCCGACCTGACAGTGCAGACTCTGACTTCGACGATTGTCACGTCTTAATCTAACACCTTGTACACTCAATAAACCTTACTGCAATCTGCATTAATGGGTCAGTGTGAGTCGAGTCTTCCAATCGAAAATAGTGAGTCATGCTTGCACCTTCATGCGCCATCACAATTCCTATGAGACAGCTGTTGTTGGCTGTCAACAATGCATGCACGCCTATTCAGAGCGCGCCTGGGCACGACTTTCACCTCGAGAGCAAATGCCAAAGAAGCGTCGATCACAGAGTACGAGCTCGTGCCGGCCCGCTGTTTGCTTCTTCATGAAACCTCGATAGCTTCCGCCTGCCCGTCTGCACCACACTGTCTCATATTTGCGCCGATCGAGCGTTCAACCCTTCCAATCAGTCCCGCTTGGTGGACTTGTCGCCCCTGATAGTTCTCGGCCATATTACTGCTTTCGACCACATCTATGCCATTAATATCTACGAATCTATTAAGCGCGCGACAGAGTCGACAATATCGTGGCTAGTGGAAACGGCGCTTGACCGCGGTTGCAACGTGCAATTGCTTCCCGACAGCGAACCGCGAGCCCCTCATGCAAAGCCACCAAAGAAATCTCAACTCAAGGAAAAGGTTCGAAAGGAGGCGAAGGATGCAGCGAAGCCTGCAGCGAAGGTTGCAGGACCCATGTCGCAAAGCGCGAGCCCACGTATTGTCTCAGAGCAAGAGATCATTCGACTCGCCAGCCTTCTGCAGGAGCAACAAGAGGAACTGGTGGTTCCGAAACGTTTCCTGACGGACATGCGCCGTGCCTTTCTAGGTCGCCGCCTCTTCGCGGACAAGTACTCACGGGAAGAGCCAGATAGTCCTGGCAACGCGCCGCACGCCCACTTTGCTGAGGTACTTGGAAAGTTAGTTGGAGTATTGGAGCCGCTTCTTTGCGTCAAGTCTGCAAGTGGTGTCATCGAAGCTGCCAACGTCGACGTGGGTGCCAAGTTCCTTGATTCGTTTGACGTGCTTGCGCTACCCAATAATGAGCAAGAAAAGAACGACGGTGCTCCAGGCGATGCGGCCTTTGTCGCTGACGCCGCCAAATCAGCTCCAACTTCGTCTCTAGACCCGCCGCCCGTTCTGTATTCGACAGAGGTCAATGACGCTGAAGAGTTGCAGCTTCAAGATATACGTCAAAGAGGCTACAAGCTTTGTCCTCAGCATCTGGTCCCCGTACTTCGCAAACCGTGGATATCGTCTGGATCTTGCTGTGGCAACACTGGTCACCGAAATTGCCTTGGCCAAGCTTGACGACGTAGTGTGGATTTTGAGGGCCAAGCTTGGTCCGCACTGCTCTTGGAATGAGATTCTCCGGTTGTTTCCTTCGTGGCTTCGTATTGAAGCAACATTCGCTGAGGCGCAAGGCTGGGAATATCCTAAGAGCGTTATATATCTACGACATCGGATGTCGAGGACTGAGATGCCGAGGATAACTTCATGATTCAGTACCTTGGAGAAGCCGTCATAGATGCAGTGAGTGTGACCCTGTAGCCAAGAAGCCGCACCTGTACTGATTACAGGCAGAAAACGCGGCGATGGATGATGGATACACCGACTGACCATGATTGAACATAGAGATACGCCGCACTCGCTGCGGACTAGCCAAGCGATGTGCTCTCGCTGAACAGCCGCGACTACCTGACACTGGCTCTACTCGCAGGGACCGCTGGGAGTGCACTGGGCCTCAAGACCTTCTTCGCCGCTGACCTTCTCCACGCAATCTGCCGTTGTGCACGAGATCGTAATGAATATCCGTACCATCAGCTCCAAGAGCTGAACGAAGAAAACCAGCAGCGATGTACACGTTTGGAAAAATCCAAGGACACGTCGGAAGTTATAAGCAGGGTGATCTTCAATGATGAGCAGAGGAATATCCATGACTGGATTGAGGGCACAAATCTGATCTCAAATCGAGCTCTTGCGCTTTACATGCTCCCTCCGCACCATCCCGCCTGCAGGAGCTTCTAGAAGATGCTACAGCATGCGGACTTCCCGCAAGACAAGAAGGATATCACCATCAGGCAAATCGAGAGTATCACAGGCCAGCCTGCTCCTGAGGCTTCGAGCGATGGGTCTGCCGAGCATTACATCACATCACCAGACGACTTCCTATATATTCGCAAATACCACCCAATAGTGAGCGGTAAGTTTATCTTGAACATATTTGTTCTGCGCGAAGTCAGAGGTTCGATATGCGAACTTGCATCTCGAGGCCTTCTTCATGTGCCATCCATACAACGCCTTCTGTCAGCTGGGCTTCTTGACTACCCGCTGGCCAGCGCTTGAGCAAGTCATCGAGCTCTACCTCAAACCACTCTTCTCCGGTGTCCGACCCACCACTGCAAGGAGTGCACTGACCCGCCTCACGCTCGCTTCGGGACACTCCATGTCAACTGTCATGGCCGTGATGGGATCCAACCCCAACGCCAGAGCTAGTACCATCGAGAAGTTGATGAGCACTCCGTCTAGAATTACCGGACAGTTGACGTCCACAGTGCGACCCTCATGTTTTCATGTTTGCTAGACCAGTAATCCCTTTGACCCATCGCAAATAACCAAAGATCATACTAGCAGGTTCTCAACATACCATTGAACGGATAAGGCGTGTCACAATCACGTACCGCTCCCCTACTGGACTTCTCATCGTCAGTCTACATCATTATCACCAACACATTCGCTCCCCGCAAACGCCATGGCTAAACAACAGGAAATTCCCCGAAGGAAGCTACTGCCGAAAAAGTCCGTCAAAGGAATCAGTAAGTAGCTTAGGACTGCTCCTCGCAATTGTGGCAAAGAAGAGACATTGACAAGAAACCAACAAGCGTGGGCTCAGTCGCTGACTGTGTCGTTATCAGGGTGGCACAGTCGACAGAAATTTGACAAACATCATCTTGTAGAACAAATACAAGCCGAAGCTAATGCAAAGGCTACTGAGGCGGCGTATGATGCTGACACCCTTACACAACTTGCGGCCGAGGAAAAAGAAGAAGCCGAAATGAGAGCGACCAAGCAGGCTGAGGCATATGAAGAGAAAGCTGAAGCATGGGCGCACAAGGCATGGGCGATGCACCAAGCTGGTAGAGCAGTCAGGACACTCAAGCACCAATACTACGGATGGGACCCAGTAAAATGTGAATACCTTCGCGATCTAGAGACGGAGAAGTTGATAGCCTTGCTCAAAGCTAGGCGCAAAGCTATGCGCCAAGCAAAGGTACGGGCGAAAGGTCTCAACAAGAGCGATGTATACTATTCGGATCGCAGCGATTCGGATGATAGCGATTTGGATAGCAGCGATGGTTCGGATCCAGATTCTACGTTCCGTTCCTCGTCTGATTCGTCGTCTCAATCCCTGCAGCGGCCCGCACCGTCCGTTGAGCGAGCATCAGTAGTGGACTGGCGAAAAAAGGCGCGTGCTGGTGTCATCAAGAAGAAACTCTTCGTCACTAAAGGCTGGGGTTCGATTACGTGGAATCAAAAGTCAAACATCCAGGAGCGTATGCTAGTACTGGAGGACGACGGATACGACCTTCGAGAGCTACTAGATGGAAAGGCTGCTAGTGAGCAGGTCACAGCAATTATCATAGAACGAGCAGCTTTACAGCATCAACCTTGCTCTCAAGCGAATCAGCCAGTGATTCAGCTGGGGCGGTTCGCTGCACCGCAAGGGGAATTAGAGAATTCGCCACCATCGCGGCTTGATCCAACACTGATGGACGAATTCTTAGGGCCAGTCGACCAGAAATCGCCCTCAGAATCACCACCGGAAACTTCATCAACCACCGCATCTCCACCTCGATCTACTACGTCAACACAACATCGTTCTGACGATAGTGAGATCAAAGACAAAACACAGTCCTTCTCCTTCGATGAGCTCTACTACCCCCAAGCATCTCGACGTCTCAAGCGCAAACGCGATAGCAATACAAGCAGAGACACAGAGACGGAAGTTGAGGTAACGTTTCCATCTCCAGCATACAAGGAGCGAAGAGTCGAATCCGTCGCTGAAGACGAGCTTGCAGCGCAGGCGTTGCAAGATATTAAACGGGCCGCCTTCCGCGAAGTGTTCCGTGCAGCACGATCGGTCAGTCGTAAAACATTGGCACCGTCGCGTATCATCTTCTCCACTGAAGTATCATCCCTGAACGCCAGTGGAAGTGTAACTCAAGCATCGAATATGAATTACTTGTACCCTGGGTCCTCGAAGCGCGCGTCAATCAAGTCGGCTCATACCATCTCGACGTGTGCTTTCGACAACCTCGTTGCAGAGCTTCGTTTCCTGACTGATACCACCGAGGAAGACGGCACAGTTCAGATCTACGACCTGGACTACGATGAAGACTTCACGTACAAGCTGATGACGTCAGAAGGACGCATCAGACAGGAGCAGCGGAAGATGCAGCAAGAGGCATTGCGTATCGCCATCATCATAAATACAGAAGGCCAACTAACATTCCATGGCGATGCGATCATCCTATCTGAGCTCCTTAAGGCACTTCGGGAAGGAACCTTACTGCACCACGCTGACTGGGAGTGGGATGGGCTGCGCTTGCAGCGGTCGAATAATATGTCGTGGTATCTGAGTCCGCAGACGCAGGATACATTTATGGGTATTGAAGATCGTCTAGAACGTCAGTCTCAGACTGGAGGTGTCGATATTCATGTGGGCGTGGTACCTTGGTAGCCGATGTGCAAGAAAGTGATGTTGAAAGGACTTGTGACCTACGAGGGAACAAAGAAGGGCAACAGGCGAGCAAAGAGCGGCCTTCCTTAGAGGAAGACGTTCTAGGGCATATTTCCAGTTCGTTAGACTTAGTTTCAAATAGCTTGAAATACTGTACAAGACCGGTTTACTCACCTTCCTGTGTCTCGGTCTCGATTCTTCCATATTCATGCTTTGAAAGGGGAGTGTTGATGATGCACCCTTTGTCGTTATGAAGTCGAGCTCTTCAGATGGAGCTAGCATTTGTGCAGTAACCGCTGGACTAACATGAAAGAATCTCGTGCTTTTCTCGGACTGTACATAGGTCGATTGTAGAGGATCCATTGAAGCTGGTGCTCAAAGGTCCTACTAGGCCTGTGATTGTTTGTACTTAAAGCTACGTGCGGGACTGACAGATCTCTGTATTGGTTCTTAGGAGCCACATTCTGGGACAGTGTTGACTGGTCGTCTTGAGCAGAACAAATAAGCGGCCCAAGTCTGGCCCGAAATTCTCCGCAGCTTCAAGGAGACAATCTCGCCTCCTGATAATCATTCTGCACAATCATGGCTTCAACCTTCCAGACCAAGATCTTCAAAATCCCAGTATGGGCACCCTACCTGATTCAGCTGCTCTTTTCGACAAGAATTTCCAGGTAAATTAACACCCGCAGGACTGTTGTGCTGTTCTACTCGTTCTGACGCTTGCCTCTCGTCCTCACTTTAGAGTTATTGCCCAGCAATGCGAGTCCCTCGTAGGAACACACGTTAATCATCCTCTTCATCGGTTTTCCTTGCATCCCTCATCGTGCTGAGTCTGAATTTGCGTACCCCTGGCTCCTGTGCGTGCGCGCACCATTGGCCGCGCCATGTACGCCATAATCGGCCTGGCAAGTTCCGCCATCGCATGGAAGACCTATCATGATGACGACAAGCCGTAGTATCGTCGTGTAATCAAGACTTTCGTGGGCATTACCGCGTAGAGTGTAGTGTTGTCGATATTCACGAAGAGGTCCTTTTTGTGGAGTCAGAAGTCGAGAGACGACGGGCGAGCAGAGCGATCCATCGCCATGTACATCGAGATAACAAAGGACAAGGATAAGAAGGGGCTCGATTTCCGCTTTGCACACTACTCTGCCGTTGTGCAAAATTTTGGTTCTAAGGCGTTAACGCTATGTCCGCGTTGATGACATGTCGCTGGTAAAAAGCGGAATTTCTTCGTCAGCTTGTTCCAAGAAGTTCTGTCTATTACTGCGCAAATCGCGCATTGCCCCGAGATAGCACCGTTCCATAGCCCGCTATGGTTGACACTGCGGTGCTGAGTTGAGCGATCTGCGAAGCTGGTGACCGTCACCGCCTACGCTTTCGGCTGCAGCCCCGCGTGGCAGAAAAGATGAGGGCTGAAGGCCCCGCGATGACATCACGCTACTCTTTTCGCATTTGGGTGCTCAAATAAGACGACGTCAAGAACCCCAATTCAGCAGAATCGTCTCACATCTTCATCCAATTTGAACCCTACAGATATCCAATCTCACTTCAGTCATATAAACACGGCAGCAATCATGGCACCCAAGATCCTCTTCGTTCTCACTTCCCACAACAAGCTGGGCAACCTGGACAAGCCCACTGGCTGGTACCTGCCCGAGCTAGCCCACCCCTACCACGTCCTACACAAGAAGGCTGAGATCACCGTGGCATCGCCCAAGGGCGGCGAGTCTCCTCTGGACCCCTCATCCGTCGAAGCCGCCAAGGACGACGTCTCTGTCAACTTCCTGAAGAACAACGAGTCTGTTTGGAAGAACACACAAAAGCTAGACCAATTCGTCGGTAAAGCCAAGGACTTCGATGCCATTTTCTACGTCGGCGGCCACGGGCCTATGTTCGACCTCGTTGATAACCCGATCAGCCAGCAGCTGATCCGCGAGTTCTGGGAGGCGGATAAAATTGTGTCGGCGGTATGCCACGCACCAGCCGTCTTCTACGACGTTAAACTCTCCGATGGCAGCCTGTTGGTTGCCGGCAAGGAAGTCACGGCTTTCACGAATACGGAGGAGGAGCAAGCTGGTTTAACAGATGTCGTACCCTTCCTCCCAGAGAATGCGCTGCAGAAGGCATCTGGTGGCAAGTTTGTTAAGGCTGCTGAGCCTTGGGGTGAGAAGGTCGTCATTTCCGGACGTTTGATTACAGGACAGAATCCGGCCAGTGCGACAGCTGTTGGTGAGGCTATCGCAAAGGCGCTTGGAATCTAGGTCCACATATAAATAGGACTCAACATACGTTAATTACCTCTCATTATGACCCCGGCGCGCTTGATGACTGGCACACTTGATGGCCGAAATGCGCTGACATTGTGCAAGGCTGCTTTCTGCGTTGTTTGACGCAGCGTTGTATTGTCGCATGCTGCGCCGTCTGTGCGGAATCAAGGGTCATTTCCAATATCTTAGTTCGTCGAATGTAAGAACGGGCACGTGCTGTCTAGGGAGTATTGTGAGGGGAGCTGATGTAACTGAAGGCCTCCAGGATCTGCTTCACCACCGCTCCTTCCCTATCAATTCTACTTGGACCGGATGGAACTTCCTTTCAGCGACTTCAATATCGTGATCGAAGATGAGATTTGCTAATACTGGGTGTTGTCGTTGTGCAGCGCGGAGGTAAGTCAGAGTGTCGCCGCGCAGCCGCATGTTGCGCCTCGTTTGTTGGTCCTGGACCGTCTATCACCGCTTCTTCCTTTTGAGCCTCTCGCACCTTAGTTATGATCATCGATGAATCTAGGAAGTAGTTAAGATCATCACCAGCATTTTCCCGTAATGCAATGCCTCAAAAGTTGGAAAGATTCTGTTGTGCACTCAAAAACGTGCAGTCAATATAGTGTTTGTAAGGCATTAGAGGCTTCCAGAGCCCAGAGTTCGTTCCTTCCTTGCGCGATCAATCTGGGCACCACGTGCGCACGCGCCGAGTATGTAGGCTTATGGTCCTATCACATGCTTCACCGCCCGGAGTCGACGCCTCACGCCATATCTGCCTTCACCGTCACTTTGGTACCACCGCAAATGTCTGCTCCCGTTTGGTGCCACAGAGCTCTGCCGCCTAGTGCTCAAATCCTGGCGAATCACACTAGCAGTTCTGGAAAAGTACATCAACACCAGCCAAGTCTTCAACCTCATTGTTGACCCTAATCCCTCTGAGTACCTCCACCCTCCCGCGTTCCGCGCACCGTGCCGCACCATGGCGCCCAGAGACGTCAACCGCTACTCGCTCTTCCGTGACGGTGAGGCAGATCTTCCGAAACCTTTTCCTCCCGGGGATCCTTCCAAGAACCCGTTTCTCAACCAAGTAGCAGACAATCCTTCGCCATGGCAAGATGTCAAAAAGCGTGGAGGTCCTCAAGCACCTGTTGCGGTACCAGCCCATACACTAGTCATCAAAGATTCGGACAGGCCAGCAGATCTACGTACGTCAAGTAATACACAGGTACGTTCGCGCGCCGTCTCCAGTGCCACAACGGCCAGCGATAAACCATACGACCCACATGAGAACTGGTGCGGCGCCTGCAGCGTAAGGTTCTCCAACAAAACTGGCCTACAAAACCACATCAAGCAAACGCCAGACCACAAGCACTACTGTAACCTCTGCGTCCGCGTGTTCAAGGACCGTAATGGTCTCAAGAACCACGTCGACCACACCAGAGGCCACGAGACCTTCTGCAACCTTTGTCTCAGCGCCTTCAAAGATGAATGGGGTCTGAAGAACCACTTCGAGAATAACTACCAGGTCGACCATCGGTTTGTGTGCCTGATGTGCCTGCTAGGCTTTCACAGTCAAGTGGAGCTTGATAGGCACCTGAAAACTTCCAAGAAGCACACTTGGTGTATGACGTGCAAGAAGCCGTTCTTTTCTCAAGAAGACCGCGACAAACACTGGAGGACTACGACAGGTAAGTGACTCCAGATCGGTGTCCTGAGTACCTCTAGGTTTGGTGATCAGCCTTGATCCTCTGACATGCTGACCGACTTCATAGCTCATAGGCACTGCCTTCAGGTGGGCTGCGACTTCGATGCTCCTGACCTTGCTACACTGGAAGGACACTATGAACGGGACCACTTTAGATGTGATGGCTGCAAGCGGATTCTCCCGAGCCAGACGAAGCTTTACCAACACCAGGAAGTCTGCAACTTGCCAGTGCCGTGTCCTCATTGTGGTGAGCCATGCGCCGGTCAGGGCGGACTTGCTCGACACCTCAAGCAATGCTTTGCTTGCGATGATTGCGGCTTCTATACACCTCAGGAGAGTAACTTGCACATTGTGGGTGTTGCTCGTTCACCTTCTGATCTCGTACTAATGGTGGGGTAGCACATGACGAAGCACGCTGCCGCTGCGATCCCATGCTGGGGCTGCAGCCTACCCATGCGCAAATTCTCGAGCCTGATTGATCACCTGGAAGCCGGCGCATGCCCCGAATTTCAGGACCCTTCACTCCTCCTACAGGCCGTCGGCGAATGGTGGTACTCACCACTGTTCATGGATCTCGACATTCACGCGCAGATCCGCACTGGCCGCATCGACGTCAGCGAGGTGCACGAGTGGATGAATGCTGGCATTCTGATGCCGTTCATTTGCCGCGAAGAGGGCTGCAAGAAGGCGTTCGGTCACTTGAGCTCACTAGTGCTGCACTTGGAAAGCCAGATTTGCGGCTGGGATATTGAGCGCCTTAATGCGCCTGGGCTGGAGGCACTGTTCAAGGGAGGATGCTTGAGGCGAGATAGCTGACGGGTGATGGATGAGATCAAGAGAACATCAGATGAATCAAACTGATCTATCTACGGGTGATATGTGCCTCTAAGATAGGTCGTTGCGGTGCAAGTCGGTCCTATAGGCCTTGATCGTTGCCTCTGTTGACGACCTTGGACTAGCACGTCTCAGGGCATGTATATATGGTCGCCTCCTAGCTAGCAAGCAACTCAGTGCAGTTTTCCATCAATACATACAGCGGCTACGTCTGCCGCAAAATAGGTACCTAACAGTAAAGTGCCAAAGACAACAAGCAAAATACAAAGAAGCAATACAATTAGACATGAAACGAAAGGTACTTCATGGAATCAACAACATTTGATACCCTGGTGAACTTCAGGGTCCTAGGTCACCCACCACCGGCAGCGTTGCAATCTCTAATCAGTGGGCATGTAGAAGTCCTAAAATGTAAGTCTACAATGCGATCGAGGTCCAAGAAGGAGTCGGTGTCACTGAACGTTCTAGGATGCGTCATACGCATTCAAGATCGTCCTTGCCTTCTCGCTCTTTCACTTCAGCAGCACCCACGACTCGACGACCTAGTCCCCGGCGTAGCTTTACACCTCTGTTATTCTCCCGCACCGCTATTTGCCTTAATAAAATATCGAATCCTCAGTATCAATCGCCGACTCAAGCACAACGCTTCTGCTTCCTCGTATACGACACTCAATCCAGCGCCGCGCTCTCAAACATCTTCTGCAAGCCGTACCAGTAACCACAACGCTTGTATTTGCTGCTGCTGCGTTGACCCAGATAGAGAAGAAGCATCACACGGGAATGGATCCGAGCAAACTGGGTACAAAGCTGCAGCAGTGAGGAAGAGTTAGTATGAGGAAGCGCGAGATTTGGTTCTGCATCTGTTTTTGTGACAGCCCTTAGTGACTGCACTATGTACCAGATGCTGTAAGTTGCAAAAATAGCTATTATTGAATACTGAGCGGGTTCCTACAATCAGAAAGCGCGCTCAACGGTTGTAACATGGGACTTGTTGCCATGCTCCTCGCCATCCATATGCGCAGAGTTGACCTGCTTCTCGACAGCCTTGACAGCCTCGTCGGCAAGTGCCTTGTCCTCAAACACTGTCTTTTCGTTAGCGAATGCTTCCTTACGTTTTCCATGTGCATTGACTTACAGAAAGTGAGCTCCTCCAGCGTACGGTTGTACGTCTCTGGGTACATAAAGTACACGAACAAGAACTCGAACGTAATCCATCCGCAGTAGATAGCAAAATACTTCCAGCTCAACGCTTTCATCGCAATGGGGTTGACGTTGATTGAGAAGAACCCTCCCAGCTTGCCGAAAATCTGCTCAAACCCAATACCCATAGAGCGCTGCGCATACGGGAACAGCTCAACCAGGTAGGTGTAAGTGAGCGAGTTGTTACCGATATTGTAGCAGGGCGAGTAAGCAAAGTAAAAGAACAGCGCCGCATACTGCGCAGATTTGTTCTCAATCTTGAGTGTTTGCGCGACGTTCAGCCGCTGGAAGCAGATTGTCATGCTCATGAAGACCAGCATCATCGAGCCCGCGGACAACATGAACATCCAGCGGCGGCGGAAGCGCGTCACGATCAAAGCAATGACCATGGCGTTCATAAAACTCCAGCACTGGTTCGCGATGTTGATGCGCGTCTTGGCGTAATTGCTGGTGTAGCCAATGAGTCCGAAGAGCAGATTCTGGTAGTAGGAGAGCAGGGTGTTGCCGCTCATCTGGGTGAAGAGACCGAGGAAACCGGCGATCAGGGTGCGACGGCGCATACCAGGGGTCTTGAAAAGGTCGAACCAGGTCTGGCTTGAGCTTTCCATTTCAAGTTTGATAGTCGAGCGGATCTGGGCCATCTCAGCCTTGACGAGAACAGAGTCTGCATCGCCTTCTGCGTGATACTTCGTGAGAACTGCAAGAGCCTCATCGTCGCGATCTTTGCTGATGAGCCATCTAGGGCTTTCGGGCAGGAGGAAGACAGTGCAGATCTGGAGGACCGAGGGCACGATCTGAAGCAGAGACGGCAAACGCCAGCTCCAGTCTCCTTTGATGCCAGATGTACGGATCGCAATGGCTGCAGCTAATATCGATCCGATGAAGTATGAGGCGTTGAACAACGACGTCAGAGTCGCACGTTCCTTGGGATAACCGAGTTCTCCGATGAGTGCCGAGCCTGCGATGATGGCGAAGACGATACCTACGCCGAGGAGCATACGAGCAATGATGTACATTCCGACTGTGACTGAGCTCAGTATCTGGGCGAGATTTACCATGGAAGAACTTTTTGTACTTACTGTGTTGGGCAAACCCTTGCAAAATAGCTCCAACGACCATAAAAAGCGAGCCGATCATGATGGACCAACGTCTTCCGAACCTCTGGTTGAGCCATGGAGCAAAAGGTACCGCTATGATGGAGCCTAGCTGGTAGCAAGAACTGATAAAACCGAGAATACCTGGTTCGATGTCCCACTGTAGCTCTCCCTTGCTGTTTTTGGTCTGGTAGCCATTGCCAAAGTACCGGTTGAATGGCTGTGAGAATTGCAGCGTGCCAATCAGTTGCGAGTCGAAACCGGACGTCATCTCTACACCCATGCAACACAAGAACAGCCAGAGGTACATCAATCGGAGGTTGGGCTTCTTGTACCATCGTACCTATGCTACTGTCAGCAGAACACTGGATGATTAGACGGTTTCAACATACCTTATCCTCCGCAACCATCCGCGTGATAATCGGATCGGAGGTACCATCTTGAGTCTTGATGATAGCCATGACGTTGAGAAAGCAAGGGTCGGTCGGGTACCACTGGCAAACATCTGCACCGGCGACCAGGGCTGCACCTTATAATGAGCCCCGCCAAGGGGTAGCTCTCCCCATAATTCGGCTCTTCCCCAGGTTGATCAACGTCTGTGTGAGCAGACGCGGAGAACTTTAACCGCAATGCCGAAATTGCATCTTACATTGGTTAGGCGCTTGGGTTGATCCTTGGCACCGGGTAAATTGAGCGTCCAATCCTCCAATCGCCGGGTTAAACACCTACCGATGATCGACAAAAAGTGCCCGAGAAGCCTGAAACAAGTTACTTGTGTATAATCCGAGCCTAATCTATCGCGCCTTGATTCGTATCGACTGCGCAATGTCGCATGTTGCAGCGCGAGGTTGTGACCCGAGAGTGTGGCCAAGATGTTCAACATGCAGGTAAGCATACCAAAGCCGTCTGGAGTCAGCAGCTTCCATTGCTGAATAAGGGCGTAGGAGTTCTTATTTTGACCTCTATCGTGATGGCCGAGGCGCACGTAGTAGTGAAGTAAGAAACAACCGTGGGACCTTTGTATGTACGAGATTCAGTAGTCGGGCTCTGCACCGCTGCTTTTGGAGCACTCCGCGAAGCGATCGCTCTCTCGACCGCACCATGTTCACTCTTTCTAGGATCAGCGCTACGACGCCAAAATCATGTAGCGCCTTTGACTTCGGGCGTCCGGTGATCGACTTTCTTGGTGTCTCTGTGAAAATTGAACAGGATGAGCGGGCCGTCACACGTCACATTGATTTTGTGGGGTTCAAAATGCGGAGGCTTTACTTCGTACCGACGACGATAGCGTTGGGTTTCAACCGGCTTGGCCTTGGATAATGACCTCTCTGTTCTACTAACATCTGGTCACCATTGATCACGGATGGCTTGCTCGTGTTGATTGCCTTTGCTGACACGGCAGTTGTATGGGCGCTGTCTGCACTGCTGGAATCCAACCACACACCACCCGCCTTCCCAGAATCCGATATCAAACAAACTGCGCGGTGGTTTATCGTCAGCAGGGCAACCGTCATATCGAATATCTGGCTGCTGCATCGCATCGCCCACGCGGTGTTGTTGCCATTTCATGGCCCAGTTGGGACCGGTCGCCCGATGTCGAGCGTGCGTCTACACGACAATCAGCAACGCAGGCGCGGACTCTTCCTCCGGACTTAATCCTGAAGCAGATGGACCAAGACGTTCTGAACCTGTCTCCGTGAGACATGCAATACCAGACTTCCAAGGAGTGGGATGCAGGTATTTACCGAAGTCTGAAAGGTCGGCATTGCGTCCAGAATGGCCCGACGTCAGCACTGTCGAAAATACAGATATCGGCTCTCAGCCTTCATCCTGAATTATCGGTGTACATCATAAGGATGACCACGGAGTGAGCGACTGCCTCCGCGGCCGTTCGTTCGTCTCGAGATCGACTGGCAGTCGTGAGATGGATCGTGTCGTTGTAGTTGGAAGATGACTGTTGGCATTGACCACAGAGGCAATATCTGGATGGCGAGATTAATTTCGTAAAATCCAAGAGGAGGGGACGATGCACATGGTCTCTCGTGGGTAAACGGCTTTATAATACACTCTGGGCAGTTGCTTGCCCTACTGAGATTGCAAGATGCAGATAACGGCGACACAATGCGAAGAATGCCTTACACAACAACCCGCATCCTCGTCACGACCTACTGTGAACTGAAAGTTCGGCTCGATGAAGTCCCAAAGGCATCGATGTCCATTTGAGAGCCAAGCTGGGGCCTTCGCGCTGGGTCGTGAGAGCGAGGCGGCGAGTCGCAACGACCGCGACAGCAAACGACTTTCGGTCGCACGAAGCGCGATTTGCCTGACTTAGTGATAATGTCGTTTGGCAAATGCGAAAGGAGGTGGATGCAGGCGTTTGTCACGAGGAATGAAGCAAGGAGGCTGGTGTTGTCTGCCGTTCTTGCCGGTATTTCTTGGAGCCGCGTCAGGGCTGAGGCAGTGAGGAGACGAAAAATACGCCGGTGCACCGCCACAGCCGCATCGTCAAGTTTACTTGGTCGACAACAAAGAGACATGAGCGTTGAAGCTGTCCACCTGTGTTCGCAGGAGCATTTTCCGATTTCAGTCTTGCGTATATAATCATAAGACAAGAGATATCCAGACCGCGACGCTCACCGGCGACGAGGGATTGTGACACCACTCAACAAGGCATACTCTTGAGCGCAACGTTTTCGGCTAGCGGCCAGCGCACCAAGCGATCATGAGCCAATCAAACTCTGTCAACGGCCACGAGCCACACACAATTTACGTCATTTTGTGCTGCCAGGATTTTTCCAGCGCTGATCATTCGTCGTGGCTGTCATCATTGCTCTTGGGACTTCACACGTATAATAAGGGCGCGTGATGAGCAGCAGGCTTCACATGCAGTCCAGCCTCTCTTGACAGCAAACCGTCGTCAAAAGGCAGCAGATCGCTATTAAAGCCCTCCTGCAAGCAACACTTCAAACAACAACAGATTACATCGACAACATGGTCGCTCCAGCTATTGTCTTGGGCATTCGTGCCACTCAGGCTCTCTTCGCCATCATCGTGCTAGGCCTGACAGCTTACCGTGCGTACTTCCTGAACTGATTCTGTAATCAAAACCTAACACGCTACAGTTGTCAGCCTATACACCAACCCATGGGCTAGCTGGTCTCCTCACAGCTTGAACTTCATGCTCTTCACCTCGATATGGACTCTCCTCGCGGTCGCATACCTCACCCTGGCACCTACACGCTTCCCTCGCGCTGCCCACAAGTTCGCCATTGCAGGAGTCGAGTTCCTGACCATGCTCTTCTGGTTCGCTGCCTTCATCGCAGTTGCCGTGCTTTGGCGTGACATCTACTGGGGCTGGAGCGGTCACGGCACTGCCCACAATGTTGGTGTTGCCGCTATTGTATTCGGTGCCTTCCTCTGGTTAGTGAATCGCAGTCGTTTCGGCATTCGTTCGCTAACATCTACAGGCTACTCTTCCTCGCTACCACCGTCCTCTCTGCGCTTCATATCCGCAACTCGTCTCGCAACAACACCGCGCCCCCACCAAACATGGCTGGTGTCTAATTAGACGACCTATCTGATGGAACGTCAGAGCCTATGGACTACCATAACCTGGTGTCATCTCGACACCCAAACAAATTGTTTCAAGCATGGCGTTGGTCTGAATTCACATATAAATACCCACTCATGTACTGCTGTAATTAAATGAGCTTAATTTGTCACGAAGAATGCATCTTTACAAATCATTCGTACAACCGTCATTGCAATGCATCAACTCGCACATGCACGTTTCAGAAGCCAAGATATCGTCCAAGTCTCGCCTCGTCTTCGTGTATTTTGACACATGCGGTAGCTGCGCCGTACGCAAAAACAAGGTGCACCAGCCAACTATCACCTAAAGACTCAAACGATATGCTCAGAAGTACACCAGAAGTCAATCCCCAAGAAGAAACATCGTGATAAAGAGCGTCGCACTACTGGTTGTCACATAAGTCTGCTGGTGACTTTAATTCTACAAAAGCACCCAACGGTCGCGGGGACCTTCAAAGCAGTGACCGATAACATGTTGCACTTTGCTTGCTATACATAGAACGGATGTCCTGCATCTTTTGAAATTTCATATCAACACTAAAGCTGCGAGATTCCATCGATGTCTTCACTTCCAGCACGATGATGATTCCATGGACTGTGTTGAAAACGTTCGCTCGAGCATCCAGTCTCAGTCTTCTGTTCGATGCCCTTGTTTGAGTACATTACCCAACGGGAGCCGTACATCGTTTTGGGAGAACATGATGGATGGGAAACGACATTGATGCGGCTGAGTACCTTGGCGCTCGTTCTAGGTGCCCATCGCAAGTCTCGGCCGTGTTTCCTTGATCGGCGCCGCGCTAGCGCGAACGCTCACCCTGCATCGACTTCACGATCCACCCATAATCCGCGCTCACCGCCGCCTTGTCTCGACCTTGGCCGGGACCGTGAAAATCTCGTGATAGCTGCATGCAGGGTATTGCGAATCAGCACTCACGACAGCCACACGCCTATCATCGGCGACAGTTGTGCGCTCTTCTTGTTCAACAGCCTTGCATCTCGTCATGTATCGCCCAGCAACCGACGATAAGCACACCAGTAACGATTGAGTTAAGCCCCGGGTATCCGCGCTTTCGCCGCACACCACTGCAAGAAACTGGAGATGGCGTTCTTCAAGGCGCTAGACAGCCGAAGCCATACCAGATGCGGTATTCGCCCCTCTAAGCCACCCCCTCATGAGAAAAGACGTCCAACCTTTCTACACAGCACGTGGAAAGATGGGTCGTCCGATAACCCGGCTCTCGAAGGACCAACCACGAGGAGGTCTCTGCTCCCTGCCCGTGTGACTGCGTGGGACTTCGTTTATTGAACCCGGGCCGCTCGCAATCTACCTAGTCCGATACTTGACGCTGCTCGCAGCTCCAGCCTAAGGGCACCAGCTGTATCGCGACTTGTGGCCATGACCGCCGCGAATGAAGCCTCAGATACGTCATCTCGGCCCTCGAAGTCGAAATCTTCAATAGATGCTGGTGAGGGCGCAGCACTCCGGAAGCGCTCCAGATCACGTGGCGCGAGAAGACCGTCGACCGAGATCGACATTGAGAAGACCTCAGAGCTTGAAGCACCCGAGGATGAAGATCCTCAGCTCCGCAATACAGGTGGCTACAAAGGTCGACAGGTATGTACGTCCAGCCGACGTTCAAAGTTTGGCGCTCACACTCTCCAGGCATACAGCGTGAGCCAGCTGCTCTTCTTCGCATACGAATCTGTCGGAGTTATTTATGGAGACATTGGAACCTCGCCTCTTTATGTGTTTTCATCGACGTTCTACTCCCCGCCAAGTCGTGCTGACGTCCGGGGAGCACTTTCTTTAATAATCTGGTCTCTCACAATCATTGTCACTCTGAAGTATGTCCTCATCGTACTTCGAGCCGACAACGACGGCGAGGGTGGCACTTTCAGTACCTACTCCCTACTATCTCGATATGTAAGTCCACAGCGGCTGTGGTAGGCGATGTGAAGAGCAAAAGCTGATTCGAGCAGGCGAACATCTCGAACAGCGATCCTCGCGATGCAGCCAGAGCGCGAAAATCACGGGTGCTATTCAGGTTTATCATTTCTCTTCTGTGGCCTACGACTTCTGGCTGACTTTTCTGTGTAGTCGGTCACAAAAACACGTTCGCTCCACCATTGAGCAGTCTGCGTTCTTCCGCTACCTCCTACAGGCAATAGGGGTGGTTGCCGTGTCTATGGCCATCGCTGACGGTGTCCTCACTCCTGCGCAATCTGTTCTCGGTGCAGTGCAGGGCCTGAACGAGATCAACAGAGATATCCCGAAGTCAACCATCATTGGTGTGACTTGCACTATCCTAGTCTTGTTGTTCCTGGCCCAGCCTTTTGTCAACAATCGCTTTTCCAAAGTGTTCTCCCCAATTGTCATCGTTTGGCTGGCTTTGAATTCAGCTTTTGGCATGTACAACCTGGCGAGGTATGAGGTCCACTGGTTAGATGTGACACCCACTAACAGTCTCAGACATGATCACGGGATGCTTCAAGCTTTCAATCCCTATTATGCCTTTGACTACCTCATTCGCAGAAAGTACAGCGGATGGCGCAGCTTGGGTGGCATCCTCTTGTGCTTCACTGGAGTCGAGGTACTCTTTGCTGGCATTGGTGCATTCAGTCGTCAGGCAATTCAAGTCAGCTGGATTGGATTTGTATACCCGAGTTTACTGCTGACATACATTGGCCAAGCCGCCTTCATTGCTGAGCGCCCAGAGGCTTATGCCGATCCGTTCTTCAACTGCGCGCCTCCTGGATGGCTCATACCTTCTTTCATCATCGCTGTCTGTGCAGCTGTAGTAGCCTCGCAGTGTATCATCACAGCTACCTTTCATGTAAGCTGATGTTGTCCAGTCGCTTTTTTATTACTGACCTGGTTTAGCTTCTTTCTCAGCTTATGAAGCTGTCATATTTCCCTCAGATCCAGGTTAAGCATACCTCGAAGACTTATTACGGCAATTTCTACGTGCCCGTCGTGAACTGGCTGCTCATGATTGGCGCGGTGCTCGTTGCGGCTATTTACAACAATACGGCATCGCTTGGAGATGCCTACGGTGTCTGTGTCATGTTCGTGACCTTCTTCGACACCGTCCTTGTTACTCTAATCGCCATCCTCGTTTGGCGCATCAAGCCATACTACGTCGTAATACCGCTCGTGGCTATCCTGTGCATAGATGCAACATATCTCAGCTCGGCACTCATCAAGGTTCCAGATGGCGGTTGGTTCACAATACTGCTATCATGTCTACTGGCATGTATTTTTATCTTGTGGCGATTCGGCAAAGAGCAACAATGGGCATCTGAAGCCGAGGATCGATTCTCCACTACGCATTTCGTCAAGAGCAATGAGGACGGAAAGTTGGAGCTCACGGAGCAGTTTGGAGGAAGGCAACTCAGTCCTATGGGTGGAGTTGGCATCTTCTTCGACAAAGAAGGCGATACCACGCCTATTGTCTTTAGTCAGTTCATTCGAAAGCTTGTCACCGCACCGGAAGTTATGATCTTCTTTCACCTCAGGCCCCAAGAAAAACCCACTGTTCCAGAGGACGAGCGATACTCTATCTCACGTCTCGCCATACCGAACTGCTATCGCTTGGTGATAGATCACGGATATAAAGACGAAGTATTCACCCCAGACCTCACCGCACTGATCTACGAGAAAGTCCGAAACCACATTGTCACTCGAGCAGCGGACAGGCAGCGGGAGAGCGCGACCGCAGCAGGAGCAAAGCAGCGGCAAAGCTCGGGCATCTTGAAGAACTCTAGCAATGGGGGCGAAGCGTCCGCTCCGCAGACCGATGTCACTGAAAAGGAGGACCAGAGCTCGCTGACTGTAGAACGGGCACAGAACCGATCTCGACAGATCTCATCAACGTCCATCATTGCCGGCAGTACAGCAGCACGTCTTGACGCTTTGGACAGAGCGTTCAAAGATGAGGTGTTATACATCATTGGCAAAGAGCAGATGCGAGTCAAGGAGGGCACGAATATCGCGCGTTCGGTACTACTGAAGGCTTTCATTGTGCTGAGAGACAATACGAGGGCGAAGGTGCAGAGTCTGAGTGTGCCGATAGATAAGGTCGTCGAAGTGGGCTTTGTCAAAGAGGTATAGTATTTTTCGGTGCGTTGGTCATTCTGCTACATACATTGGTTCGCTTGAAATTTCACCAACTGAAGTTGTGTTCATGCCGGTATCATAACTTCGTTCTTTGTCCCATCGTTGAGTTAGGAGTTATCCAAACAGCTGGACTCATCAAACCAACCGCGTGTGCGCTTTCATGGTGGTAATGAGTATCAGCGAAATGGCCAAAGTTCTCCGCGCATGACCACAGTCACAGTGCTGGTTTGTGTGGACGCAAAATCGAGTCAATCGATTTCCGGAATATGAAGGCTTGAAAACCAGGTAGGCTTGGGTTTGAACATGTCACAGCAAGGTAGACATCAAGCCCGGGGGTGTACGTGTCATTATCGTGGTCTCGTTCATCATGGCATCGTTAAGCCTCGTGGTATCCGAGCTCTAGCACCAAGCCCTCGCATCTCTCGTGCACTCTGAAGGTGGCAACAAGCATTAACCACCATGTCGACCATCCGCCAGAATGCGGGTCTGGAGGCAGCGAGCGCACCTACAAGGATGCCTTAGCAGCTATGAGCTCATCCTTGAGGTACTCGATCCAACGATTATGGCGACGCTGCGTCTCTTTTCCAAGACACCATCTTCCCTGACCCTCATCATAGCGTTCTCCTGTCCCAAAGCGGCCTTTTATTCTGCTCCTGCTTCAGCAGAGACAGGGCCTTGCGGGCAATTGCCTTGTCACCTCAACTGAAGGCACCTCATCCTCAGCCCTGAGCTTAGTAACCACTTCGCCATCCCTGATAGTAGGATAGTTGTCATCGTATACGTCGGCGAGCGCCATGACCCTCACAAAATTGTGGCCCTTGTTCAGCGCCTTCAGACCGGAGTGCATGCCAACGGTGAAGACATCGAGGAAGTCCATACTGAGGAGCATCCGCGAGACCTCTTGCTGTCTGTTCTCAAACCAGATGAATTTCCAGCCTGTTTGCTTTCGTCAGCCTTGCTGACGCTGTCGAGGGGCTATGTGGATGTATTGCTTCTTTTGCGATGCGAGGACACTATATTAGTGGCGACGTAGAACCAGCGCCTGCACAACGGAAAGATCATGGGGCCAGTACTAATCACGACGGCGAGGAACGACTCTCCCAAACAGACCATTGACCGGACTCGGAGGGCTGGGTAGGACCGACCTGTATCGAAGATAGGATAAACATTCTGCCAGTATGTTAGCTTTCTCGGTGCAGTCGGGGACCCACACACCACGAGAAGTATATTCTGGTGCATTTGTTACATTGCTTCTTCTCGAACGGTAGAATCGCCCAGGATATCTGTCTCGGTGTATGCGGCGATCGAGGCTGTACTGACCCTGGTGTTACATCAGCTCAGCAAGATTGGACGAAGACCATCAGGCTATCCTCCATGGCCTCCAACCTTGCGCTTGATTGGTAATCTCCGCCTCATGCCCAAAGAGAAGGGTTATGTCCGCCTCCAGAAGTGGGCTGAAGAGTATGAACCCGCGTATTGGTTGATCCTTGGCACGAAAGTGATGATCGTTCTATCGTCCGACAAGGCTATTAAGGACCTGCTCGAAAAGCGGACCAACATTTACTGTTTCCGCCCAGATATGTACTTAGGCCAGACCGTCAGCGCCGGCAGCCGTATGAATCGAATCGTCACCATCTAAGATATTTGCAGTAGAATAGCAAGACTAAGCAAATAATATAGAAAGTCGTTCACAACAACCTAAACATTGAAGCTGCTAGGACATACGTACCCTACCAGAACCAGGACCTTGAGAACAAGGCCATACCTATGGGCCTGCTCGAGATTCCAGATCTTTTTTTGATCATAGTTGACGATACACCAACTCTTTAACGACCCAGATGATCTTCGGCTTTCGCACAACCAGTGTCGACAATCCACGCTGAAGCAGGTGTTCCACGTGAGTATAAAATCTCTAGTCCTCGAACAAGCTGATATTATTCTTGGGTTTCAAAATATTCTGCGAAATGAAGGTATTTAAGACCGTTGCCCTGCTTGATGTATTTTCAGTGCTTCGAAAGGTGCATGACTGGGTGTCCCCGTGAGGCGTCACGTAAAGAACCGCACGGGAAGGAGGTCGAATTATACATCGGCCATTGGCTGAACGTCAAGTCATGCTTTCATGTTGGCCCGGTTCGAGCTCAAGATGAAGAGGGCTTTTTAGATGCACAAGCGGATCAGTTCTTGAGGCTGGCTCCGACACAATGGTCAAGCTACTTGTAAGATGTAAGCTTTCTCGGAAACAACCTTGTAGCCTGTATTTCGCTAGTATGGCAACTTGCTTGTAGTCGTCCAAGCTATGATTCTATTCCCAGAAGTCGTCAAGGCTACACAGGAAGAATTGGACAGGGTCTGTGGTGATCACTTCCCCACTTTTGATGGCGAAATGAACCTACCGTACATGGGCGGCTGTGTCAAAGAAAGCATGCGTTGGATGCCAACTGACACTCTTGGCGTCGCTTATGGCATTTGCGACGAAGAATACATGGGCTACAAGAGCCCAAAGGGGGCTGGTATGGTGTGGAACGTATGGGGAGTCCACATGGATCCAAAACGCCAATCTGCGACGTTTTGACCCTGCCCGGTACATCGATGACCATCAAATGGCAGAAGAAGCCGCGAAAAATGATACCTCAAAGCGTGACCACTTTGTTTTCGGCACTGGTCGGCGTGTTTGCCAGGGAATGCATATCGCGAAGAGATTGTGCGGGACGCAGACGAACTGACGGAGGTGCTATTTGTGAAGGCCTTTCCTACAAAGGTTGTGCCAAGAGACGCTGAAATAGCCAAGACCCTTAAGGCTGAGTGGGAGAGGATGGAGGGCTTGCTGAGTGAGAGCCTACAGTGGAAGACCATGCCTGAAAGTATGAGCAAAGCGGCGCGCTCTGAGTACGGGCTGCAGAGGGTTGTGGGACAGCGACCACGAGGTTCAGCAACCAGCAAAGCAAGGGAGATGGTTGGAACAAGACTTTACGCGCACTTGTACCGGTCAGAGCCAAGTAAACAACAGCGGGGATGAGGTTTGAGAACGCCGCCAGGGTCGAGCTAACGGGAACGCTAAACCACAAGCGTAACGCTCCTTCTCTAGCAACGAAGCGACTTTCCACCATCTCTTCCACACTTGTGTTTGTGCATGTAGACACTGTTGATTATACCATGTCAGACCATAATAAATCAGTACAACTCGGTTTGAAACTCATCTTCCAGGTTCTTGCGCTTGCGGATGATAGGCGGGCTTATGACGTCACAGGATATCTGCGCTGCACACTTTTGTCGACAAAAATCTCCGCGAACCGGTCGATCTTGAACCCTTCTGACGGAAAGATCACTCCATACAGCTATATCACGTCCGGAACACACCAAACTAGTGAATGTACGATGACCGCTAGCCACGTTGACAACGATTACGGGCTTACCCTTGCGAGATTCACCGCTTATCGACCGCCTGGAAAACAAGGCAGGGTGCATGTCTGCATCAAAACAAAAACGTATGAAATGCACTTCAACGGCTTTCCGGCACCTGTTCCCCTGCATTCACTGCTTGCGTTGACACCTGCGCCTGATAACTGGTCTGTTCCGCATTTAACGCCCGCGTTGCCTTGCATTAGCCCACCTGGACCATTGCAGCGGAAACTTTGTACACCTGCACGCTCACCCCACGCGCGACCGTTGTAGATCCCTGAAGTCTTTCTCTGTGCAGAATAAGTGGGTTTTGCAGGACTCATGTGTTACCACAACTTCACGCAGCAGGTAGTCTCATCCCCAATCTCACACAACACAACAGTTGCTAACACGCTCGTAGTACGTAGTCACCCACCCAAGAAGCCGCACCGAGATATCCACGCTGCATTTCCCAATCAGAACTGGTCCACAGCTATTCAGCTCCCCATACTGACCACCACCAGCAACGGCTGCGGGCACATCGGCGAATCGCACCAGCAGCCCTGGACCCTCTGCCAAAGCGCCGTTCACAGGCTGAACGACCTACGAGGCCCCATGTCCCCCCCTCTCTCTCCCACAGTACCCCATCCCGCCCCAATGAAGCGCTCAGGCTCAACACGGCGTTTCTTCTCCCTCAGCCAGACCATCTCGCGCTCGGCCTCCAGCGCCTCGCGCCGCACCGTCTCCACCCCGGATGCCAATGACGCCTACTTCTCGCCCACGGACCCCGGCGCCGCGCTCAACTACGCCACTCTCCCTGATCACCAGCTGAACGCCGTCCGATGCCATACGCCCAGCAAAAGGAGCCAGATCAGCCGGGAGATGGATGTGTGCAAGGAGTGCAAGCGGTGGATCGGGGATATGCGGCGCATGGTTGAGAGGTACGATAAGACGGGGAGTATCCGGGGGACGAGCGCGTTTGAGACGTTTCTGAGGTGGCAGGATGGGCATGGGGGTAGCCAGGAGGGCGATTTGACGGTGCCGTTGGGCGATAGTATCGACGGGGTGGGGTTGGGTGCGCAGGAAGCTATTATCCTAGGGCATCCTGAGGGGCTGCTGGGGAGTAGTAAGGACGCGCGCTCGTTTGTTTCATGACGTGAAAAAGCTTGGGGTGTCTTTTTGTGGTGTTCGTAATATCTCGAACGTTTCCTATTTTTAGTTGACGCTCGACATCTTAGGCTGCTACCCGCGCCTTCCAAACGAGGATCTGAGCCAGGTCCACGTTCCTCGTCGCTGTTCTTCGGGCGTGATATCGCTTCGGGGATGCTCGCGACTGTGCAAAGACGCACTGTCATGCCGACTCCTGGCCCTTTTGTGCGTTCGTTTCCATTGAGAGATAACCTCCCTTTCGTTCGGCAGAATAGCAGGTGCGATCTGCACCGCCGACCACACCTCTATGTCTACTGGCATAGGCGAAAAAAACGGCACCTCCTCTCCTCCCTTGCGATCGACACGCTGCCAAAACCGCCGTCTCTTAGTATCTGGTTTTTGTCCTACGCACTGCCTAACGCTGGCAAGCACGGCATCGCCAAAGTCCTCTGCAATCTTACGATCCATAGTACATTCGGCACACTCTCTTGCTCTGCCGCTTACACAACCTCTGACCTTTCTCCTGTACTTCTGACATGCTCTTGCTGCGGCTGGCGTGTTTGATGCAATCAGGCTACAGTACGTCCATTTGAGGAGGTGACTGTGCGGGCAGGCAAAGAAGCGGGCGTAAATCTCGGTGCACATGATACTTGGTGGAGTTGAACAAAAGCGAAGAGTGTGAAAAGAATGCGGTCGAGGCTGCAATCGACGGTGTGCGGTGTAGGTGGAATTTGCTCTGAAGAGTCTTGCGTCTGAACGTGATTGGTGAAAGGGCGGGTCGCATGCGGTTGTCTGTGTGATGACTGGTGAAAGGGAATCGACGGATTCACGGCGCAAGCAATGAATGTTCTCGCAAGTACTGATGCTGATTGCTCTTCATTGTGATGGTACCGCTTTGTGCAGTCATCCTTCCTGCCACTGCGATGGCACTATCGAAGCGTACAGCATCGAGTGCGCGAGCATCGGAGAACGTTTGTCGGAACAACGTGACCGACAATCTCTCAATCTGCGCTGAGAGAGACCATTTTACAGATGGTCTTCTCTCCAGGTCAAGGCTGCAGTACTGGGTATAGCGCGTTGCATACATATTGCAAATGGGTGCAGAGAATGTGGCGTTGCCTCAAGTCGCATATCTGGAGATCAAAGCTCGGCGTGCGGCCGGAGTGCTTCATTGTGTGGGTATCGATGGCGGAGAACGATGAACAGGTTTGGCGTTTGTACGTGAAAGCGACTCCTATCAAGTGTATCCAATCACTCGATGATTAGTCAGTAATTCTCGTCCATGCTCATGCTCGATGGAAACGTCGGCGACTGGCTGCTCAGATTTCCCATGTTCAGGTCCAAAGGGTAGGTTGGCGATATTGGCGTGCCAGAAGGATAAGACGACCCGTAGCTAGACGGTGCAGACATGGATCGCTCGCCGTGCCATTCCTCCTTCTCCTCTTCCGGCGATGAAAGCTCGAGAAGTTTCTGTGGCGACGCCACCGCCATGCCCAATTGCGACAGCTTTTCTTGAAGGATATTAATAACGGCGGGGTTCCCCCCTCTGAATGAGGATAGGACTTGTGACAGAGAATGGATAAGATCCCGCGGGCCGATGCCAAAGTGCGATTCGTGATTCATGGAAGGCATAATGATCATAACGTCTGCTAAGGAGTTGGCGACATCGAAGAGCTTCGACTCCTGGACGATCGTCAGTCAAGAATCTAGTGCGATCAGGCGAATGCACGTACCATGCCAGGCCCATGAGCCTCCACGCTTTGCTGCGACAGACTGCTGAGATTCGAGAGAACGTTCTGCGCGACCTGCGCAGGGAAAGAGAAAGAAAATTCGTTGTCAATGTTCACGCTGCTGAGATTGGTGACGTTGAGTGCATGCTGCCACAGGAAGATGCGCATCCACTGTTGTGTCATGGAAATGTCGGCTCGTTGTAATTCATTTTCGAGGCTGAGTGGTGCCTCGTCGTTGCTCAGTTGCTGCTGTGCCAGCGCAAGGGCGTTTCGTGCCGAAGCAGGGTCTGCTGTGAGAGTGACGTCCAGAATGTTGAAAAGACGGCAGAGCTGAATGAAAGCCGGCGTGACCGAGCCATCATTCAAGTTCTCCAGTGGAGGTAGGTCTGGTGCTCTTTTGAGAGTTGTTGGCACATCGTGCTGAATGGAGTGTGCCCTCTCAGTGATAAACAGCAGCCAGTACAATCGCAAGTTCGTCTGAACCTGCTCGGCGGTCAAGAACTCGTAGGAGGAGGTCTTGTGCAGGCCAACAATGTGTGCTTTCGTGATTGCCTCCCCAAGATACACGGTCGAAACATTCATGCGACCGATGTTGGCGGAGTAGACATGTAGGAAGAAGCTGCTCAGTATTGAAAAGGCGGTGATGTGCTCAAGATGGTCCGCTTCGTCGCGCGCACGTTTGGCTTCTGCCTCGAAGACAGCACTAGACACACGGTAGTGTCCTTCGACGGGACTTCCTGGTTCAGCATCGATGGAAAATTGACTGACAACAGCAGCCGATATGGCGGTTGCCAGGGCGTATGCTTCCACGTCATCCGGATTGGTAAGAAGTCTTGCAGTCAATGCTTCAGCATCAACGACGGGCCAGATGCCGTACCCGCGTGATTGGTAGACGTCGAGGTATTGTGAGATGCACGATGTCGATATCCGCTGGGGATGGCTCTGCGCTGTTGGGAACACTGGACTCAAGTCATCCGGCCATCCTAGCTGCTCCACTGTAACGTCGCTGATTGGAGGTAGCTGTTCGATATACGGATACTCAGTGGGACTGGGACTGCCAAGGTCGAAGCTCGCCTCGCTGTTGCTCCTCGACTCATCGTGACTGCTCTTGCTGCGCTCCTGCAGCCTTCTGATGGCGGCTTCAGTCGTCCGGCGAGGTCCCTTGGGCCCGGATTTCCCATGCGTCTTCAAGTAGGTGCATTCCCAGCTGGCTGCTTCACACCTGGAACATGGTTGATTGCCGTCGCAACGCACTTTCCTGACAGAGCAAGGATCACATGCTCGCCGCGTCCCCTTGCGCGGTGCAGCAGCGCTGCCGCTCATCTTTGCAGCCCCAGCGATACCCTCTCGTATGACGTAACAGGAAGTGCTCGCGCGGCACCGGAACCCTTGCTTAATTCGTCATAGCACAGCTCGTTGGCAGGTCCGCCGCTCCCGTAAATGTGAAGAGTGTGGGCCACAAGCAGGCTCCCCAAGACATGTGTCGGTAGAAGTAATCCGGTATAAGAATGTTGAACGAGTCGTGTCACGGTAGCGCGCTGTTCCTGCCCAGAGGTGTTTTGCGAAAGGCTTGCAGCTGACGTTAAAAACGAAAGGTGGAGATGCGGCTACTTTTCGGTCGATCCTTCCCTGTTCCAGCTGAACGGCACGAGCGAATTGAAATCATGCGGCGTTACCGGCCGTCGCCGCTGAGCGGCTGGCAGGGTTACGAGTTGTTGGGCGATGCAGTCGCCGCAGCAGGTCCATCTGGATCTTCAGCCTCGACCGAAATTCTTACCTCTTGCGGGAGCCTACGCTGAGGCTGCGAATGTAGGCGAGCGGAGGCGCGGACGGCGAACGCCTTGACCTGCGTCAGATAGTGGCTCGTGGGTGCAGTGCATCGACTAGCGCTCATGGTTATATAGGGCTGTAGGGCTCAGGGAAGCGGGGGATGTGACTTTGGGGTGGTGGTGGTGCAGGTCCTCGGAAGCCTTACAGTCCGTCGCGGTCCTTCCTCGCTCGTAAAGATTTTCAAGCCAAGCTCTGAGTGCACAGAGGATCTCCACATGGCATGCAACAAGAACGCAGATGTCATGAAGCCTAGCAGGTAGTGTTGGAACGAGCGTTGGAGGCAGTGACAGCATCTCAATCTCTGGTCGCGAATCTGGCTAGCCATTATGCACTAATTAACTAATGCACGAGTTGCGCCGGTCCGGCATCGTCCTTCGAGCCTCATCGAACGCGCTTGACAGCCTCCGGACCTCGATGTCAATGTCAAGCTGCACTTAAATCTCGCAGCCCGCCTTACAAATCCCCGGCATCATCATTCGACGCCTCAGCATGCGGTCTCAGTCTGGCCAAAAGCCAAGGTGACCTGTCCGGGCACACCTTACAGAATCCAAGTCCACAAATAGTCTCGAATGACGCATAAGAGCAGGAACATTTTACCCATGTCTGAGCTACAACACATGACGACTCGCGCAGTCCAAAAAAAAACAGAAGTCATCATTCATCAACTATCAGGGGTATAACGCATTTCGAACCTCGTTCCAACGCAAAAGGGAAAAAATCAATGTAAAACAACTCACACCCTAGCCGCCTCAAAGCTATCACGCTCGCCGCCCGCAGCATCAAAGCTGTTACTCTCGCCCCTCCGCACACTGCTGACGACGACATCCTTCTGGATCGTGATGCCCCCATGGCGTCCGCTGCGGAGGACGACCATCTGGATCTCGTCGTCGGCCTGGGGCGGGGCCTGGCGCGCGGGGCCGCCGCTGCGCGCATACGGGCCGAAGGCGCTCTCGTGCTCGCTGCTGCCCGGCAGGCTGGAGCGCAGCTGGTTCAGGATGGTGAACTCGGTGCGCAGCTTGACGGCGTAGACGGCGGCTTTGTAGTAGCCCTGCAGGAAGAAGAAGCCCGCGTAGCACAGGCCGATGAGGGAGCAGTCGAGCAGGATGATGAAGACGTTGACGCCAATCAGGTGTCGTAGGAGGCGGCGCGTGGTGCGCGCGTTGGTGCCCAGTAGCGCGACGTTGTGCAGGTGCTGCGCGGTGCTGCGGATGTACAGCAGTGAGATGAGGGTTTCCTGCAGGAAGAAGGCGGCCAGCTCGATGCGGTCCCAGATCAGATTTGCGCGGCCGAGGTTGGCGACCATGGAGGGATGGCGCTGAGGTTGTGAGTTTGCGTCTCGCTATGTGAGTGTGGGGGGGGGGTGGGGGACGTACGGCGACCATGCCCAGCACGACGGTGCCGAGCCCGAAGACGACCGAGTTGACGAGGATCATGTACAGCACGTAGCGCCCGGTTTCGAGGCGCTGCAGCACGAGGTTGAGACGCGAATACAGCACCACGGACTGCGAGACGACGTAGGTCCACCACGTGAGGTGGATGAGGACGATGGCGCCGTAGCTCTCCCAGATCTTGAAGTCGAGCAGGACGATGAGCACGGCGTGAGTGATGATGCCCCAGGAGCAGGCGAGACAGGACCAGAAGTAGAGACTCGAGCGCGTGGCTCGAGACAGCAGACGCACGCTGACCTCGACGCTCAAATACCATGCGATTCCCAAAAACGCAGCGGCCGTCATGGCCGTGGGCAGCGGCGTGATGTTGTGTGTCGGCAGCGCATCGTTGTCGACTTCAAAGGCCATCGCTTTGGATCAGTGCGAAGGCGGGCACATGGTGTTTGCCTGTGGGCGGAACACATATAGAACTCTGTTAACTAATTGGACTTCCCGCCCTGTCGGGTAACATTCGAGTCCCAGGTCACAGATAGCGTCTTCGATAACGAGCGGAGCAGTCTGCAAGTCTGGGTAGCCGTTGGCGGAGGCGGAGGCGGGAGCGGACGCAGCCAGTGGGCGAACATGTCTCGTGCCATTTCACCTACCAAGACGGGCATAGGAGCCTAGGTGCGGTAATCGCAGGCGAGCGATGATTCGCTGTACCAGGGCGTCTTCATGCCGCTCCTTGCACCGCGCACGACGGGTGCACTTGGGTGCCGAAACGGGGTGAAGGCCGAGCCGTCAAACGCCTTGGCCACGTGGATTGCGGGCGGCTGGCTGTACATCAGGCGATGCAGAACTTGTGAGGAATGCGGTGCCGGATAAATGCTGTGTCTCTGGACTTGAGGTGCCGAGGTACATACAGTAGTGCAGTGGCAGCGTAAATGGTTTGGTCCAACAGCCATGCTAGCGAAAGCTGCAACGGCGCTGGTGGTGGTAGAACATGCAGATGAGGCATGAGACCTGGCGAGCGTCTCGCCTGGAGAGGAGAAGGCATGGACTTCATCTGCAGTGCACTGAGTGCAGCCGTTTGCACATCACGCTACTGCGCGATAGGTAGCTGACTGCGGAGCTCGCCGGTGGAGTCTGCTGCGTCGACTGGGGAAGACAGTGCTTATCGCGTAGATCAGTGGGAGTGGCAGACCGAGAGCGGGAAGTTCTATTCAAGTCGGTATGCGTTGATGATCGCCACGACTGTTAGCCCTATTCATTCGAATATCATGGCAAGAGACACACAAGTTGCAAGACGACGATGTAAAGCTGCGGAGGAGCACTGCACCTGATTGGTCCACCTCACGCACGGATACCCATCCAACGTCAACGCGAAGCAAGCTGCGGTGAGCTCTCACGCGCCCACCACCCTTAGCACTCGAACTCGCCGCCCACGACCCGCTCCAAGAACCATCCACACACAATGGCACTAAACAGCTACCTCCACAGTGCGTCCCCCTCTTCTTTCTCCGCATAAGACCAACCTGCTAACTCCGCCCAGAAAAAGTCTCAGTGCTCACGCTCGACGGACGCAGCATGGTCGGCACGCTGTTCAGCTGCGATGGCAGCATGAACCTCGTGCTCACCGACGCATTGGAGCGCATCATCCGGCCAGCGGACGAAGGGGTGGCGAGCGAGGAGGTGCCGCTGGGGCTGTATATCGTGCGGGGCGACAGTGTCGCGGTGTGTGGGAGGGTTGATGAGGATGTGGATGGGAAGATTGACTGGAGGAAGGTGCATGGTGAGGTGCTGGGGAGTACGAGGCATGTGTGAGGGGAGGGGAGTGTGTGGTGCACTTGGGGACTGGAGTGTGTGGTGCGCTTGGGGACTGGAGTGTGTGGCGCACTTGGGGACTGGAGTGTGTGGTGCATTTGGGGACTGAGATAAGGCGCGGATGCTGGGGGATGGGAGGGATGGGGGACAAGACTAGAGGACACGCGAGGGACGGCGAGAGGCTGCGCGCCATAGCGCTGCTGGGATGAGATGAGATGAGATGAGATGGGATGAGATGAGATGGGATGGGATGGCCTGAGACGCGATGATACCCACGGAAGGCGATGCACGCTGCATGTAAACGCGGCTGGTCGAGTCAAGTGTTGGCTGACACAGCAGATGGCAGAATGTGATAGATAGACCCAGGCTGGGAACAAGTCACGTCACGACCGCAACGACTGTCTCCAACTCCCGTGCTCTGCGGCAACGGCTACTGTATCCCCCTCGCCACGCCCTCGTTGACGCCCGCAACAGTCTTGTGGTCCGCCGGGTTCGCCGCGGCCTCGTACAGCACACTAACAGGCTCCTTATTAAGCCGCATGAAGTCGCCCTTGAATGCCAGATAGCTGATGCGCGTCTCATCCTCATCACCTTGACTCCAGTTATCCTCGAAGAACAGCGCCAGGCTACGCGTGTTGTTGAAGTGCACCCGCTTCACGGCAATCTCCTGGACGTCGCTCGAGCGCGCCAGCTCCAGGGTCTGCGTGGGCTGCTTCTCGCTCGCAGTCTCGAAATCCATATCATCCGCGTTGGCGAATAGCTTCAGCGTCCGCGGCGCCGCGGGGCTGTCTGATGTCCGCAGTAGAATCGAGTGTAGTCGTACTTGCCCCGTGAACGGCACCAGCATGAGCAGCTGCTCGTCGGCTGAGGAGACGAGCTCGGGATCGGGCGACAGGCGCTGGGCCCATGTCTTCTGGCAGATGGCGCGGCCGCTGTTGCTGGTGGACTCGTTTAGGGTGCGCAGGGCGGGGAAGTCGAGTTGCGCATAGAGGATGTTTTGCAGCGCGGGGGTGATGTCGTCGCTGTGGTCGTGCGAGTGCGAGTGCGAGTGGTCATGGTCGTGGCTGTCCGAGTGCGAGTGCGAGTGCTCGTCGTGGCAGTGCGACATGGTGTGTTGACAGTTGTTGGGGCGAGGCTGGTGGGCGCGGGGTACCTACCATGGCTGTCGAGGACGGCGGGTTGGCAGGACGCGGTGCAAGGTCGCCACAGCAGGTCTCACCACGGTAGGAGCATATGGAGCATATGGCGCATATGGAGCATACGGCGCATATGGAGCATACGGCGCATATGGAGCATATGGAGCAGTCGGAGTAATAGTCTATAACGATAGTATATGCAGTGTACGCAACCTCGCCGCAAATGACCCCAACGCCTCGCCCAATGCACGCACGCCGTGTCTGTGACTCCATCCCCGCTACGCCAGCATCGGCTCGCCCCGCTGCTCCTGCTCGGCCGCGCGCTCGCGGGCTCTCCGCTGCGCGCGGTCTCGCGCCATCTGCGCCTTCTGGGCGGGCGTGAACTCGGGCTGCTTGACGGGCGCATCCGGCAGCGCGACGACGCCGGCGACCGCCCGCTCCAGCGCCTCCAGCTCGTCCTCAACCTCGTCCTCGTCCTGGTTGGACATTCGGTTGGCGAGCAGCTCCGACACTTCCTGCGTCGCGTCAGCACACGCCGCCGACCCGCATCGGCCCCGGGGCGACACACCTCCTGGTACGCCCGCGCCTCGGCGCTCTCGCCCAGCAGCTTCTCGACGTGCTCGAGGCCGCCCATCTCGCGGTGGATCTCCTTCAGCACCGCGGTGCCCTGCTGCAGCCCGAACAGCACGTCCTTTTGCACGAGCGCAAACTCGACGTCGGCCGTCAGCTGCTCGAGCTGCGCGAGCTGCGCGTCCGTCTTCGAAATGAGCCCCTCCTGGTACTTCTTCCGCCGCAGCGCGAGCTTGGCCCGCTGGGTGTCGCCGCGCGCCAGCCACTCCTTTGCGATGGCCGTCTCGCGCGCCGTCACCACGGCCATGCGCTTCTGGTACTGCCGCAGCTTATCGCGCTGGTTCTTCATGTCCAGGATCGCCCTGCAGCCCGCGAGTTAACGATGCGCGTGCCCCCCCAGAGTCGCCCACACCCACTTGTCCTGCGCCGAGATCTTGTTCGCGCTGCCGGAGTTGCCCATTGCCGTCGTCCCATCAGCACATCAGCGTGTGGTTCAAGCGTGTGACTGGGTCGTGCCTGCCTTGGTTGCGTTGACGTAGTGCATGCGCTAGCTTATCGATAGGGCAGTCTACTTGGTATGCGCTAGACTATCGATAAGGCAGTCTACTTGGCATGTGCTAAGCTATCGATAAGGCAGTCCACTTCGTATGCGCTAAGCTATCGATAAGGCAGTCTACTTGGCATGTTCTAGGCTATCGATAAGGAAGCCTACTTCGTATGCGCTAACCTATCGATAAGGAGACCCTGGTCCGAGGTCTGGCAAAATATTTTGACACATCCACCACTACGATACGACCTCAGGCTGCACGTCATCACCATGGCCCCCCGTGGACGCTCCCTCCAGCAAGGCCTCGATCGAGACATCTACCAGATTGTCCGCAAATACCTCGACGACAAAAACGAGTCGCCTCTCAAACTCCGCATCTCCACTGTCCAGGAGCATATCCAGAGATCCAACTCCAGCCTGAAGAGACGGCCGAAGAAGCAGCTGGAGGACTCGATCGAACGCGTCATCGACGTTATGCGCGAGGACGAAGAGATCAGCGACGAGATTGCCGACATCGACGGCGATTTTGGCGAACCGGAAGAGAAAGCCTCAAAAGAGAGCAAGTCGGCCGACTTCATGAACAAGCAGATCATTGGCGCCTGGGCCACCTCCGGTGCCGTCGCCCCCTCCACGGCCAATGGTGACAAGGACAAGAGCAAGAAACGTGAGAGCGCTCGGGGCGGAGAGAGGGACAGCAAAAGACAGAAAAAGACGGAGTCGAAAGAGTCCAAAATCGACGTTGCGCCGCCTACTGGCGTCAGCCTGGAGGATCTCGGTGGTGTGAGCAAGGTCATGAATCAGCTGAAGGAGCACCTCGTACTGCCGCTGCTCTGTCCCGAGGAGTATGTCCAGCGAGAGATTCCCATTCCGCGAGGCATCCTGCTGCATGGCCCCCCCGGATGCGGAAAGACGGTCATCTGCCGAGCAGCTGCGGCCGAGCTGGGCGTGCCGTTCATCGAGATCCTCGGCCCGTCTGTCGTCTCGGGCATGTCTGGAGAGTCGGAGAAGCAGATCCGCGAGCACTTTGAGCGCGCCAAGGAGGTGGCGCCCTGCCTCATCTTCATCGACGAGATCGACGTAATCGCACCCAAGCGCGACAACGCGCAGAGTCAGATGGAGAAGCGCATCGTCGCTCAGCTCCTCATCTCCATGGACAGCTTGGCAATGGAAGGCAACGATGGAAAGCCTGTCATCGTTCTCGCAGCATCCAACCGACCGGACAGTCTGGATCCCGCACTGCGTCGCGGAGGACGATTCGACACCGAGATCAACATGGGCGTCCCCAACGAAGCCATGCGCGAGTCGATCTTGCGAGCATTGACGCGCAAGCCCAAGCTCTCCGAGGACGTCGACTTCGCTGCTCTCGCCAAGATGACCGCCGGTTTCGTCGGCGCCGACTTGAAGGACCTGGTCAGCAAAGCAGGCACCTGGGAAATGGAGCGGTACCGCGAGGCCCTGGAACTGCAAGCCGCGGCAAACGAGACGGAAATGGAAGTCGACACGACCAAAGTCACCGCCGACGACGTCGAGACCATACGCTCCTGGCGCCGCCTCGTCCTGCGCGTGCGCGACAAGGACGCCACGCGCCCCGCCGGCTTCGAAGACTCGGTCATCTCAATGGAAGCCTTCCAAGCCGTCCTGCCCACCATCACGCCCTCCTCGAAGCGCGAAGGATTTGCCACTGTGCCGGATACCACGTGGCGCGACGTCGGCGCGCTCGAAGGCGTCCGCGACGAGCTCGAAATGGCCATTGTCGAGCCCATCCAGAACCCGCAACGCTACGCCAAAGTCGGCATCTCAGCGCCCACGGGCGTGCTCCTCTGGGGCCCCCCAGGGTGCGGTAAGACACTCCTCGCCAAAGCCGTCGCTGCCGAGTCGAAAGCAAACTTCATCAGCGTCAAGGGTCCCGAGCTGCTGAACAAGGTACACCTCCCCATCCACATATGCACACTGAAACACAGCTAACACCACCCAGTACGTCGGCGAATCCGAGCGCGCCCTACGCCAAGTATTCATGCGCGCCCGCAGCTCGGTGCCGTGCGTGATATTCTTCGACGAACTCGATGCGCTCGTGCCCAAGCGCAGCTCCGAGCTACACGAAGCCTCAGCGCGCGTCGTCAACACGCTGCTCACGGAGCTCGACGGCCTCAGCATGCGCGAAGGCATCTACCTCATCGCAGCCACCAACCGGCCCGAGATGATCGACGAAGCAATGCTGCGCCCCGGCCGTCTGGAAACCCTGCTCTACGTCGAGCTGCCCAAGCCCGAGGAGCGCGTCGATATCCTGCGCGCGCTTATCCGGCAGCGCGGTGTTGTCAGCGAGGACCTCGCGGCCGTCGCTAGGCTGCCCGCCTGCGACAACTTCTCCGGCGCGGATCTCGAGAGCTTGCTGCGCAAGGCAGGGCAGGCGGCGCTTAGGCGGAAGGCGGATGTCGTTGAGGAGAGGGATGTGCTGGAAGCGGTCAAGACCATCCGGCCGAGCGTGGGCGATGTTAAGAAGTATGAGGATTTGAGGAGGAGGTTTGAGACGAAGCTGTTCTAGCGGAGCTGTTCTAGCGGGACTGTTCTAGATGCTGTTCTGATGCAGTGCATTGCAGTCGCGACCGCGAGTGCATTGGCATCGCACATCACGACTCCGTCTCGAGCGCGCATCGTCCACGGTCAATGAAGAAGGGGAGCGCGAGGCACGGATACCGAGGCGAGGTGTTATCGCATCACGCACCGAGTATTCATCGTTGAGCACGCCGTCGACGTGCTCCACAGCCGTCGCACGTGGCAGAATTTAGAGTCTTGCTGCGTTGTCTACTCGCTGCTCCCAGCGCGTACACACTGCACCATAGTCCAAGCTTAGACTGAGATCAGCGCGCGGCGATGGCTGCTCGTCTTCGTATCTCGTCAGCGTGATCAAAGCGCTGGTTACCGACGGCTGGTTCTGTTCGTTAGACGGGCTTGCTTAGTAGCGTTAGACACGCCTTGACGCGTGCGAAGAGCTGCATAAAAGCGCTACATAAAAGCGCTACATAAAAGCGCTACGTCTACTTCGGGATACAGCACGCGCTCTGACAACGCGGACTTGTAGTTGCACTGACTGTGGTGTCTTGTCTGCGCCTAGCAAGACTAATACAATTGTTTCCTATACCACTATTGTCTGCTAACTGGATTGGCAACAGTCTCGCGCGTTGAGTTTCACGGAATTTCTTCGAGTCAAACACAGATATATTGCCTCTACTCCCTCCGCATACTTTGTGCCTTGATCAGTGTCCTTTCAATATCCAGCAAGCATTCTCGTTCCTCTTTCGTCCCTCTTAGCTTTCATTGGAGAAAATTCCTCCGACCGTATATAGGCTGTACACACGGTACTTCAGCGGCCAGGATAATCACGCGAGACATGTCAGGGTGTACTTGGCGTTATAGTTGATGTTGGTGTATTGTGTGCGGGTGCAGATACAGTGTGCATTGGTCTGTGTTATTTTGCTGATATCTGTATTCTGTGATGATCGCACACGGCGAGGTGTATCGCACTGCAATTTCCGCGCGCAGAATGTGAGATGAAGGATAGACACCGTGCGAGCGTTGTCTGCGATGGCTGAAGACGACGTGTGGCGCCCGTTGTGTAAATTGAAGACATGCTTGTACGAACCGCTCGGCGTTTTGGGTGATACGATGCGTTGACTCTATATTCGTTTAATCCACGCGCGCCATCATTTCTCGTGAACGACAATTCGAGTACCTTGTACCGCTATGGATCGAGACATTGCGATTGAATTTCGCGATTCGGTGCTGGTCTTTTTGCACATATCCAGAACAAACCCTGCAACAGAATACCCATCCCAATGAAATTTAAAAGATGATCGCAGTGCGATCCAAATGCAAACAAATTATCGACCACCGAACAAGCACGCCATGCGGCGTTGCGCTGCTCAAACAACATCCCAAAATGCGTTCCTGGCACCGCCCCCACGGCGTCCCATCCGCACACCATGAACCGTCGTCACGCCACTGAGACCCATGCCCACAGGATCATCGGATCGCGCAGGGTTCCGCAACCCCAGCTGATCCTCAACCCACACCCGCATAGTCTCGCCCTCCGCTCCCTCGCTGGAAGAGAAGTGCTGCACCACATACTCAACACCCAGCGCGAAAGCCTCTGGAACACTCAGTCCGTGCGCAAGCACTGGGACTGGTGCGTAGCGTGCAGGGGCCAGTATGTGCCTCTTCGGCGGCGGAGAGCTGCGTGGGAGGTCCTGAGACGGAGGAGTGTAGGGCGATGATGTGTTGTCTTCGTAGATGGAGTGGGTGCGCTTCTTGCTGCTGGCTGTCGATGGGGTGGTGCCGCTCAGTGGGGAGGTGAAGGGAGCGAAAGAGGTCTCTGGACTGTGCTCTGAGAGAACTAGGAGTGCAGATGCAGCGGCGCGGCGATCGTCTTCTTCTGTGAAGGGTAGAGGTGTGGCGGTCACATTCTGAGGTGCGGCCTTGGAGCGCGTGGTGCGGGTCGGACGCTTCTTGATGCCTGCGGTGGTGGGAGACTTGGTGCTTGTAACGCGCTTGGTGATGGTTGTCTTCCTGATGGCTGAAAGTCTGCGGGAAGTTGGCTCTGGAGATGGCGCTGCCGGGGGCACGGCGTTTTCCTTACTGCTGTCGCGGACGCCGCGGGTGCGCTTCGATGCTGGAGTCTGCTGGGAGAGTGACGGGTTTGCGTTGCCAGTGGCTGTTGACGAACTGAACGTGGCTCGGGTATCGTCTTGGGCATGTGCTTCAGCCTCATCGATGGTATCGTGTCGCTCATGAATATCTGCGATTTGCGCCTTGACTTTTCGTTTTAGCTGCGCAGGAGATGCAACGAGCGCGCCGCGCATGCCAGTGCGAGCAGTTGTGAGCGCGTCACTGATGACTTGCTGAAGATCCTGAACACGTCCAGCATCTTTGAGATCGGGCAATTGGGCACCAACTGCTCCGTAGAGCTGTCCGAGACTGTTGATGAGACGCTCGTATGTGAGTCGACCGCAGCGCTCCATGGTTGCCGTGCTCGAAATGATTGTGGGAGGTTTGGTGACTGTAAGCAAAGAAGAATTGCGCTTTACGTTACGCGTCGAGTGATTGCTGGTTACGATGAAGCGTGGCGCGCCAAAAGCCAAAATGGAGGTGAGGTGAAGAGTAGTTTGGGGAGCGCGTACGCTTTGTGAAGAAGTCTGGCGCGTGACTTGGCGCGAAGTGCGAGAGAAGCGAGTCGCGGTGAAGACGAGGGAAGAAACCTGAAATGAGAGCTATGCTTGCTAGGGTCTGAAGTGTGAGAACTGAAAGCAGGTCGTCGCCAGGACGAAAAAGGGGAATGCGCCTGCACAGCGTACAGAATAGTACAAAGGTAAATCAACGACAAGGTGGAGAGAACGGGAGGCAGGATTGTATTCGGTGGGAGAGGCGCTCCTGAAGTATTTGAAGATGATCCGGAAACAACATCATCCTGTTGTCCATTGTACTGAGGTTTCTGCTCAGCTATTGTGCGGCGGCAAAAATAAAATGGGTGCGCCCGTGTAAGCCCTCATACCTCAATTCGGATGTTGCTTTCACCTCTGGCTAGATGATCTAGCGGCCGGATCAAACTATCACTTCCCACACTCTCCATCCGCCACATTCAGATTCTTCTCCTCCTGAATCATAGCGTCTTTCACTCTTCTAACCAAACTTTCCAGCATCTTCGTGTCTCCTTCTCTACCTTCTTTCAAGCTCTGCATATCGATCATGACGGCTGCCTGCGACTGCGCCACCATTGCAAGCCCCTTGGCGCTAGGGCTGCTCAGCTCATCTGCTAATATCTGGCTGCGTTCGCGTATAGCGATAGCTTTCAGCTCAGCTGAGACGATGGAGATCTGGTTGAGTTGGAAGTCGGACTGTGTGCCGTTTGTGGGCGCTGTGAGAGAGCCGGTGTTGGTGCTAAGTGAAAGGAGAGTTTGCAAGCTGTAAGACGTCAGACGCTGCGGTACATCAACCGCCTTTGTGACTGAGAATTTCGAATTCAAAGGGGTTGTGCATGCAGTTGAACTTCTCACCCCTGTAGTTCCTGCTTCTGAATGAACATCGTCTCTTGGATGGAGCCGATTAGATGTGAGTATTTCAGCGCATCGCAACTACTGTTTGCTTGTGCCTCTCGTCTCAGCGCCTTGGGCAGTGCATACGCACCGCTGGCCGCGAAGAGTAGTGTCAGCAACCTGAACAACATGTCGTCTTGAGTCAATTGGGTAGGAAAGCTTCGAAGAAACGTCGACGTGTACAGCAGAAGATATGCATTCTCAGCTGAGAAGACCTCATACGGCGAAAAGATATGTTGTCGAAACGGCATCGAAACACGGTGTTCGCAGGGCCGTGCCGCAAGCTTGGTGAAGCTTAGTATGCAACGGCAGTGATGTTTCAGTTTCGTGGTGACACGTTGAGAAAGTCAAACACTGAAGCGTGCAGCATGTATAGGTAAGAACACATCACCATGCTGCAAGGCAAACTAAAAACAAAGAAGCGAGCCCATTGACATTCATTGCATGTGGACAGACATGGAGGGTCGAGATGACGCGAAGATGGCTGTCGTCGCGGGTGGGTCCTTAGCACAGTTCGTGGGACAGGCGCTTGGTAAACCCAAGGAGTTCTGAGCAACGGCAATCCAGATGGGTGTAACATTCAGATGGAGATGAGAAAGCACTGTAATGTGATGAAAAATATCGTGTCTCGGAGGCTGTGGAGATCAGCTCTTGCATGCACTAGCGGAATCCTATCGGACCGATAATGCACCAATCATGCTCACCATGTGCACCTCAAAAGACCTTTGCAGGCGCCGAATACCGCCCATGTCAGAGTACAATTAGACCCCGATGTGACGTGAGAAATTAGAGAGAGGCTCACGCAAAAGCTTGAGGATGTAAAAGCTCTGCTCTGTCGAGTCACAGAGTCGCACATCGAGAATCGTACATGGGCCTCCGATTCACTGAAGATCATTTAGAACATTTACATTAGTTGGAGAAAGCCTGGAACCTCATAGCTTTCATTACTTATCGAACTGCCATATCCTGAGCAACTCATAGAGGTTACTCTAGCATACCCAGCAGCGCTTCCCAAGGCCTGAACTCCAACGTCCCACTCTTTGACTTGCCATCAATCTCCGTCTCATCGTAGTTGCCAGCAACCCACTTCTTGACCTTCAAGTCCTTGAGTCCGTCCCACAATAGCTTCTCGCTACTAAAGTTAAGCACTGTGACGAAAGCATTCTTCTCGCTCCAGCGCTTGTACGCAACGATGTTCTTGTCTTCGGGGTCCAGAAGCTTGAAGTCACCATAGACAAAGACATCCTTGTTCTCCTTGCGACACCTAAGTCCGCGCTGCCAGAAAGCGTGAACCGAGAGTGTACCTGGCGAGGGTCTGGCGTTGTCAAGCTGCGCTTGCGCATTGACAGTCTTGTAATCATCGTTGACGCGCATCCAGGGTTTGGCGTCGGCGGATGTGAAGCCAGCGTGGGGCTCAGACGTCCATTGCACGGGAGTGCGGGCATTATCACGAGACTTCTTCTGCATGATCTTGCGGGCTAGGGCCTGCTTCTCCTCGTCGCCCGGGTACATGTCTTGGTACCTGAGTGGCGTTAGTTGCGAGGTAGCAGTAGATGAGGCAATGGGGATACTCACTTCTTGAAGAAATTGATGCTCTCAATATCCCTGTACTCAGATGGTTCCCAGCTCACAGGAACATTGCGCATGCCGATCTCTTCACCCTGGTAGACAAACAACGTGCCGGCGAGGGTGGTTTGCATCAAGCACAGCAGCTTCGCGCCATATTCACGGAGCTCATCGCTGTCATCTGTGTACCTGCTGACACTACGAGGCTGATCATGGTTCTCGATGAAGATGGAGTTCCATCCATCCCGTTCCAGCATCAACCGCTGCAGACGGTTGATGATCGTCTTGAGATCTCGTGCATCCCATGGGTGCAGAGTGTACTTGAAGTCTCCAGGCACGTTATCGATGTCTACGATGTCGAAAGCGAAGATCATGTTGAGTTCCTCATTCTCGGATCCGACCACTCTGATGATCTCATCTTCGTCCCGGACGAACGGCATCTCGCCGACTGTGAGTGTGTCGTATTTAGAGAGGACCTTACGGTTGATGTCCTTGAGAAATTCGTGTAGACGAGGTCCGTTGGCGTAGAACTTGTCGCCTGGCTGGTATTTGTTTTCCTTGACTTTGACCTCAGCGTCAGCAAAAGACTGCACCTTGGATATCAAGTTGATGACGTCCATGCGGAAACCGGAAACACCACGATCAAGCCAGAAGTGTAGCACGCTGTGAACGGCATCTCGTACATTGGGATTCTCCCAGTTCAAATCCGGCTGCTCAGGCGTGAAGAGCGAGAGGTAGTACTCCTGAGTCTTCTCGTCCCAAGTCCATGCTGAGTTTGCCTCGCCGAGAATCTGCGCCCAATTGTTTGGCGGTTGACGATTTCCATCTGCATCGTACTTGGCGGGCTTCCATATGTACCAATCTCGCTTCGATGATTCCTTGGAAGACCGTGAGTCGAGGAACCAGGCGTGCTCCTCAGATGTGTGGTTCACGACCAAGTCCATCACCAGCTTCATGTCACGCTTCTTGATTCCTTCGATGAGATCGTCGACATCCTGCAATGTCCCATAGCTTGGGTCAATGTCTTCGTAGTCAGCGATGTCGTAGCCCATGTCCGCCTGTGGGCTCTTGTAGATCGGTGAGACCCAGATGACATCGACACCCAAGTTCTTCAGGTAGTCAAGTTTCTGCGTAATGCCACGCACATCTCCCCAACCATCACCGTTGGTATCCTTGAATGACGCTGGGTAGACCTGGGGGGCGAGTGAGTACTCTGGCCGTATTTCTCAATGTCTCAGCCCACCTGGTAGACCACCGCTTCCTTCCACCACCGATGCCTATCGGTACCAACGTAGAGATTCTGCTGAGTTGTCGGCATTTTGCTGTTTGTGTCTTTTCGAGCTAATCGAGCTGTGCGAGTGTAATATTGTTGAGTAGACGTCCTACTAATACTGGCACGTCATCACGTTGTGGAGCGCTCCACATACCCCAGAGCGCAGCGCGTCTCGGCGGCCCCCAAAGCGAGCGTAAAAACGGCCCAAAGCACCCCGAGCCCGGAGGCGATCACTGTAGGCCGATTTTGCACCGCACCTCAACTGGCGCCGCTTCGAGTAACTTCGGTGCTTGCCGGAATCGAATCAATTGAACGTGAGCCGCTATCGCCAGTTGTTGTTGACTTTGCGCGTGCACCTGGGCAAGTGACGACAGGAGCGCAGACGCGCAGGGCAGTCGTCATGACTGGTCATCGGTCACGCGGGCACCGCCAAACGCAAGGATCGTGATACCGCACATAATAGAACAACAGCTCGCATTCCCTAGCTTCTCATGTACCGATACCCACCTTTACCGTATATCAATTGCTGTGCACACTGCGTTTTGGTGTTCAAAACCCCTCCGCCAGTACTACCGAAAAACGAACCGGACGATGACGTATGCCTCCGACGTTGAGGGCGGTGGTGCAGCAGATGAGCGTTCACCAATGCTGAGGAGCTCCTCTGAGGCCGCGAAGCCTGATAATGATCATTCTTCCTTCTGGACAGTGTTGCACTTCTTCGGTGGCGGCATCTACGCACCTGACGCAGCGACCTACGACCCCATCGAGATCCTGCTGAACACTGAAGACAAGAAGGAGAAGGATGAGCTGACGATCAAGTGGAGGGATAATAAGCTCAGCGAATTGAGCTTCATTGGTGTTGTCGCTGCGCTGTTGGCAGGAGTGCTTACATCGACTGGTAGCTGGCCACAGGTACTGCCAAGTGGGCGCGAGTCACCATGGCCTATCAGGACGGCCTGGTACTGCGGTATCATCTTATCGCTGTTCAGTATTTTGACTGCAGCGGATCAGACTGTGCGACTTCACCGTCTATCTGCGCATCGCGATGGCCTTGGTGGCATTCGAAAGCTGCTAGCCAAGACTAATGGGGAACGAAGGCACTCGAAGAAGACAGGCCGTCGTGCGCCCAGTCTGCTGCAAGTCTTCACATGGCAGATGCCAGTCATGTTTCTGACGACAGCGACGGTCAGCATGATTATCGGCATGTTTCTGCACGTTTGGTCCGCCACGAGGCATCTGCAAACTTCTGATTGGTGGGACGACAATTCAAAGGTCAGTTCCCTGGATCGTTCGTCACATCGCAGCTTATAACTAATTTTCTTTCCAGGTTGCTCTGACATTCACTGTTGTAGCTTTGACTTCAATTGTATTATTCTTCGCGGGCCAGGTATCTCTGTACACACCAGAGCAGCGTCGAGAATAGCTTTCAGGGCGATTGTGGACAATCCAAGATGACTTTGTACGACTTGAGCTGCTATGCGCTTCTCAAAGTGAACCCTGAAGCCCACAATATCAAATCGTCGATCATCGCAACTTCTTTTCCCAATCTCACACAAAGCGTATGGACAACACCAACATGATGCCAGTCAACTCAGTGTGAACTCACAGGTCGATGATACATAAGCGAGCCGAGGAACGGTTCAGGGATATGACTTGTTGCAGCTTGAGAAGTGCATCACACTACAAGCGGTCCTTTATCTTTGCTAGCTACCTCACCACCCTGGACTTCTTCAAGCTGGTTTCAGCATCCGGGGCGTCTTAGCTGTCTACTAGAGGCGGCCGATCCGCTTCGAAGTATCTCTCCGACAAGACTTTGTACAATGGGAATGGGATAGTTAGGGTTCTAACAGTACTGCGGTTGATATGAAAACTTCTTCACGAAGCCACACATCAGATGTAAAATTGCAGGTTGCGAATACTGTCAGCCCCGAATTTTCCAGAAGTGTGATTGAGCCTACGAACGTACCGAAGACATTGGGAGGGGTAGTAACGACTGACTACATCTTAATATACATCTCAATTGTCGTATGTATGTCGCATATTGCGTGAACTTGACGGACAAGGAACGCTGTTCCAACGATCTGGGCGGCATTATGGTCTATTCCAAACACGAAGGCTTCGACGTCGGCAGGCAACATTTGATCGCACACGATGATGCCACCTTTCCGCATGCTAGGGATGCCCACCTCCCGACAGTTCGAGAGGTGATCAATGAGAATCTAGGCGACGAGACAGCGCCGAATGTCGATGGTTGATTCCAAACTTTGGCCACATACCTCATCAAACTGATTTGTAACGACTGCCTAGAGTTTTCAGGAAAGGGTCTTCAAGATGCCAGCTTCCGCAAACAGCATCAAGCCTGCAGGCACAATTTACTGCGAGTACTCACTTACTTCACGCTTCCTGGATCGCCGGCTCTGCATACCGTGTCATCGAGCTGAGGTTGAGGTTAATGTAAATAAGAGTCTGCTTACGAGATATGAGGCGCGCATCGGATGTGTCTGTTTTGCTTGTCTACACAGGCAGTGTGGACAAAGCAGAGATCACATTGCAGCGATGTCTGGAAAGCTGTCCGAGATAGGGTCGTTCTGCAAGTGTACTTTGCGCTTAAGGTTTCTCGACAGGTGACTTTGTACCCCCTACATTTTCGCAGAACAGCCAACCGAAGAGGCAAGAGAGGGTCGTCTCAAAGTCATTCAACGGAGGCGTTGTCGCTGCGGGCAGGCTTGCAGCAAAGGACACCCAGAAATAAGTATCTGCGTGAAGCAGTTTTGCACTTGGTGTGGAAGTCAAGTCTTGGAGGAAGAGGACCGTGGTAAAGCGCATGACCCGAAGGATCCGCTATTCTAAGTACGTGTATGCATGCCGCATCGTTGGTGACATGAAACTTGTTCATCGTTCATACCCATGATTAGAGCGAGGTTCTTGGAGACGTTCCACCTCGAGTCCTCACCAGTATACATGGCGCTTCCATATCTACGGACGGAGACTTTGACAATTTAGTGTGTACAAAATTTGACGGGAGTATTGACGCCCACTCACACCTGTCCCTCCCCTGTCGCAGCGTGCCTAACGCTAGCCATAAGGAATGCCGGAGGTGATCGGATCCTCTTGACAAGTACTGACGGTTGGATGGAGGCCTATCATTCTTCAGGTACACGCTCTTGTCCTGCCCTGATCCGAGCGGCTATTTCCGCAACTGGTCGCTCGTTCCTGATTATATTCTCAACGATCTCGCCCCAGCACCACATGCATACGATTCTCTCTGCATCCAATCCACAGCGACAAGACCACGTCTCTGGCCTCGGTGCCTCACTATGGACGCCTTTGATGAGTGACACCTCGTTGTCATAGCACTTCACACACTGCCAACGATCCAGAACGTGGCTGCGCATGGAGCAGTGACACTCCTTGAGGACCTCTTGATTCATGTTTGGGCTAAGCCAGGAAAGCTTTGGAAGTTCAGGCTTCAGGCCCTTGTAACCCTTCGGTGCTTCGTCAAAACAGCATTTGCAGAGTAAAAGCATCCGTTCCTCGGCCACGTTGCAAAGGACTTGTAGGACGGGTGACGGAAACCCAAACTGAGAGTTCCCAGACCACTTTGTAAGCGAATTGAGGCCAAGATCCACATCGAGCACATCGCTAATCTTTTCTGGTCTGCCAGGCTGATCGATCTCAAGGGGCATATCGAGAAAGCCTTGATCGTGGTACGGTCCTACAGCCGCATCTGATGCCCGATCTTGCCATTGAGGCAAATCAACATCCTCGGTGAAAAGGTGGTGAGGACTAAGGATGGCGCATTCCAAGGAATCCAGCAACACGAAACCTGAAAAGTTTGGGAGCTCTTCAGGATCGGCGGGTGTCTCGTAGATAGACTGGTAGACGCAATGTATGCGACACTCGTCACAAGTAGTGACTCTGCAGGTAACGCAGGGTCGTTCTGCGATGCTCCGACGGCTGGAGGTGGTGCGGCACTGCGCGAACTCGGTACACTGGTAGGCGTAGTAGAAGGTCGACTTGTGATGCATACGTTTCCGCATCGCAATGCCTGTACCGCAGCAGGACATCCTCCCGAGAAGATTGTCAAGGCTTTTAGGACGTGGAAACAAGGCACTGTATGTGGCTTTGCACGACAGTGCAAGGGCCAGTAGATCTTTTGGCTTCAGAGAGGATACCACGGACTCCAGAAGACCGTACTGGCGTAGCACCTGCAGGAGTGGACATGCTTTTGTTGCGTTAGGTTCCCCTGGCTTGAGTATAACCCGGGATATGTGAAGCATATCCATGTCAGAGTGAGTGCCTGTCGTGCCTGCTTTTGATGAGGCAAATGGCTGTGCTCTCTTTCGGGGGCTCAAAACAGCAAGGTCGTTTAGCAAACGTTTGCGCTTCATGGCCCTGGTCTCAGTCCTCGTGTTGTGTCACTCCGGGTCTCTGAGTGGACTTGTTGTGGATGCGATTACTAATGAGAGAAGCACCGTTTAGCAGTTGCTCACACAGGTCAGGGCTCACGTCGGTGGGCGCTTAGTGAAGGGCATAGTGTCTGAAGCGGTGAAAGTTTATCCTCAGACATGTCATCTGCGCACGTTGGCTCTAGACCGAGTAAATGATGGTGGAAAGGTTGACTCGTGTGAAAGACTCAAGGGCAAGTGCGTGATATACGCTTGGGTCCTGATGTGCAGGTGTAGTATAAGCCTCAGGAAGGAAGAACACCCTTGTGACGTACATTGTAGATTTCAAGGAATGTGTATAACCTAGAGCGCCCTTTATAGCGCTTGGCATGTGCTGCACTGAATATCTGGATCCATTTTGTGTATTCTATGCCCCGGCAGGGCTGACAGTGGTAGGGCTGAGAAAACTTTTCTGGTGAAGCTGCTTGGCGCGCAGCTCGAGGAACGGGCGTGTAACCAGACAGACTGGGGAAATTCCGCGGTTAGAGGCAAGAGCCCACACAACCAAGATGAAGCTGTGGAGTTTCAAAGCTATGGAGATACAAAGCGGAGCCTGCATGCAGCTTTGAAGTCGTTGTCATTAGCAGCACCGAAAATTATCCCGGAATGTTGCGGAAGTCGCTCCGACGAGGTCCGATGGCGCGCCCTGGGTGTTCCTGCCTCTCCCGCTCGTCCTGCACTTGCATCACCGACTTTATCACCGTTTGCATCAAGCGAGTTCAGATGCATCAACCTCACGTCCGTTCCTTGTATTGCTCGGTATCAATATGGCAATCAGCATACGTACTGGGAGCGGCATCGTAACATGGTTGCCGCAGAATGCAGAATATACGTGTAACTACGGTGGGATGAACAACGATCTTTACCCACACTTCCTCGATCGAAGATCCCAAGTCGCCTTTAATTGCCGTTTCTTCGCCTTCAGCTGCTCCGTCATGAATCCTGATGCCGTCAAGTCTCCATCTGCATCGTTACGCTCTACACGCTGCTTCCGAATGCTGTTCAGCGCGCTGTACTTGGCGCAGAGCATCGCCTCAAATTCCACGATCCGCGCCTGCACATCCTAGAGGGCTATGCTCAGCTACATGTCCGTAGCCTAGAGCGTCTTCTGAGATGCGTGTTGGCTTTCGGTGCACAATGCCTCGGCGTAGATTTTTAGCGTTGCCTTAATCTGTTCAAGATAGCCGGGCAGGACGGTCGCGTCATCAGTTGTGATGCTCGACGTTGAAGCTGTGAGAGTTGGTAGCATGTTGGCGCTGCCTCAAACACCTGGTAGCCAGCAAACGCAAGTACCTCACCACATTCCTTCCGGAGGACCGTGCTTCAAGCAGCAAGTAGAACGTGACTGGTGGGGAAGCTGAAAGCAATTTGGGATTTGACACGCGATTAGAGAAGAAAGTGAGAGAATCCGAAGAGCTTATCGAGTGATGGTCGCATTACGATGATGGAGCGGGCCTGTTTGTTGAGAGTTGATGTCTTTCGCTCCCCGTATCGATGCGCTTGATTGATTTCGCCAAAGCCATGCAGTGACACTCATCATTTATGCTACCATGTCAAATTCAGCAACAACTGTGGTTGCGGGTAGTCCTTCTCTCAACGCTCGTTGCCACGTGTTGGACAACAAGAAAGCCGCGGGTCGCAATTCATATGACAACATTCACATCACCACATCATCACAACACCGACCTGATCCTCTCACGCAGCGCTATGTTGCGCGTTGGTGCCGGTCTGGTGTGCGGGCTCACCGTCGACAACAGAACTACTGCCGCCGGAGAGTCAGATAAATGGACTCTAAATTGCAGTCAGAGCACCACTTGCAGCCTTACGAGCTAGCCCGCCACGTGTGGGCCCTACAGTCCTCCTCCTGGAATACCGCTCCACATGTTTCCCCTTTTCTCTTAAAACGCGTCCGCAGTGTTGTTGGGATGGTTACTGTTTTGTGGCTCTGCATAGCCTCTCCATTCCCAAAATCGAAGCTCAGGGCGGAGAACAAGCCAATTCGCCGTTGAACCGAGTAGCACGTACCCAAGACTCTTGTAGTCCTCCATCCGGGAGCTGAATGTAGTCTTGGAGGTTGGCGAGCTTCATAGCTGAGCCTGACAAGCCACGCCAAGCTGATGGCGCAATGGCAGCCGTTATCGCGCCCGACTTCGGAGTTACAGTACTTATACCTCGAGGATCCCCAGGTTTTGAGCGGGAACAACCTAATGTCGATCAAAATGCGGAGAGAGTGGTGTTCCGAAGAGTCTAAAGCGGGTCATCGGAGGATACAACACGCAATACAACACTCGTGGCTGGAAGTGAGTGCCAGTGAGCCGTCAAGCCAGGAGGAGCGACACAGGTCCGCGGGGCCCGGGAATTACGAACGGGGAGGAAGACAGAAACAGTTGAAATTAATGGAAGATGCTATCAGTAGAAGAGTGGGCATGTGGCCGAACCACTGTTCAAACTATGACTCTACGGGTAGAATGAGGAGCTGAACGATGATACCGACGAAAGGCACAGTAAAAGCAGAGGTCGCTCAGATGGAAGGGTATGTCGTTCTAGGCGGCCACCGTGCGCTCTTCGATCTTTTTTCGAAGATACACAGCATTCAGCCTCGGATACCGGTACTCCGTCCTGCCAGTCTGAGTATGAAGGCCCACCACACATACGACACACAGAAAGCCTCGTGTGTTGGTGCAATTCATGCGACCTGGCGAGCACTCACGCCGCTGATGGTGGACGTCGAGTTATTATTAGGATAACTACCCAATCCGATGACACTCCCCGGACGGTCAATACGATCTGCGGCCCACCCTTATCGCGAGGGTCAACGCACTGCTGGTCAACTGCGTCGATTCATGACCTGTCTTGCCGGTGCCAGATCCCTGGCAGCGTACCATGATGGCGATGCAGAACGATGCAGCTCGCAAATGGCTCTGGGAAAATCACTGTTTGATTATCTTCGAGCCAAAAATGAGCGAATTGTGGCCGCTCCTGCCGAAATGAATGCGACCAGACCGACGCAATCTCGCGCCCAGCCTCCTACATCAACAAAGCTTCGAGGTTCGTAAGGCCGCAAGCACGAAAGTATTGATTTGTAAGAGTCAGCACTCGCAACATCGATGCGGCTTTGCGCGGCACCAAGCACACGACTCCCTCGTTCCGTACCTGCCTATCTTGAGATAGCCGTTCGGCGTGCCACCAGGTTTTCCCTCTTGGCAGCCGGCGCCACCAATCTGGGCGCAACATCAGAATCTCGCACGTGATGTTATACTCGCCAAGCCGCCTAAAATGGTGGGTCTGAGATTGCGGGCGTGTTGGAGCGAATGACGATAGACGGCTGGCAAACACGCTTTTGGCGGCCCACCTGCTCCGAGCTTGTTTGTGAGCCCGCAGAGGTAAACCCCATCAGGAAGGAGACACCGTGAACTTGGTCACTCGTTGGTCGAGAAAGTCAAGGGTTCTGCAGAGGATTCGCTCGAATGATGTTATCGATGGCACCACCGGTAACGGCTGCATTTTGCTCGGCCAGGTACGACGCTGACCCCGCGGTCCTGATCGCCATCCCAGCGACACGGGAACTACAAATAAGCTTGCTGCCATTCACGGACCTTATCTCGGTATCGACCCTGATCAATTGAGCTCAGTAGAAGCAGGTCGTCACAATGGCAATGGCACGTTACCTCGGAATTGCATCAGCATTGGCTGCTACTGTCTCTGCCACATTCACACCAGAGTAGGCAGCAACAACTCCTCAGGGCTGCAGACGATACTGACAACCACAAAGAAAGCTGATCGGTGCACCCCGCCGTGGTGCGCTCAGCCCCAGCGGTGATGGATCGGTTGCTCTGCTGTCCATGTCGCAGTACAACTTCACGACATCCACGGGAAAGTCGAGCTGGGGACTTCTTGACTTGAAGTCTGGCGAGTTCAAGGACTCTGGTCTCAACATCAGCGAAGTCAACGAGGCCGCCTGGATCCCGGGCACTGACTCCGGTATCATTTACATAAATGGTACCAACAAGGATATTCCCGGCGGCGTCACACTATGGATAGGGGACATTAACGACCCTTCGAAGAGCACATTGGCTGCTTCTCTGGATGCTCCTTACAACGGCCTGAAGGTCGCTAAGACCGAGAGCGGAGATATCACTTTCTTGGTTAACTCTATGGCGTACCCCAATGGGACTGCTGTGAACCCTGAGACTGAGGTCACTCCCAAGCACACTGGTCGCTTCTACAAGGATGCGTACGTTCGCCACTGGGACACTTGGCTCACCAAGAATCGTTACAACGTCTTCGCTGGTACTCTCTCTGCAAACGGTAGCTATGGATTATCCCATCCCGGTCTCCGTAACCTGAACCACGGTGTCAATTGGACTACCACCAGGTCTGAGACTCCCGTTCAGCCCTTTGGTGACTCTAGTGACTACGCCATTTCGCCCGATGGCAAGCTCTACGCTTTCCTCAGCAAGGCTCCCCAGCTTAACAAGGCCAACTACACCGCCAGCTACATCTACCTCGGTGAGGTTGCTGGCTCTGCTGCGCCTGTCGCCTTCAACGGCCCCGACTCGGAGGCTTCCGCGGCTGGTCACCAGGGTGCTTCTGGTCTTCCTTCATTCTCGCCTGATAGCGGCAAGCTTGCTTACGTCCAACAAGATGAGGACTACTACGAGTCGGATAGGTGGCAGCTGTATACCGTCGATGTCGCTGCGTCCAACGGCAGCGTCGCTACCAGCAACTGGAAGGCGCTCTCATCCAGCTTCGATCGCTGGGTTCAGGGTCCCTTGACCTGGGCTCACGATGGCTCCTCCATCTACGCTACTGCCGAGGATTACGCTCGCGTCAAGATCTTCAACTTCCCTATCGATGCTGAAGCTAGCTATATCCCCGAGCCTCTTACCTCCAACACGTCAGTGTCCAGTTTCTCGCTCCTCAAGAACAACGACTTGCTCGTCACTTCCTCAGCTATCTGGACACCTGTCGAGTACTACACTATTTCCAACGGCACCAAGAACGTCATCTTTAGCGCCGCAGATCACGATGCCCAATTCGCTGATCTCAAGGCTGACCACGTATCTGAGATCTTCTTCAACGGATCTGACCCCAACTTGAAGCAGCAGCTGCAGGCCTGGGTCATCAAGCCCAGCAATTTCGTTGAGAACAAGACTTACCCTCTTGCATTTTACATCCACGGTGGACCTCAGGGTTCGTGGGGAAACTCCTGGTCCAACAGGTGGAACCCCGCTGTCTGGGCCGACCAAGGCTACATTGTCGTTTCGCCCAACCCAACTGGATCGACTGGGTTTGGCCAGTACCTCACCGACGCCATCCAGGGTCGATGGGGTGGATACCCATACTACGATCTGGTCAACGCCTGGGAGTACATCAACTCTGAGCTCACTTCTTTCGTTGATGTTGAGAATGGTATCGCTGCTGGTGCTTCTTACGGTGGTTACATGACCAACTGGATCCAGTCCAACGACCTCGGCAACAAGTTCAAGGCTCTCGTCACTCACGACGGCATTTCACAGACAAAGGCTGCTTGGTCATCTGAGGAACTGTGGTTCATCCGACATGACTACAACGGCACAGTCTGGGAGTCTGAGGCTTACGACAAGTGGAACCCCTTCGACCACGTTGCCAACTGGTCCACTCCCCAATTCGTCGTTCACAATACCCTCGACTACCGTCTTCCCGAGAGCGACGGTATTGGACTCTTCAACGTGCTTCAGAACATCGGTGTTCCTTCTCGCTTCCTCAACTTTCCCAACGAGAACCACTGGGTCCTCAAGCAGGAGAACAGCTTGTTCTGGCACAAGGAGATCTTCAACTGGATTAACCACTACTCCAAGGGTGAGCCTTTGGACGATGAGCCTGCCGGCAACTAAGTGTACGGCTGGGAAATCCATACGAAGTCATGACGCGCTATTTGCGCGCTCACGTAATGGCACTTGCCTTCAATGTATTTACGTATAGTGATAATGAGCTTGTCAGTCTATTGTTTGCATTTCAATGCAAGTGGATGTCAATGCTCACCACTTCTGAATTTCTGCCAATGAGAACTCACTCATCCTTCGTAGGTACCGATGCAGTGGGAGCATAGCACACGCCTGATCGAGATAAAGTTGCTGTCAAATGGCGTTGGACCTATGCCTCTTACGACACACCGAAGTTCGTGATTGTGACACTGCAGAATGCCTGTACATAGCTGACATGTGGTACATGCTCGGTCACTATCGAGTATAGAGGCACAAGGCACCCAAGTCGACCATGAAATACCAGATCCTACAACCTGGTGTCTGGAAGCACTCCGCGAGTCAATGTTACCCACAACCAACATCCCCACAGGCGCACATTCGGATCGCAACACCTCATAACCTGTGAGACGCGGGGCCCGCAGTGGAAATACATGCTTGGCGTAAGGCTGGGCAAATGTGAAAGGTACACAATAGCTGTGAATGGCCCCTCCGGCATGAGTCCATAGGCTGATCATGCACGCGAGCTTCCAGGAAAATCCTCATAGGATTCCGCCGATACTCTAGACGTGATCAGAGTCGAGGATTGCGATAAGCTGGTGAGCCTGTATGGTATTCGAGAATTCAACTCTCAGACATCCACTGGTCGCCACCTCCATCCAGTGCCAAGCGTTCCTGCTGATGTGCAACAAAGAGGAAGCAATACGAGCGGGAATTGGTCGTTGCCGCTCCGAGTAATGCGTCCATCGAATGGGGACGGATGTGTGTCAAACTGGCGGGCATCAGCGGCTCAAGGGCGGTAACTGCAGGCAATTTGAGCAGGCAGTTGCCATTCATGTCCAAAACTGTCTCTCACATCTCTCTAACCAGACGGTGCACTGCCTCGGTCGAAGACCCGAAAACGTGAGGAGATAAGCATGGGCGTGTAAGCGCGCTGTGTGTTCGAGAGGAGAGTTGCAGGCTAGCTATATCTGGGTCGCCGAAACTGCCGCGGTTGTAGACCTGCCTGTAAGAGTTAGAGTGGCCAAGATCCACGCCGTTCAGGAATGGAGGCTTCCGTGGAGCGTGAACGTGCTTGGGGTGCTTCAATGGTGGAGTGTTGCAGACGCCAAGGGAAGCCGCTCGGCGCCCAGTCGGAGCGCCATCCAGGACTCGAGAGGCGGGAATTGCAGGCGGACTCCTCGCGTACACGACAACACGGCAGAGGTCTGCATGCAGCGACTCCTAGTGCAGCGGACTCGAAGAAACCCATCAGTAGAAAGACTGACAGACTGACAACACCTGCGGCAGGCGTGGTCCCACAAACAATATCGACCGATGATGCCATGCCATTCGTCGCGATAAGCCTGCGCAGCAGTGAATGGCTGGCACCCTGGTGATCGTGCTGCACCGCCAAGTTTACCAAGCAGTGAAGCAATGTCGCCAGCTGAGCCGTAATACTTGCCTGGTCTTAGCATTGGCTAAGTGGCTGTCGCGCTCGATAACGCTGTTCGCGCGAAGTGGTGCTGTCCGTCGCTCACGATCAACAGCTAGCGTGACTGTAACGTCGCGCTGGAACTCACCTGCTGGATGCAGACGAGAGGCCAAGACGCGTTTTGCCTTGCTGTCTACCGCTGCGAGCAAGGCGGGGAGTCAAGTATTAATTGGAGGGCCTCCGCTCACATGGTTTGGGTTCAGCAGCAGCTCGTCCCATCACCCAGCTTGCCCCGGCCAATTACACTCTTTGAGTGAAAGCTACAAGAGTGAACTTCTCAAGTGTTACATCAACACTTGAAAAACACCTCCCATCATGGCTGCCTCCGCAGGTCCCAACCAGGTCGACATGGCCTTCAGCCACGAGCCCAAGGTCGCCACACCTCTTTACGAGGTTGGCGAGAAGCAAGCCCTTGCTGGTGAGAAGCGCCATTCGTCTTCTGCACTCAGCCAAGACATCAACGCTGCTCCGGTCGAGTTCGAGGCCGACTTAGTTGGAGAGGAGCCCACCGATGAGGACCTGAAGACACTCCGCCGTGTCTCTGGCAAGATTCCGTGGCAGATCTTCACTATTGCGTTCGTCGAGCTTTGCGAGCGTTTCGGTTACTATGGATGCCAGGTGCTCTGTAAGTTTCAGTTCGGTCGTACAAGAGAGTCGCCACTGACTAAGCACAGACACCAACTTCGTTCAGCAAGACCTGCCCATCATCGAGGGTGTTGTTCAGACCACTGGTAAGGACCCGCGTCCTGAAGGTCAGCCTGGTGGTCTCGGCATGGGCCAGCGTGCATCCTTCGGTATCGGCACTTTCAACTCTTTCTGGGCCTACACTACACCCATTATCGGTGCCATCATTGCCGATGAGTATCTTGGTCGCTTCAATACCATCTTCATCGCCATCGCCTTCTCCATCATCGGTCACATCCTGCTCATCATCTCCGCTATCCCCAGCGTTCTCACGAGCGGCAACGCCATCGCTCCGTTCATTCTCGGTGTGATCGTTCTTGGGTTTGGTACCGGGGCTTTCAAGGCCAATATCTCGCCCCTCATTGCCGAGCAGTACAAGCAGACCAAGCCTCGTGTTATCATTGATGAGAAGACCGGCGAGCGTGTCATCTCTGATCCCAACATCACCCTCTCCCGTATCTTCCTGTACTTCTATATGTTCATCAACATCGGTTCCCTTACTGGTCAGATTTCCATGGTCTACGTCGAGAAGTACGTTGGTTTCTGGTGCGCGTGGCTTCTTCCTACCATCATGTTCTGCGGCTGCCCCATCGTCCTCTGGGTCTGCCGTAACAAGTACCACAGGAGCCCCCCTACCGGTTCCGTTCTCATCCGCGCCTTTAAGCTCCTCGGTCTCGCTACCAAGGGTAAGTGGTCCATCAACCCTGTCACCACCCGCAAGAACTTCAAGGGTGAGCGTTTTTGGGAGGATGTCAAGCCTAGCCACCTCGGCGCGAACAAGCCCAACTGGATGCAGTTCGATGACGCCTGGGTCGACCAGGTTGCTCGTGGTCTCCGTGCTTGTTCTTGCTTCACCTGGATTCCTCTGTACTGGATGTCCTACAATCAGATGAACAACAACCTGACCTCTCAGGCCGCGACCATGACCCGTAACGGTGTACCCAACGACATCATCACCAACCTCAACCCAATTTCGCTCGTCATCTTTATCCCCATTGTCGACAAATTCCTCTACCCTGCGCTGCGAAAGGCCGGCATCCGCTTCACACCCATCAAGCGCATCGCTTTCGGTTTCATGCTCGCCTCGCTCGCTATGGTTTCCGCCACAGTGATCCAGTACTACATCTACAAGACCGGTCCCTGCGGCAACGAGATGAACTCTTGCGATGAGCCCTCACCTATTAACGTCTGGACTCAAGCTGTACCTTACGTACTTGTCGGTTTCTCCGAGATCTTCACTTCCATCACCGGTCTTGAATTCGCCTTCACCAAGGCACCCAAGAATATGCGCTCCCTTGTCACGTCGTACTGGCACTTCATGTCTGCGTTCTCCAACGCCATTGGTCAGGCGCTTGTGTCGTTGTCCGAGGACCCGCTGCTCGTGTGGAATTACGGTGTTGTTGCCGTGCTGGCGTTCCTCGGTGGTATCCTGTTCTGGATCCACCAAAGGCCGACGGATAAGAACGAGGATGTCCTTAACATGTTGCCTGATTCCAACTACATTGGCAAGGACAAGAGGCACAGTGTGGAGAACCCTGACCGCGCCGCTTAATCGCCGGAGGGGCTGCAGTACGATCGTGGTAATCATAGGAAGGATGTGTAATGATGTAAACGTGTCATGCTGGGTTGGGAGTCTTCTTCAATGATACCACTTTGTCTTGGTAGCTAGTTGAGACAATGCATAAACAAAGCTCTCGCTCTACTTCACTAATTCTTACCTCCTGCCTCGTTATGCCTGTTTAATCTAAAGTCGCCGCAATTGCCTGCCTCACTTGCAGACGTATGCATCATTGCTATGTGGCTCTTATGGCAACAGAATTTGTTGGCCTGACTTGGGCTTTCGGGCGGACAACGACTAAAGCCAAGCTGGACAGAGAAATGGAGATATTCTATGGAAGAACAGAAGGTCCCGGGAGGCAACGGGAGGATCTGGAGAACTGAGGGAAGGCTTTGACAGGGATGGCCGGGTTGGAGCATGAGAAGCTGCAATCACGATTTTTGCCTTCCGTCTAAAATCAACATGGAATTAGACTACCTAAAGACAATCAGGGTCCCGTCCCTCGGCTGCCTCGAGTTCTTCACCTTTTCCTACACATCGCTTTGCCGCCTCCCCGATAATCTTGTTCGACGCCATGAAAGCTTCCGTACCCCACAATTGCAACAGCCTCGCTCTCACGGCTTCCAGTTCGTCTGCCTTCAGTATAAGCTTGCTGATCATCCTGCCCAGCGTAACCAGTCCTTGTCCCACTTCCTCGCACGTCATAATTGTCTCGAAAATCCTACCCGGCTTTTCGTACTCGTACTGAACTAGCATCTCAGCACACTCGAGGAGGTCTTCAAGTTCCTTCGCTACATCGGTATTGAGGGATTTAGTAGACTGAATAAGCGATTGCAGCGAGGCACGCTCACTAGTGGTGACGTAGGAAATGACAGCGCGCAAGGTTGCGACGAGCGCGGAGGTTTCTTTGAGTTGGGTGTCGTAGCGGAGGAGGCTGGAGGTGTACGGGGTATCAACGGGATCAGTGCTTGGCTGTGACTGATGTGCGTTGTTCTGGTCTGTGTAGAGAGCGAACATCTTCGCAATGGCTTTACGCGTATCGAGTCGGGCGAGATTAGTTGAACAGCGAGTGATGTCGGTGGCTATGAATACACTTTGACTCTAAGGTGCTTTCATATGGACAAACAACGGTGTTTGTGAGTGAAAGATGGGGGCCCTAGGTTTGTGCAATCAACCACATGAGCCAAATGTCGCGAATTCCTCGAGATCAGATGGCGTGAAATATCAACAACTGTGGCGTATTTACAGTCATCGCGTGTATGACAATGTCCTGCGCGACAGAGCGATGAATTGATAGATGCCGTTTCCCAGGAGCATAGAGTCATGATACTGGCAGGTCATGCTGGGCTCAACAGCCCAAATATGTACAAAGAAGTCTCGTGTGAAGCATGAACAAGTCGCCAAGGGGTATCGTGCGCGCTGAACGCTCTCGTCAAAAAAAGGCCCAACACAAATGGCAGGGAACAGAAACAGCCGAGCCTGTCGACTAGTTGGACGACATCTCTGAGTTGTCCGAAGACACCGAACCTTCAGCGAACTTATTCATGACAACCTTCTCGATGTCCTTGAGTAAACTCGTCTTCAGATCGTTCAGTTCTTTTCTTGCAGCGGCAGCGTCTCTCTCTGCACGCTCGACCCGTACTTTCGAGAGATGGAGGTCAATGTCCCGACTGTGTACGAGCGCTTCTGCGAGCCTCATCCTCTCTTTCGTAGCGGCTAGCTTCGTCTTGATCTGTGCGCACTCCTGTTGTAAGCCGCTGTACGCATGCTTGAGCATGGTTTCGTCGGCAAGTACCTCGTCCGTCGGGGACAGAACGCCTTCTGACAAATTTGACGGCTGCAAGTCGTCAACTTTGGTCATTTCTAGGGTAGTAAAGGCATGAAGGCTACCTTTCGAACATGGCTAGGTCGTCGTCTCGTGGTAGGAAAGAACTCGACCGCTGGTGATGGCACGCGTTCTGACACTTGTGATGTCTGGATAAATGTGTCAGTGGGTTTTCGTTCAACGGGTGACGTTGTCAAGTACCTTTCGCGAATGGTCGATACGCTTGGGTTTAGCTGAATGACGTCAGCAGATGCAATAGCGGAAGGGCGGCCCTTGCACTCACGGGTTCCCGTTGGTGTGTACTCTTCTCTCTCGCGCTTGATCTTGGTAGGCAGCTCAAATGTGTTGTCCTTATCGCTCTCTCGGCGAGCAGTGCCAGGCCTTGAGACTGGTGATGGTCGATCGCCGTCATTGCCGATCCAGTCACAGGCCTCTCTGAAGTTCTTGGCGAACCATCTGGAATCATTCTTGTGCCTCACAAGCTCATTGACAAGTTCTGAAGCCAAGAAGTAGTACAGAATGACAGCTGAAACTCGATGGATAGCTTTCGATCCACCAGTATCGTCGCCGACCTTGCTGAAAGGCGAGTAGAATGCCACGTTGCTTGTAGCGCGAACAGGATGCAGCTCTGGCTTGCCATCGACGGTCTCATCACTCAGGCGGTAGAACGTGATCTCTGTATCGTGTTCATGAACGTGTGCGACGACTTTGGAGTCCTCAACATCGTCGCCTGGAGCGTAGTCACCGATCACAAGCAGCTTCTTGTGCGTCGAGCGACCGAGTGACCTCTGGATCACGCGATTGAAGGATGTGTCGTCAATTTCAATGTATGAGACCCTAGAGGCTCGTGGCAATGCCTTAAAGGCCTCTGGAAACTCATAGCGGGCCCATGCCTGGACGTTGGCGAGGGTCAGAGGGGTCTTTTGTTCGTTGAAGTCGGCCATCGTGACTAGGGCGCTGGGAGCTCAATAGGGCAGGCGATTGCCGTCACTCAATGAGAATCCTCCGGATTCAAGGCATCAAGGCGCAAATCAATCAGTGCGCCGTGGCGGGTGCCAGCACGCGTGCAACGCGTTGTAACGTGTCGAGGTGAATGGATGAAGGAAAGGCGGTGGCTGCCGAAGATTGGCGTCGCTTAGCCAGCGGGCGCGGCGGGGTAGGTGGAGACGCCAAAATTGGAAGGTGGAAGCCAAAATCGGCCAGGTACGTGGTAACTCTATGCAGCGGGGGAAGAGGTCAGGATGTGTTCTGGACAGGCGTTGCCTCGGCTTATGAAGAGTTTGAAAAGATTTTGGTTGGATGACGGCGTTGCTAGAAAGTCGGCGGAAACAAGGCGGTCTGCAAAGCCAAAATCGGCCACTCGCTCGCAATACCTTCTAATGATTGAGTGCCCTGGCACATGGGATCTGGAGAAGTCATCTGCCGCAAACGGGTGGCAGACTGCTCTGATAGCAACATTGGATGGTCATCCTTCGAATGATTGACCTCATAGTTCAGTCTTGGTGGGCAAAGCAGCGATGCGGTGGCCTATATCAATATGCAGCGACTCTGTGTGATCCTGAGGAAGAGGAGGATGACAGATAGGAGAAGAACGCAGTCTTGAAAGCATGAGGTGTTCCGTTCGGCGTTACTGATGACGTCCATGCCTCCTTTGGTCTATCATTTTGGTACGCTAGCCGTTCCCGGTCTAGAGTCTAGCCTGACTGCCGACCCAAGATGGAACCGCTGGACAGGACCTCGAGCCCTCTCACTTCATCTCACCTCACCTCGCCCTTCATCAAGTCGAGATACCTTTGGCCGACCATGGTCACAGATTTTCAGCCACGGCGACACTGTGCGAGTGCTGTGAGGATTGAGAGTATATGGCCTGATGGATTGATCATAGCAGTGGAGCGTTTGTCCCTCGTCACCACCTCTCAGTGTGCGAACCACATCCACATCTCAGATCACTCTTCGACTGTCTATAGCTCCTCAACCTGGAGCTCCTCCTTCGCCAAGTCACACTTCACTCTGCATTACCTTCAGAGCCGTACACAATGTCCAATTATCACAGGTCAACCTCAGCGTTTGAAGTTAACATCGGCTGAACGAAGCACGCTCTGACACATTGCTCGCACACCGACAACGAGTTCATCGAATACCTACGCTGCCTGAACAACACAACTCAGTCGATTACTACGTGACGGGCTTCTCTTGAGCTACGATTGAAGCCGAAGTGTTAGCAAACACGACATAGCCACCGCCTTTTCGTTTGATGTTTCGTATTCCTGTCGCTATGTGCAAACTTTGCGTCCTCACTAACGGCCTTCAGTAGCGCTGCTTCGCTGTGTCGTCACTACAGTGCAGGGCTGGGTGTCTCGAGACTGAAAAGCTGTGGAGCGCTCTTGAAGGATTGTTGAAACTGCACGCCGTGCGCCATGGTCACATCCGTGCAGCATGCATGCAGCTGGGCTGTCACTGTGGCCGTCGACGATCCAGAACACCGACAACGACACGCCATATCGCAGAACGGAGAACATCACGGTGTCAACGTCGCTGCGTGCAGCTCTCTTGGTCTGGGAGTTCAGTCAGAGATTGCGTGGGTAAGCTGAAACTGATTGCACGCGAGAGCTGGGCTTTTTGGGCGATGCAATCTGCGACGAATCATTCCGTGGAGCGTGCCCAGCCCGCTGCATTCCCGCAACACGCCAAAAACCTGGGTTCCCTTGCTCGTTCGTCGTTGTCTAACCACAATGAGGCACAACGGATGGCTGTGCGCAAGCCGTAGCGCGAAGCAATTTGAACGGCTGTCAGCCGGTAAAATATGGTTCCATCGCTGCCCCCGATGCGCGGGTTGTTTTCGCAGCCCGCTCCACAGGCTTAAGCCTACTTTGACAGTGCGAGATGACCACACTGTGCGTGTGGGATTTACAACAGTATTCCAAGGCGCCACAAGCTTGCGGTGTGATACTGCGACACGGCTAGTCTTCCCGTGCGAAACGCTGTTAACAGCTACGAGGGCCGTTTAGCTGACCTCTCACTTTGTGTAACCATATTGCTTATTGCTGTTTACTGCGTCGCCGGCCGTCGCAACCCCACTTGCCCTCGTGGATGCTGTTTCAGACTTTGCTCATCCCAACGCGCTACTTGTACATCAATCGAAAGTTGAGACCTTGCTCTGTCGCGCCAGATGCCTCGCTCAAGCACAGTTGCCGCCAGATGTGCAGCGCTAAACACATCAATAGCTCAGGCAAGCACCTCTGTAGATCTGCAATTGTGCACTCGCTGACTCGGGTGTGTGCAGGTCATTCCGGTTATCAGCAGCTTTGCGAGACAGGTTCGCGAAGCCAGGACTGACCTCAACGCTATAAACAATGATCTACAAATCATTAGAACTGGTCTCGGTGTTGCGCAAGATGACTTCTCGACTTTCGGTTCCAAGCTACCAACCGCGCTTGTCGACGCATTCACACAAGTCCTAGACTCTAGTGATGACACGAGCGAGCGTTTGCACAAGACCTTTCTGAAGTTGTCATGCAGCACCTGCCCAAAGGAAGATTGGCAGACACTCAAAGAGAGCGCTCTCGCTATCCTATGTCAGGACCTTGAAGCTTCAAGGATCGTGCTTGACCTCGCTGTTGACTATCTTTCATTGTAAGTCAGCACGTGATTTCGTCCCAAAACAGCGTTCGACTGACCGTGCCAGATTTGGTCGTACTGACACAACTGACTTGCTCGACTCACTCATGGAAAGCTATGTCAGTGGGCTCACAGAGTCGACCAACGAACTCTTGAAACGTACTGATATGGAAGAGATCCATGTCAACCAACTCGCCAGGGAAAGGCTCAAGTCGTTACTTCAGGCAGTCCGTCTACTTCGATTATGCATCACAGCTCTGGTCAAAGAGGGAGCTTCGCCAATATCACGGGCTTCTGACCTCGAAAAAAAGACAACAACACCAAGACCTGATTCCCTGGAACCCGTGCTGGGCGAATTACGCCGCAGTGGCATTGACAGTGGGAGGAACGGTCCCTTGCAACAATCGGTAGCAACCAAGTCCTCGTCCAAGCCTTCAGACAAAGGCATTGGGGCTTGGCTTGCAGATGTCCCTTGCCACCAAGACGCTCAGCCGTTGACGCACTCGTTGATCATCAGAGTCACAAATGACAGGTCACATTTCAGAGCGACATCCCATGGCTCACATGGCAAACTGGCCGCCTCCAGTGGTACGTTCTACACCGAAGACGGTCTATCATCAAGCCGCACTCTGGTCGCACCTGAGTCAAGAGAGTCACGAATCAGGAAATCACACAGCTGGTGCTCAGAAACATCTACTCGGCTTGACGTGAAGATGAAGGCAAGAGCGAAGACGAGACTGGCTGAAGAGTACTCACCTACGACTTTGTCAAGCTCAGACGTTTCCATTTTCCACAAAAGAATCACATCAGACAAGATCGCTGTAGCGAAGGGCAACAGGAAATATCTTGATATTGACTCACGTATCGGTGTAGATCGGATTCTTGCAAACATACCCTCGGGTGCAACCTCCGCCGAGGTCGAGCGCGTTCTCTGGGAGGGCGCAAACCCCATGGTCACCCACCCTGAATTTGGCTACTTCTTCATCCGCGCCGCACATGACATGTCCTCCGATATCTTGCGCGTTCTGATAGAGTATGGCGCCGACATCACCCGCACATCGTCCACACATTTCTACTCTGCGATGCACGCCGCAGTTCTTGGTGGGCAGCTAGAGATTGTGAAGAGCCTCACATCCCTTGGTCATTCGATCGACGCCACCAATAATCTAGGTGAAACGCCACTCCACCTTGCTGCACGCATGCGCGGCCCCACTACACGTGAGATCGCGAAGTTCCTTGCAGACAAAGGGGCCGATATCAACCATGAGGCGAACGATGGGCATACGCCACTGAAGATGGCGCTCACAGCAAAGCACTTGACAGGTATCGAAAGAAGTTTGATGATCGAGTTATTGTTGAGCTATGGTGCAGAGGGCGAATTGAACCAAGGCCTGGAGGGGCGCAGGAGCAACTCCAAGGGACTGAAGATCATGGGCATCACTTGACTCTACAGGTTTATGTCAGACATTGCATTTACACGTGTATTTGCGTTTCGGGAAAACGGATAGACTCTTTTGTATAATATCTTTGGTATTGGGGGATCTAGATGCTCGCCTGGCTGCGAGGATTGGAGTCCGTTTACACCTTTCCATCTCCGTCCGTGCTTTCAGCGGTCTTCATCTATTCACCATTGCCCAGAAGCGAGAGCAAGCCTAACTCCCACAATTCAGTACTCACTCTGCCGTTCAGTACCCGTCGCACTTCCGCCCGGGTAAGAACGGCGTTTTCAGCTTTAGCCCGGAGCAGTCTTCACTGTCGGGACCAGAAGAAGAGTCCGCCAGAGGGCTGTCACGGCAACGACCGTAGCTGTAGTTGACCGCGCGATGTAGCACATGATTTTAGTCTTGTTGGTGGTGTGGTGTCTATAGTATGGCTCTATTTGGGCCTTGTAAATCTTGTTCGTGAGATGTGTGCTTGTGAATGCATAGCTGACAGCTCTCCGTATACACCATGAAAGAAGTGGCCGATGCTGATATCACAGCAAGCCTTTGATAAGAAACGTTCGCACTCCTCATCTATCACTTTCTCCATCAATGCGAGAGCCGTATCAATGCAAGTCACATTAATCACCACCCTCTTCCACAGGCAGTGAACAAAGCAAGCAAGCTGCGTCCAGCAGAACAACTCGAGCTCTCAATAAGCAAATCACGAATTTGTAACGAACGCAGCAATGTGTACTCAAATCTGGACCGTGTATATGTGCATACATGCAAATGTCACCGGACCAACGGTCAGCAAGCATATGAAGCGTTGTAGGGCTAGCGCCTTGTTGCTCGGGTGGTAACATGAGGACGCCAGTTCGCAGGAAGTGTGCGACATGCACTTCCGGCTCCCTACAATATCAATGTGCGCCACACTATTCAGTCCCACCTCATAAGAATACTGCGAAAGCAGAGGAGGGAGAGGAAGAACAGATCGAGGAGTAGAAAGAACAGCTTGAGAAGGAAGCTAGCTAGAACTAAATCGAAATACTCCCAATATACAGACGATCTCTATCGCTGATTCATGGACAGAAACTCTGGGGCACGATGCCAGTGATGAATTTGAGGTGATCAGAAGCGTGCAGCGAGTGCCTTACTAGTGAACCTACTGCTTCCGTCATCGGGGCAGCGTTGCCCATGTCCGTGCGCGTAATGCGCGGATTCGCGTACCGGTACCGGTACCATGTCCGTGCACCCAATACACGGAGTCAACCAATGCACGTGGTGGTTGGGTTATTACGCGTTGAAGTTTGGTGTAGATGTTGTGCTCCGGGCGTTGTGCGCACGGACACGGTACCGGTGCGCGCACGGATACGGTAGCCGAGGCACTAGCTCATCGTGGGCTATTCACCCAATCGTCGGCCATCTCCGCCGGCACGTATACATCTTGCCCTGCTCTCTCATTCTCTCTTCATCGAACGCCAAATCGCTTCCCACCATGCGCCAGCAATCGCAAGAGATATACAGTATGTGGGTGGAGGGCAAGGAAGTAGCGGGCAACGCGGAACAGTCAGTCAGCTAGCCCCTCACTTAGTACAATCCCACATTCTGACTCTGTCTTAGAATTGCGATTAAGGATCCTGCAACCGGAGAAATCATCGCTAGTTGCCATGCTGCGTCTACTAAGGATGTCGAAAATGCTGTGAAGATTGCGGAGAAAGCTTTCAGATCTGGCGTATGGTCAAAAGCTCCGCGCCATGTGCGGGCAGACATTCTAGAGAACATTGCTGAACTCCTCACAAAGCGCATGGCGTTCCTGATCGAACTTGAAGTACAACAGACTGGACGAGCAATCCGAGAGATGAATGCCCAGGTGCCGACTCTCGTAAAGTGGTTCAAGTACTACGCCTCGCTTATCAGGATCGAGGAGCGGTCCGTCCTACCGACAATTGGCAAGCTCCACAACTGGATCGACCGCAAACCTCTCGGTGTTGTTGCGCAGATCACGCCTTTCAATCACCCTATGCTCATTGCTGTTAAGAAGATTGCGCCCGCCTTGGCTGCTGGCAACTCGATCGTTCTGAAGCCAAGTGAGCTCACGCCACTTACCAGCATCGAGTTGGGAAAATTGTTCAAGGATGCAGGTCTACCGGATGGTGTTTTCAACGTACTTCCTGGCGATGGTATGACCACTGGCAAGGCGCTTGTTGAACATCCACTCATCAAGAAGGTCGATGTCACCGGCGGAACTCCTGCTGGTAGAGCCATTGGTGCGATTGCGGGTCGAAACCTTGCTGCTTACACCGCTGAGCTGGGTGGCAAAGCCCCTTTGTTGATCTTCGAGCAAGCGCACCTTGACCTCGCTGTAAATGGCGTTGTGTTTGCAAGTTTCATCGCAAGCGGTCAGACCTGTGTAGCAGCAACACGCATTATCGTGCAGAACAGCATCCTCGATCAAATGGTGGAAAAGTTGAAGAGCAAAGTGCAGAGTATCGAGAAAAGAATGGGATCACCGAAGAACGTGCACTCAATGATGGGACCTCTGATCTCTGCAAAGCAGCTGGTCAATGTTACTACCCTAGTTGATGATGCTGTGAAAGCTGGTGTCGATGTGGTCACAGGCGGTCAGAGGATGATAGGAACTTCTTCACTTGACAGCACCGACTTTTCTAAGGGCTACTTCTTCCCGCCTACCATATTGAAAGATAGCGCAACGCAGAAGATCGTCGATACAAGAATCTGGAAAGAGGAAGCATTTGGACCCGTCATCGTAATTGTTGGCTTTGACAAAGAAGAGGAAGCTCTTGAGCTTGCTAACGACAGCGAGTTCGGCCTTGGCGCTGCGGTCTGGACGCAGGATCTGTCACAAGCCTTCAGAGTCACCGAAGGTATCGAAAGCGGCATCTGCTGGGTCAACACACATCACCGCAACGATCCTAGTAGTCCGTGGGGTGGCATCAAGAGCTCGGGTGTGGGAAGTGAGAATGGCATCGATGCATATCATGCATACACCTCGGCGAAATCTACCATCGTCAACTACGCCACAGCAGAAGAAGGGTTGATAAGCGACGACTGGTTCAGAGAGGGTACTGGTGAAGTCCGGTATGGTTGAGCTGCCATAGTGCTGCACAAGATAAAATGTGATACGGTGCCGAAAGAGATTGAGTCCATCGTCTCCCGATTTGCAAGGTCAAGTAGTGTGTCAATGTCTTAGGTTCCAAATTCGTGAACTTGCAACACGCAAAGTTGTGCTATGCACCCCTCTGTACTAAAGAATAGCACGAAGGAGAAGTTAGTAACATTGCTAGAGAACCGTAACAGCAAATATGATATGTTTAAGCTTCAGCAGGAAGGTAAATAACGTATTCCACAGGCGAGCGCCGCACCCCACCAAACTTGCGCACCTCTCTCATCTCAACGTACAATGGCTTAACGCAGCGCTACTCTATTGGCTTCAAATGAAGCAGACGTTCAGCTTGCTATCTCCTCCATCAGTTCCCATCAAATACAGAGCAATTACAGGGCTGCTACTATCTTTAGCCTGTCTGAACTAACAATCCGCTGCCAACGCGCTAGTATACCTACCTAATGTAATTGCCAGCCTAACTTAAAGAAGCTTACTAAGCTAGAGGAGTAGGTGATTATCTACTATATATTGGATCTAGAGTAACGTGGATTTGCGCCTACGTACGCAGCTGTACGTGATATGGCTGATAAGCTGCTCGCTGCGCGCGGCAGAGGACGCATAGGAGTTAACTAGCTATCTACCTTTGTCAAGCGTACAGACAGTCTCACAACGCGTTTTAATCAAGCGTACAATAGACAGAGAGCTCTATGCAAGGATCTAGCCCTAATTAGTTAGTAGTTTAAGCTTATAGAGCAGACAAAGGCTAGGTACAGCATCTATAATAATAATATCTACAACTTTAACAAGGCAGGCTTTATAATAGGCAAGATCACAACTTAGCTTATTGTAATAGGGTTAGAGAGGAGAGATTAGCTAAAGGCTATTTAGCTAGGCAATTACAAGTAGGTAATATTAATTACTGCAATTAATGCTGCTAGCTAGTTAGTACTACTACTGTTCCTTATCTTTACTAGCTAGTATTATCTATCTACCTAGTATAAGGAAGTAGAGACCCTACATAACTAGGTAATTATAGTTAGTAAAAATAGCTAGACAAATAATAAGCTAGGAGTAGAGTAGCTAAAGCACTTTAATACTTATATAAAGACTTATGTTATTAGTGTATATTACCTACTTATCCTTAATAGCTATAAGAGCTACTACTCTCTTAAGTTTTAAGAGCTCTATAAGAAGAATAATATCTACACACTCTACATACTGCCTTACTTATCTTATCTACTTTAGCCTCTTAATATTAGCTACTTCTTGCTATTAAAGCGTGTGTACAGCTGTAAGGTTAAGAGCCTAATCTACTACTATATTAACTATATTACTAAGCTTAAGTTTCTGCTAGTATTTAAGGCAGCCTCTACACAATTATTTATGCTAGATAATATCTGCTTAGTATTTAGAGGCGTAGGCCTTGTTCCTCTCTAGGCAGACGTTGTTCTATTAAAGCTTAATGTGCAGCTGTCTACGCCTACTATAGTTGCTCTGCTAGAGGCTCTCTAGGAGGCTTGTACACTAAGCAACATATATAAGCTTAAGGCTTAATTAATATTAATATGTAATTACATACACTAGCATAAGAGCTTATTACCTACCTTAATTATTAAAGTAATTAACTAGCTTAAGAAGGGCGCTAAGATTATAATACTCTTAGCTAAGCTAATGCATAATTAGATTACTAACCTTAAAAGAGCTAATAAGGCAGCGTTAGCACGCAAACAGCGTAAGAAAAAGCGTATATAGCAGAGTGGGGTCTTAACAAAGGGAGCTGGAGAGAATCTACTTGCTTAACGTAAGGCTGACTAGCAGATTGCTTGTGAGCAGCGTCAAGGAGGAGATCAATTAGGCCTTAGCCGCCAGGCTCTAGCGCGCTGCAGGAGGTGCAGAGATACTGACTATAACTTATGTACGTGCAAAGTAGATACTTAAGATACTGCTTTATCTACTATATTAATATATATATAACGTAGATTATCACCGAGCCGGCCATATCACTAAACTGGCCACTTTCTCTTAGCACAACCACCTTTTACCCTAACATAACATGCCTTAATAATAACAGCTTTAGAATACTACTAGAGAAGGTAGAGTTATCCTTGCTATCTAGGCCTTCTTTGCTAGCTAATTTCGCAGTATCTGCAGCGCTGCTAGAGTATTAAACATACCTTACTAGCAGGTCTCTAATTACCTTTGCAATATTATGTTTTAACTAGACATACGCGCTAATTGCTAGAAACTTACTATACTAGAGGAGCAGACAATTATCTAGTATATGCTTAACCTTAATTTGCAAGGATTTGCGCCCTAGCTATATAAGGTGGCAGATATAGCTAATAAGATACTTAGTGTGTGTGGTAAAGAGCCTGTTACTAAACTATAGGCTAGCAGGCTTGTAACGCGTTTAGAAAAGCTTAAAATAGCCTTTAATTAAGCTAAGGATAGATAGAGGATACTATAGGAAGATCCTAAGATAATTAGCACGTAGTTTAAGCTAGTAGAGGATACTTAAGTTAAGTATAACGTGCTTCACAAGCGAGCGGCGCACCCAAGCGAGCGGCGCACTCTCCCCACCAAAACGCTTGCGCAGCGACAACACGTAATGCCTCAACAACACCAAACCCAGAGACTCTTTACTGAAGCTGACGTACAGCTTGCTATCTTAGATCTTTAAAAAGAGCAGATTAAGAGTATATAGCTTGCTAAGAAAGTCTATAAGGTCCCTTAAACTATAATACAACAATAACACAATAGAACATGCTCTTAACACAATTGTGAGCTAAAATTAAAACGCCTTACAAAGCTAGAAGAGGAGGCAATTATACAGCGTGTACTTGAAGAGAGTTTATATAGAATACTGCCCTTAAAGGTGCATGTACGAGATATAGCTAATAGACTGCTAAGAGAGCGTGGTGGGAAGCCTACAGGCAAGAACTAGGTTGATAACTTTATTAAGCGTACACTAGAGCTGCAAACGCGATGGAGCCGTCCATATGATCGCTAGCAAGCTGCCTGCAAGGACCTAGCGATTATCTAGCCATAGTTTAGCCTAGTTTAATCAACAAAGGCAAAGTATAGTATTATAGATAAGGACACCTAGAACTTTAATAAGTCTAGCTTTATAATAGGCAAGATATCCTCTTAGCTTATTATTATAGGCTTAGAGAAACCTAGGAAATAGAAGAAACTACAACCTAGCAATTACAAGTAGGTTACCCTAGTATAAGGTGTTGCTGTAATAGGGTATATAATCCTACCCTTCCTTATCTTTACAGGCAAGGTCCTTATCTCCTCCTAGTTTACTAGTCTACCTCACAACTAGGTTGTTATAGTCTCTCCTACTAGCTAGACTAATAACAATATTGCGCTAGCGTTGTAACGGTCTAGACTCTAGAGCTAAAGAAGAGCTAGAGCTAGCCGGTTACATTAGCTTAGCCGGCTTGGCTAAAGCTGGATATATATTATTTACGCAGTTAACTAGACGTCTAGTTAACTTGTGCATGCTTTTTAGCAAAAGTGGTTAGGAAGTAGATATCCTTTATTGGCCTTTGGCCAGACTACTACAAGCGTGGCTTAAGCATTTCGACGTCCATACAAAGGCGTCCTCTGCTGGGGCGTATAGGCTGCTCATTATTGACGGTCATGAGAGCCACTGCTCGATAGAATTCCAGGACTACTGCAAGGAGAACAAGATTATCACTCTCTACATGCCACCACACTCATCACACATCCTGCAGCCTCTTGACGTTGTCCCCTACTCGCTGTTAAAGCGCCACTATAGCAACAGGATCTTGCTCTTAGCACGCAGCTACATCTACTATATTAATAAAGAAACCTTCCTCCTAGCCTTTAAAGTAGCTTTTAAGAAGACGTTTACACTAGAGAACATTTGCACAGTGGCCAGAGCTTGTTCAGCCAGGTGATCGCGAGTGGGTTACTGTTCTCCAGAGCATCTGCGCCGCTAGGTATGCAACCCTGCCTTTCATTATCTACAAAGGACGCGTCCACATCTCTACCTAGTATAAGGAGACAGATATACCCTACAATTAGAAGCTCTTAGTCTCTAAGAATAGTTAGATAAATAATATACTTAGCCTTTAGTAGTTAAAGTACTTTAACACGTATATAAAGATGTATTAGGAAGGAGTGTACAGGTTGCTTATCTTAGATAGCTATAAGAGCTATCTTAACTAGGAGTTTAAAGACTATTACCTAGAGAACTAAATCCTTACTCTCTATATACTACCTTACTTATTATACATCCTCTAGCTACTTAATATAGTCTATTTCTTACTATTAAAGTGTAAGTACTCCTAATATATTTAAGACTTAGCATACTAACACATCTTCTATATAAATAAGGAAGCCTTCCTACTAGCCTTTAAGGATATATTCCTTAATATATTTACAAAGGTTAACTACTAAAAGGCCTTTAAGGTATTAGGGCTTGTTCCTACTAATATATAGGTAGTGTTAGAGTGCCTTAAAGTGTAGCTGCATACCCTACTAGTAGTACCTCTACCTAAAACACTATAGCAATCTAAGACGCTAAGTAATACACACAAGTTTAGGTCTTAATCTAAGCTTATAAGTAACTCCTTCTAATAATTACTAAGTGTAGCATAAGAGGGGTTCTTAAAGCTTATAAAAGGAGCTAAAGAGATACTGCATAAAAACATCCTTATTAAGGCCTGTGTGCGAGAGCTTAAAGAGTAATTAGTAGTAATAACTAAGAGAAAATTGCGTAAGAGAAAGCAGATTTAGCATAGTGGCACACTTGAGTATGGCCTAGCAGCATTGCAGGTAGCTGCTGAGGCGTGTGTAGCAGCTTAGCCATCTAAGAAGACTTAGGGTGGAGGTAGTTAACTAGGAGCTTAGTCAACTATTTAGCGCTGTAGGAACTACAGCAAAACTAGACATAATACACAAAAATGCTAGGAGGGTGCAGAAATATCTTCTAAATCTAGTATAAGCATGCAGTATGCTAGGTCACTATTTAATAGTAAGTAGTTGTAGTTGCAGTAACTTGTGTTAGTCGTGCTAAGAGAAAATGGCTAGTTTGGTGATATGGCTGGCTCAGTGATAATCTACGTTACCTACTATTCTTAAATAATATTCTTGTATTTTCTAACATTTAGGCTGCTAGAGCCCTAGTAAAGAATCTTAACTTAGTGTCTTAGCAAGGAATATTAAGCTTAAAACCTTTCACACTTAATTACTATTCT